CGCTTGAGTTTGTTTGTACGATTTCTTGTGTCTTGTGAATATTAGTTATAAAATAACGACTTGGCTTGAACTAAGGACTGATTTCGTCTTATAATATCGACCTCCGGCAGTGATTTACGGCATACCGACCTACTATAAACGACGACTTGGCATTATTTAACGGACATTAACATGGAATCTGGGTGTGTTGAAGTATTTTGTGTTAATTGCGGTTCAGCTTCTGGTTGCATGGTATTAGAAGATGAGCAGATCCTTCAGTGTATACAACACTGGGTTGCTCCAAGATTGGTAAGTACATGCTCCCGATACAGAACCTACGGAACCTTTTAAAGCAAACAACGACAATCAACATTTAAAGCAAAGTAGACATACATTTCCCTACAAAAAGCAAGTAAAACAAACATTAAAAAGAATCTAACCGCACGCTACAATTGTTAAAATTATAACCTCAAATCCAAAATATATTTTTTGATTTATACATTTCTTAGAAGTGTCCGTTACTTAAACATGTATTTAGACGTAAATATAGATACTTTAGAACACGAAAAGTGATAGTACATGCTTAGAGGTTCTTAGGCGAAAATTGTATGGGGGCTGGACATTGTCCTTTAAACCATCATATTATTTCTTAATTATTAAATAAATATATTCTTTTTTGTTATATCGATTGAGTGTCATTATATTAAAAAAAAACGCGTGACAGGTCAATCAATGTATGGAAATAGAAGCAGAAAAAATCTACTTAAATTAATACTTCGCTATGCTGTGTTATCTGTCAGTGAGAATGCAGGCTTTATGTCATAAAAAAATTGAACTGACACATATTTACATATAAAAATAAAATCAATTTTCAATTGAAAGCATTGCTAGTGATATAATATTGGAATCAAGAGCACCTCATACAGAAATTTATTTATAACCATTCTAAATCACAATTTACATCACATATCTGCGTAGTCCATGACAAAACATCTGATTACTCATAGGTTTACATATTTTAATCACTACTGGGTATATAGGTATTATAGAATATTGTGCCACAAGTGCGGCGGGTTGGCATACTACGGATTTCCAATATTTAACAGTAGGTGGTGCCTCATACGATCAGTTGCATAAACGTCCATTAAGGTTTAATGACGCCTTTATGCTCTATTTAATGGTAAATTTGTGTAGGTAATGTCACTTTAAACTAATGTCAATTTTATTGGACGTTTGTGCTACTGGCTGATTTTATGTCATACGATCTAAATATCTCCGGTCAGAGGTCTACTTCTTTCTTCCGAAATGAGATGGACTTTCGAGTTTTAGAGATGTACTTGTAATACTATAAGTATATAGTTTCGGAAATTCTATAATCTTGTAACATAGAGGTTCGGGAATTTTAGAGGTGATCATGTAATTTTGGATAACAATATCATCTCTAACAATCTTTCCAAAATTACGAGATCCTCTAATATCCAAATCTCTGGATAATTACACTGTTTATCTGAATAAGGTGAGAACTGTCAATAGCTAATAATAATAGTATTCTAACTTTTGTAAGTTCTTATTTCATTTAAATTCTTGTTATTTTTACTCGACTAAAGATACGGGTATTAGAGAGAGATGATCTTGTTATTTTGGAGACGGGTCTCTGATTAGTCAGAGATGATCGTGAAATTTTAGAATTAAGAATTTCTCTATAGACGCCATATAATTGGGTAGGGGCGAGTATAATTACGATAAATACAATTATATCCGGCTTTTATTATCAACTTCAATTAAATCTAATTGGATATCTGTTTCATATTCATAGATCCTAATAATTACAAATTTAAAGCTCAAATTACATCTTGCCATATTATTGTAACACACCTAATTTTAATAAGAGCTATATAGATATTGTAATAATCACAACATTATTTTTTTGGTTTCTATCGATCAGAGCTTTCACTATGAACTTTATTTTAAATGATACCTATTTTAAAGTATATACATATACATATATATATATAATTAAAAAAATTGGATTAAGAAATAATGAAAATTTCAAAGATTCACCTTTCAATCCACAGTGCAAATTCTAGGGAGATAATTAACTTATCTGGCTACACTAGAAGTAATTTGAGTTAGACAATTCGTTGCCCTATTTACCTAGTAAACCTCAATATATATAATATATCACCACTTCTTTTAATATTTTTGAAACATCTGTTGCCTTTAAATTTACATAAATTTAGTTACAAATTATACACTGTAATCTGGTTTAAACTAGATATTGAAAAATAGCAAAGTACTAAATCAAGACTTATTGTAACACGAGATGGACGTTTGGATGTAATATTAAGGGTCGATGTACATTCTGGCGAAAGACCCGCCATACGTATCAACGAAAGTGCTACAAGCATATTTTGGCACGTGGTGACATTAGAAACTGACGCCACGCTATCATTCTGTGCAATGTCAATAAGATACTTGACAGTTATTGTAAGTATAAACATAAATTATGAAATAATGGTGGAAATGGTAACTAATATATAAAAAATAACTATGTAGTGTTTTTATATTTAAAATAAATTGAAATTGTATTTTAATTATGCAGAATAACTTAAGATTTATAATCTGTGGATTAGAACAGAAACGCTGACGGCCATGATGGAGCATCATGTGACGTCACATTTCAATAAACTAAACATTAACGTCTTTGTACTCGCAAAGTGCAAACAGTAATCACGTATATTGAAATGTGACGACACTATTTGAAATTTCACATGACTGAATGTTTCCGCGGGACAATTTAAATTAATGAATAAAAATATGTTCTCCCTCTCCTAAAATAACAGTTTTTGGAGAAATATAATTCTGATTGTGGTTTAATATAATCATATGAAATTTAATATTTAAATCATATTTTTTTTTGGAAAATTAATATTCAGATAGCAGGGTGACAGCAGTGACGGTTTAAAACTATTATGAAAATAAAGATTTTAATTGAATGCAATCTTTAGACCACAATTTAGCAGAACATAATAATAATATGTTGTTTTAAGCTTTCATAGTCATTTACATTAGAATGATATTTTTTTTAAAGGTACATGACCTTGTTTTTATTGACCAAACAAAACAAAGACTAGCGTGCACAAAAGCAGTCCTGGAAATAACACACAAAAATCGGCCATCGCGGAACATTTGATAAATTCGGGACCTAACCACTGGATCGAGCCCCATAAGCCACAGATTATCTCGTCTGAACGCCACTACATATCAAGAATAGTGTCTGGAATCCAGTGGTTGGTATTTATCAAAACGAGAAAATAAATCAAAAAAAGTGTTGTTTCCAGATTAGATACGGTGAATGTTGTGTGTCGAGAACAGGTGCGAGTTAGTGGTGACATGGTGAACAGTGGTACGAGTATCGAACGAAAAAGGACTCGAAAGAAGATAGATAGAAATATCTGTCCATGACACCCACCCGTAAAAACTTCAGTTACCCCGTGATTAAAGCGCTTACAACAGCGCCGAAATATCGTGAAATCAATAAAAACAAGGTACATGGTAGTAACCTCGAAAAAGTATTTATTCTAACAATTACAATAATTCACTATTTGAAAATTACTTGGCTGTTTTCTTGTTTACGGTGTCTTTTCGTCTATCTCATTGAAATATCGTCAAAACTATATAGGTGACTTATGCAGGTTATGTGAAAACTGAAAATCAGCTTGACGGCTCTATACCTATATTTCACGAACCAGATTTTTTTTTTGCATTGGAAACCCTAAAGTCACTCTCACCCTCATGTTAATGTCATCCAAGTGTCAAAAGAGTCTTATAGCACTAAACACGCTCCATCTACTAAATGATAGGCATAGGTTGTGTGATAGGTTCTATGTTCTATTTATTATTTGTCTGTTCTGACGTTCTGTAACGCTTTTTCACCAGATACGCACTCACGCTAAGTGGCCGTTACTTTCATTATCAAACAGTCTGAGAAACACATATATAGTATCGGTTGAATGGGTGAATAGCATCATTACTTTGACTGGACACAAAACTTTGCGATGTTAAAACATTGTCTAGTCATTCAAGCGCCATATAATAGGTTGGGGGAAAAGTTTCTTCACATTTCATATGAAAATTGAAAACATTTTTGAATAAAGTTTATTTATATTTAATTAAAGTATGTAGGTACCATTTTGTTCGATAACTTGTAGGTAGGGACATGATCCCATTGCTGTAGAAATTTTTGGACTTCTGATCGAAATACCGCAACAAGTGGTTTTGGCAGTCCTCGCGTGATGATAACCAGACACTGCCTAAAGAATTCTGAAGAGACCTAAACAGGTGGAAATCTGAAGGTCAAGACTATACGGCGGATGCATTAACATCTCCCAGCCAAACTTAATTTTTGCTGAGTGTCAAAAGATGTGTGAGATCTAGCATTATCATGATGAAAAACCAGACTCTGGGTGTGGTTTCTTTAGAGACCGAAACAGGTGGAAATTTCTTTCAGTGAGCTCGTGAAATATCCAATTTTTTTGTGGACCCAAATGTTTTATATTCAATCACCAGTTCTTCTAGCTACATCGCCACAACTGATAGGCCGATCTTACTCTACTTTTTCAAAAATGGCATCCATTTTATCCGTAACAATGACCAGAGCGACGTGCATCTTTGACATCTAAAATCTTTTTTGTAATTAAATTTTAAAATGTATCATTAGATTTACCCATTTTATCGAATTTTATCATTAGATTTACTCATTTTGACAGTAGGAAAAGCAAATGAAAATCACCCAGTTTCCTAATTCGAATTCGGAGTTATCTTCTTTAAAATTTTTAATGATACCAAAACCAACCAGATACAAATGGCATAGCCAAAATTTTTTTTCACACGTTTTATAAGCACACTATATGCGAAAATACTTTTTCCCCAACCTAATATTAAAATATATTACGCCATGTATATTTAGATAGCGCAACTGTCGGCCGGTACCACTCTGGTGTACATTAACCTTGATGGCAAGCAGCCGTTGTAATCACAGGAAAATGTTAGAAAACACCCATTCGATTATAATACATATTATGCATAAATACATTTTGAATTTATTAAAATAGGTACTAAACATTTTGAATCAATAGAGAATATGCACAATTTCTAAAAATATTTTTATATTATAAGTTATATCATTGTATACATTATATTAACATAACATAAAATACCCAGAGCTGAGAAACTGAAATTTAGTAACAAGAATAAATCATAAAATCAAAAATGAAACAACAACTGGACACTTTAAACGTAATTTTTGTCGCGCTTGTCATTATGACGACGGCTAGGGTTATGATATATTCTTATAAAATATATTTAACCCCTTGAATCAGACGTATATTCCCTATTGCTGATTTCTTTTCTTACTGTTTATTTTTCAAAATAATATTACTCGAAATATAATTTGTCTCTAAAAAGCGCTTTCCTGAAGCTATGACAGTTGGAACACCCATTTACGATAAACTATCTTTAAATGAATCATGTGAAATATGGTCAGAGAAAATATTGTAAACATCAGTTAATTTTTATTTACATTTTAATGCCACTCAGATATGAAGTACCTACCTATAGGTAAATAAATACTTATTATAATAGTTGATGAGGTGAGTATTGAGAGATCTCGGTTTAAACTTTTAGTTTCTTCGCAGGTCTGAGAGCATAGTTGATCGTTACCTGACGTTTAATGGCGGTACGGCGCGTCTGCCGTCGACCGTTCCACTCCGCTTCCATCTTGCGGGCAAATTCATAATCACTCTTCTCCTGTTCTATAATTTTTTCAATCCTAAGTTGCTCCTGCAGTATCTTCTTAACATCACAATTTTTTAACGGACTAGATAAATTCTTTACAGCTAAATTCACCTTATTATTATTAAATGATTCCGGAGATTGTGGTGGACTATCGATTTCCTTTTTGGTATTAGATCTTTTAGAATCACTTCTTAAATATGGCTTACGTTCTGAACACGCCTTCCTGTCATGTTTACCTTTTTTTGGTGTAGTCTCATTATCTTCTTTTGTTATGCTACCCATAGATCTTGTTCGTCTTAGATTAGTCTCTGTATATAATTCAGTAATACCATCTACCATGACATTCTGTTTTGTTTTGTTGTTAGTAGTCTTTCTAATAGGTAATATTGGCACAACACATAAATTCGACGAAGCTGTCTTCTTTGCTTTGGATCTAGTATTTGTACACTTGACAGAGTGTCCCTAAAATATAAAGAAATATTTTGATTACTGCAAATTGGAATAATATTTGGGACAGAATTGATCACAAGAAAGTACTCACTTTTTTAACTCGTAACATATTCAGTGCTATTACGAAAGCGGATGGTAAGTTTTTTGCTAGTGATAAATTACGAAGCTGGCATAGTCCCTCTAAATACTGAGTATAGCTTGGTGATACTTGTTGCGTAGGGGAATTTTTCTCTTCCTCAACACGCAATCCAGGTACACGCAGAGGTAGGCCTTTGTTTGATTTAAAACTAAAAAAATAAAAACATGTTAATAGGGATATATTTTAAATAAAACATTATTATATTTGATCCATTTTGCATTCACAATGCTATACTGAAAAATCATCTAAATGAAAAATGCTTAAAAAGCCACTTGGTCCCTGGCACCCTGAGATGGGATTCGAACCCATGACCTTTCGCTTACACATTTTCAAAATACAGTAAAGATGCTATAGCATGGATGCCGAACAGAATGAAAATTGTACAAAGACCCCACACTACATAACTCTTTCACTCCTGCGCCTATGCGCACAGAGATATTGCGCTCGCACAGATGCATCTAGCCGATTTTGGCATAGTAAACCTAAAATCTTTAGGATGTCTATTAGTAGGCACAAAGATCAACATACGAAATTCTTCCTGATCAGCGACAAGCGTGCTATAACAGATTGATTTGTAATAAAAGAGACCAGAGAAAACGGTACCTAGTAGGCGTAGTGCTCTCTATTGGTTTGAAGTAGCACAACTCTTGACGCATAGAGTCTACACTATCAGTCTCCATATTTTTGTTTTCAACAACATTTGTTTTGTGTTGAAGTATCCCAGTACATGATAATGGAAGCGATACAAGCAAAGACTGGGTTATATGTTTATTCATTACGTTGGTCTCATCAACACTTTCTGTCACTTTGCCATTGACAGGTGGAGGCTCCTGAAATATTATAATAGTAGGTTTATACATCCAATAATATTTAATCACTGTACAACACAAAATCATAGTCACTACATGTTATAAAACAAAGTCGCTTTCTCTGTCCCTATATCCATATGTATGCTTAAATCTTTAAAACTACCCAACGGATTTTGATGCGGTTCTTTTATAGATAGGGTGATTCAAAAGGAAGGTTTTTATGTATAATGCAAGACCACGCGGGCGAAGCCGCTGGCCGAAAGTTAGTGAATAATAAAGCAATCCTTATTTACCTTCATCTTAACATTTTCACCGTTTTCTTTATTCCAAATTCCAGTGCTATTCTTAACTTTTTTATCTATAAAATGTTTAATTAATTTGCCATAAGTAGGCACCATTTCAGGTGAAGTATCAAGATCTCGATTTATTTTTTCCTGGGTTGAACTATCAGTATTTGTAGTGTTGTCATCTGTCAATTCAGGATTACTGAAATACGATTAAATAATAAGAAACATACGAAGTCCTTATTTAATACAGGTCTTTGTCTGACCAATCACGAAATCTCAACTTAGCTCATACAATTATATCCAATCAGGATGATACCTAATTACACAATATTTTCTCACTCAAAAATGGTTGATATGTGATGCTGGGTCACTAAGTAAACTGATATACAGAATATGTATATATATTAACTAATAAGTCCCGGGCACATATGTATCACTAAAACATAGCATGTACCGCACTGACGAACCGATGGATTAATGGTTGATTTCCGATTGTTCACACTGCAGATTATTATAGACTAGTGGCCGCCAGCGACTTGGTCCGCGTTTTCCATTATTTCTTTGCTCCTAATAGTTGCAGCGTGATGTTATAAAGCCTAAAGCCTTCCTCGACAAATGGTCTATTCAACACAAAAATATTTTTTATCAATTCGAACCAGTAGTTCCTGAGATTAGCGCGTTCAAACAAACAAACTTTTCAGCTTTATAATATTAGTATAGATAATTAGTCAATAAGTAAAGGAATTTCACATTCTCTTCTGATTAATTCTCAAATTGATGATAAGAGAGTATGGAGTTGTCATAAAACAAATTCTAATACTACATATCTTTATAAGTATAAATACTGAACAAAATATTATGTGGCCTATATATGACTAGGGGCAGGGATTTTCTATATTGTGTAGGCTAAATATTTTTCTATATTGTGTAGTTTTGTTCAATCTATATGGATTTTTGTTAAGGTCACACTGTGTGTGCAGATCCTGAAGAATGAACATTAAGATAGCTACTTTATTATGGTAAAAGTTATGGCCAAAATTCTATATGAAACAATATAAAACAAAATCGTTTCCTGCTGTCTGTATACTGAGATCTATTAAACTACACAAATCTTAATGGTTTTTTATCAATATACAAAGTGATTCAGGAGGAAGGTTTATATGTATAATACAGATTGATGCAGACGAAGAAACTGGGGGAAACTATTTTATATTAATATAATATACTCACTTTTTCAATTCAGCGGTGAAAGTCTTGTCTAGAAAACGTTCAATCTTAGTGTTCTTAAATTTCGAGTTAACAGATGTATTTTTTAAATTATTTTTCTTTTTGCTTTGAGCAATGGAGGTTTTATTGTGTTCATTTTGTATTTGCAATGCTAATATTTCGTCTTTTTTCAAAGCTTCTAAATACTTCTTGTGTGCTTCTTCTTCTTCTTCCTGAATTTTACTACAAAAAAGAAAAAAAAAACTATTAAAATGTAACAACAGATAAATTGATTTGATTTAAATAACTATTTAGTTTCTGTCTGGTCCAAATATCCATAAAGACAGAAATAATAAATAATATAAATACATATATACCTATTAGAAAAATTAATTGAAGAGACATGTTCAAATTTTTCAATCCTTATAAGGTAAAACTTTCAACAATCTAAATTTATTGAATTCAACCAAAAATATGGGACAACATAATAAATGTAAACTAGAAGAATGTAATTATTTTAAATGATAAGTATTGATTGGTATTTTCTTATCAACTATAATCTATAATTTTAAAACTAGTCAACTATAATCTTAAAATGCTGACTTATTGAAATTTATCAGACATTTTCATTTTTTGGCTACCTAGTGGAAGATGACAATACTACTTGTACAAATTAAGATGTCCAGTCTATTCCAGTGAAAACAAAATTTCATTGATTTTTGAAATCTATACTAATATTATAAAGCTGAAGAGTTTGTTTGTTTGTTTGAACGCGCTAATCTCAGGAACTACAGGTTTGAATTAAAAATGCTTTTTGTGTTGAATAGGCCATTTATTGAGGAAGGGTTTAGGCTATATAACATCACGCTGCAACTATTAGGAGCGAAGAAATAATGGAAAATGCAGACGAAGTCGCTGGTGGCCACTAGTACTTAATATGTATAACTCCAAAGAAATACATTTTTGGATATGATTTTAACAAAGTTATATGAATAATTTGAAATTTTATTTAAAAGCAAATAGAGTAAGCCCTCAAGGTATAAAATAGGACCTAAGGGACCATGTGAATGCTAAGAGTTGTATGTTACACTAGCATTTTCTATTGAACGCTAACAATTTAATAATGACAAACTAGTTACACAATTGAATTATACCATTAAAAAAAAATTTACATGTTCAATATATATGTGTATGTATTACATATAAACATCGTTGTAAATACATTATTTTTATATATAGGTTGTTATTATTTGTGGAATAATAACAACCTATACATGTTTATGGATGCTGTGGAATTATGTTGTGGAATATTTGTACTTGTTCTTCTCCACACCTATAAAATATCTTACATAGTGGAGGATCCAACAACATTATGGATGCATGTGCTACTACAATAGTGACTATATAGTTAGCATAATATGGACAGTAGAAAAAATGACTATCCAAAACAGCTGTTGCTATCTATTTGAATAAAGAGAATTTTTGACACTTACTGAATTAGACTTTCAGTCTCTTTTATGTGCTTATGTTCAAGTTGCAAACGTTCATCTCGTAATCGTTTTAATTCCGCTTCATATTCTAATCTTATTTCACCTGGTGCACTGAGTCTAGGTAATGGAGGCTCTGTAAATATTTTTTGTCAAATGACTGATTATTTTTGGAGGTTGAAAAGTTTAATTAAATTGATATAACTTCACAGACCTAATATTCAATACATAGATAATATTAAATCTTGAATTACAGATGCAAAACAATTAAAAAAATTTACCTTCTAATATAATATTATCCTCTCCTTTTACTTTAGTATCTATTTCATGAGAAAACTTTAACTTTATAAAATTCCACAATTCAATATTTACTAAATTCTTTTGTTTTGTGGCATTTCTTAGCCAAGAACCTATACGTAGACGACATAAAGGACAACATAAAGCATTATTTTCTATACTACCGTTGAAACAACCTAGACAAAAATCATGAAAACACGGAAGGGTGACGGGTTCTATAAGAATGGAGTGGCAAATGGAGCAAAAAACATCTTGTAATTCCAATTTATCTAATTTTAGTAACTTATTTTCAATTTTAGACAGCCGCTTCTTTGACTTGGCCGCCATTTTTAAAATAAAATGTTTTCTTCTATTTCTCTCTGAACCACGAATGTCAAATTCGTGCTCTGAACTTTCTAGGATGGTTATCGTCAAGTTATGGTACAATATAAAGTTATCTGTGGTATGGTAATGCTTATTGGGTATAAATAATATACCCTTGGTGTGTGGCGGCTTTTACGCACGTACCCGCACTCGTATGCGGTACTATCAAGCGATTCTCGCAGACGGCCGCTCCCTTTGTACTTTTTCGCTCATATTTTTAACGATTCTGAACGGATTAACTTCGAGTTTTTTATAGAATTCACACGTATATTATCTAAGAGCTCATTTATTTCAAATTTTAAATACAGTGTTTACAATAACAATTTACTTTTGAAATATCGTGAAAATGTGGGTATTTTTTTAAATTAATCTTTTTTTCAATTAAATAACAATAAATCTGGGTTAGCCATTCCGTCTCTTTTTCTTCTGGTTAATGATATTCAAATAATGTGCACTGTGTATTCGATTGACGATTACATCATTATTTACTATGAAAGTGTTTTAATTCTTATTTATAAATAAAGATTGTGGTTAATACAAAATAGCCATTAAGATAGAAGAAGAAGTATGAGCAAAATAATCAGAAGGCGCATGCATACTATTCTTTGGCGCATGCCGTGTCTCACAATGCGCGGACGCGGCCCGCACACCACGGGATAAACTATTATAAACTTATATTTTTGATGGGTAGACAGTAGACCCTATGGTCTATTATCTATATAATACATAATACTGGTATAAATGAGCGTCTTAAGGATACTTTTCGTTTGATGCGGATGCCATGACCAATAGATAGCATTAGTTCCTGTGCGAAGTTTTATAGCATATATTGACAGTCTGTTTATAATGTAATATCAAACAACCATTTAAAATAGTTTTCAGAAAAGCGTCAAATACCTCATTGTCTCTCACAAAAATCCACAGATACTTGTTTGGGTATAATTTTATTTTAAATGCTCAAAAAAGCCAGACCTGGCACAAACGAAATTTTAATCATATTAAAGGCATAAACGAGTAAGTGAATACTGCATAGGGGGTATCATTGAAAACGTCGTTTTGCTTGTTGTTGCTTCATTGATATCTATAATAGTAACATTTCGTTTGCGCTGTGCCTGCGTTTTTTTCCTACATTTTGAGCATTGTCCTTTCAAAGTAAAAAAACAGGGTAACAAAATAAAGTTATTCGTGTTAGTAATGTAATATCACATGTGAAAATGCTATTTTATGTTAAAATTTGGACAACTGATATACATTAGACATGAGTAGTTCCGGACCGTAATAGTTCCAGGAACCATGGTCGGACATTGAACTATATCGAAGAAGTCGCGCTCCGCGGATCTGACGATATGAAAGAGCCTATCGCTTTCATGTTCTATAGAGTATGAGACAGACAGTGAACAATAATAAACACAAATGTGCTTTTGGATAAGACAATGTGGTTTCAGATTTATACACTAAAGTCAATAATCCATTAATATTTAGATTATTGTTTTTAACTTGACGACACTTGCATGCATGACTAGAGATAATTAAATAATTTTGATTAATACAGGATCATTAGATGTCTACGTCTACAGTTTTCATATTTTGTTCAGTAAAACTATCATTCTGTATCGTATCTATTAGAATGTTATATTAAATAATGTAATTTTTGCAGTACAGGAATTCATAATTTTGCCAAAATTTACACACATAGCTTTTTACAATTTATATAATTAGCTGACCCGCCAAAAGGTTTATTGCCATATAAATTAGGAGAGGACCACCTTTATTAATTAAAGGTATAAAAAGTAGATTACAACTTAATCTCAGATCTACTGTTTATACAAATAAAATATCATCAAAATCGGTGAAGCTATTTCAGAAGCAAGCAGGAGTATTTATGATGGTAACTAAAACTTTTAGATTTTTTGATATATATATAATATATATATTATTGAAAGTAAAAGTAGATCCGAAATAAGGAATCGCCATCTTTCGTTCATTTCATTTTACATGTAGAAATTAATTTATTTTAATTTAACTAATATAATCATTTGCCATTGGCAAAATTGTGCGGAACGCGCAGATAAGCTATTAATGAAAGAGGAAGAGGAACTAAAAGGGCAGGGCTTATTAAATGTGAACATTATATGTGATGAGCCCAAGAACTCAATGTACCGCGGTCATGTTTACGGATCACGGAATGTTAATGGAACCATGTCTGGAATTACAACAAATCGATCCATGTTCAATCCATTCCAGGTCATTTTAAGCGCATGTTATTCGATATAAGGTTTAGATATATTCGTTTTTAATATCAATATATCGTTATTTATTCGATATCAATTATATCGATTTTTGGGCTTCCATATCTCGATATTGCGAAGCATCCTTAATCAACGAAAACCGATGGTTCAATTGATATAATTTCATTATTCAAATTATGAAAGGAAATATTAATCTATTATTTTTTATTTGGTGCATTTGAACCACATATGAGTAAATTTGATAGCTACATTCAAACTGTTTCTTAGATTAAATTAAATTTGGTTAATTTACGGACGTCTTTATTTTATTATATTTAATTGCTTTTGTATCCACATAATCTGTAGTTTATTTAAAATGTAGTATTGGTATTTTATTTGTTTTAGAAGCAGTCATCAAGATGATATTATACCTTTAATGTTGAACTTTAGTCTTTAAATCAGATTAGTTTGCGTTTTCTAACACGATAAAATAAAATAAAAAATTTAGTTTAAAATGCTACCCTATGCATTTTTTATTAGAATTGCTGAAACAGTCTTTTTTCATATGACGTCACTCGAGGTTTTTCCAACAAGGTTTATAGTCGCATTAGCAATTATTTACTGGACTTTAAAAGTTAATAAATTGTTTATATATAAAATTATATGTTTCATTACTTATAAATACTAGATTACACAACGATGAATCAATTGTGAATCGATACCGATCAATTGAAAATCCATTCTTTTTTTTTTGTAGTGTCACAAATGACACTACACTATTTATTCAACTCACTCACATGTTGTAGTTGATTGAGAACGAGACGATCACGAAAGAAACCACGAGAAATATGATGGTTACAAAAGCGTTTGAGACTGTGTTCAATATATAAATTCTGCTAAAAGTGTAGTGCAATTAACCAGATGTTACATTATCTATTTTGAAATCTACAAACTGAGAGGTGAACCTCGAAGATGTCTTCGATGCATTTTGTCGTTCATCCATTACCTGGAACAGAGGATCAATTGATAGATAGGTAATGAATTTTATTCTTATCGCTTGAAATGGCTCCGTTTCGTTATTATGAAACACGACATAAATGAACTTTGTTCGGGATCGTGGTAATTTTGAAGCTTTTTTTTTATTTTAGCTCTTTGTGAGGCCACGTTTTTGTCTCGGAAGGGAATATTTGCACTACACATTTGTCTGAACTCGGTATCGTTTTGTTGAAAAACATCAAGTGTATGATGTCGTCATCACACCTACCGTACATATTTGCATAATTTGTAGTGTGTTCAGAAAAAATAAAATTATTAGTCTAAATCCAAATACCAACAGTATTTTTTTTTTATGCATGATCATTATATATATATGTAGGTACATACCTAATTTGCAAATCACATTTGCTCATGTAAAGCCATACTCCAGGATGGCAGTTGCACAGTTTATAATAAAAATGTGTAAATTTATATAAATTTTTCTATACTCAAAGAAGTATCATGTTTTATTTTTATTTTTTGATATTAATATTACCATATCAATAACTGAAACTCTCTCTTAGTACATATGTATAGATTATTAATTTCACATTATAAATAGAGACAATATTTATAGAAAAGGTATATTTAAAATTCAATGTTGTTTTCATTATCTTAAATCCTGTTTCTTAAGAGGAGATATTTTACAGTTATAAAAAATGAAAAATTACACATTTTGATCCAATAAGTAGTCACCACTTGTTGGATTAAAATGGGTATTTTTTGTATACTTTCCTATTGACCTTATTTAAAACACCTTTAATATCCTCAATTCTATATTCGTTTCCCGTATATATCTGAGCGTCAGTTTTTGTTATATTTTGTGCTTTGTTATACCTATGAGTAGCTCTGTGGCATAGTGAATAAGCACCTCAGCCCACCACAGTTGTTGTCAAACAAGGGTCAGTTGTGGGATGGGTGACCAAAAAAATATTTTGAGCTACTCCATGCTTTGGAAGGCATCTTAAGCCATTGGTCTCAGCTGCATGTGCAGTAATTAATACCCTCCAATCCGCAATGGACCTGCATGGAGCCCCATGCAGTAGGGACATCACAGGGCTGATGATGGAAGTTATATTTTAGAAATTTAGTGGCAATGCTTGACTAGTGTTAAAATATTAATGTTTATCTGTTGTTCTTACTACATTTAAATAAAAACTTCACAGATTTATTGTTACTTAATATAAAAGATTTTGGTTACATTGCACTTATGTGAAATTGAAATTTTCAATCAGATCTCTTTGATTTTGCTAATAATAATTATTCAGAGAACCCTTAAATTTACATGTCAAATATATTTATAATTAATACAATTTCATTCTTAAATTACACAATTATCTTGTTTAGTTACATTATTTAATTTATGCTTATATATGTCAATATTGAATTGAATTATTTTTTTATGTCAATGTTAGATTTGATATGTCAATATTAAATAATTTGTTTCATTGGTTAACTCTGTTTGCCTTTTGGTATAGGCATCCCCCAATCTTTTCCAATTTATTTTATTTGATGTCAATCGATGTCGATGTCGATTTTGCTAGTTCAGCTTCCCATCGTCTCCACTGACCCATCTCCTCCTATTCCTATCTCTGGGTATCCAATTTAGTATTGTTTTACTCCACTTTTCTGTGCCTCTTATAACATTACCTGCCCATCTCCACTTTCCTTTTATTACCTTTTCAGTGACATATCATTTTTGTCTTTGCTCTAATTGTGGAATGCCTTAATTTTTGCATTTTCGAAATACTTAACATGCTTCTTTCCAATGCTCTTTGGCAAGTCGTTATTTTTCGTAGATGGGATCTATTAAGTGACCATGTTTCACATCCATAAGTAAGAATGGAAAGTTTGCAAGTTTTGAAGAGTTTTCCCTTTAAGCTAGCAGGGAATGTTTTATTTTTCATGATTTCCTTTAGTGACCAATAGCTCTTCCAGACTCCCCTTATTCTTGTTTCGATTTCTATTGTATTGTATTGTTTCGAGTTGCGGATTATCTTGGGTTTATGCAGCCCAGTATCACTGCAACCATTGCTGATCTATTGTGATCTCCACATACTACAGTTCACGGTCAAGATTACATTCTACAAGAAAATGTAGTATTTTCTTGGCTGTTAGTTCTTTAATATCGTCTGGACTCTGGGTGCATCACAGGCTTTTCCAGATAGATACATCGTTTTCGCATTAGTGACAGGCAATCAGTCAAAATGTGCAAGGGGTGTTTCTTCTTCCTCCTTGCATCCTCTGCTCACTTTACTGCCGCTGATCCCTATTTTGTACATGTGTCTGTTCAGTCCGCAATGCCCTGTGAGTGCTCGTACTAGTGTGCGAAGGTGATTTTTGGTTAAGTTTAAGGCCTCTGATGCTGCCTTTTTGTTGAAGGTTTTAATCAGGGTCTTAAGAGTGTTTCATACCGGGAGTGTTTCTCCATAGTTGAATAGCTGCACAATGGCAGTACGTTTTCAAGGTTAGCTGGGTTAGGCTTTGAGGGATGCCACAGAAAGGTTCTGGTCCGATAAGGGCGTCTTTAGCACCCTTCTTCGCCAGTTTGTCCGCCTGTTCATTGCCCTCGTGTCCAGCGTGACCCGGAACCCATTGTAGAACTACTTTATTGTTGTTGCCCAAAGAGTTCAATGTCTGTTTGCAGTTCTCGACCAGCTTTGATCTAGTTACGTCGGAGGCTAGTGCTAAGAGTGTAGCTTGACTATAGAGTGAATGTAGATAGTACGATTGAGGTAGTTGTTTTGCAGATTGGATGCCGCTCATTCCAAAATGGCGTACACCTCTGCCTGGAATATTGAGGAATACTTTCCCATGTTCAGATTTATAGCCTTCCTTGGGGCTTCTCCATAAATTCCACATCCTACCTCAGGGCCGGATTTGGAGCCGTCAGTGTACCACTTTAGGCTTCCATTTTTCTATACTATACGATTGTTTGACCAGTCGTCTCTGGTGGGTATCTCCACAAGATATGACCTGTGTGAAGCGACTCTCGGGGGCATGGTGTCAGTAGGCATCCCCAGGATTGGTATATTGTATATTGAGTCCTTCAGGTATTCCTGACAGCCATGTCTTCTCCTCCATGCTAGTGACTCTGTACATGCTAGCCCTCGCCACCATTTCAATGTGTAGATGTAGGGGCGGCAGGTTTAGCAGAGCCTCAAGGGCAGCAGTCGGGGTGGAAGACATAGCTCCTGTTACTATAAGACAAGCAGTCCTTTGCAGACTGTTAAGTCTTGATATAATAGTACTCTGTGTCGTTTTTCTACTCCAAACCACCGAGGCGTAAGACACCATCGGCCTTATGATGGCTGTATAGAGCCAGAGGGCTATATTGGGTTTCAAGTCACATCTATTTCCCGCTAGCCGACAACATATCATCAGAGCTCTTTTAGACTTCTGTATAATTCCGTTTACATGTGCGTTCCTGGTAAGTTTCTGGTCCAGTGTTACCCCCAGATACTTGACCTCCGTCGAGAACGGAATGAGCCTCCCTGAGATTCATGGTCGGAGGCGAAAGCTTGTCTAGTTTTCGTTTCCTTGTGAATGGGACGATCACAGTTTTGCCTGCATTAATCGACAAATTATTGTCTTTACACCATGAGTTAATTGTGTTCAGCGCCCTCTGCATAATGTACGATAGCATACTTTGACAGTTTCCTCTCACTATCACCACCAGGTCATCGGCATAGCCCACTGTGTCAATGCGGAATTTACCCATCTTATGGAGGAGCTGGTCCACCGCAAGAGTCCACAGTAGGGGAGAATTCTCCACCTTGTGGGCATCCTCTTGTTGTTGCTAACTCTAGTGAATCATTGAGTAGTTCCGTCCTCCTGTCCTACTCTCTAGCATGGCTCTTATCCATCTTAGAGTAGAGAAGTCAATCTCTTTATGGACTAATGTCTCGGTGGGCGTGTTATCGAACGCTCCTTCCACATCAAGAAAAGCAACGATTGCTATTTCTTTATCGTCCAGTGCCTTTTCAACCTTGTCTATAAGGTTTAGTAGGGCATTCTCCGTAGATCTGCCGCTTCGATATCTATATCTGTCATGTCTAATTGTGAGATAATTTGTCCTAAGTACTTATATTCGTCTACATATTCTATTTTGTCTTTACTCACCAAAATCGGAAGTTTGTGCGATTCTATTCGTCATGACCTTGGTTTTGAACATATTCATGGCTAACCCCACTTTTCTGCTTTGCTCATTAAGCTCTTCTTCCATTTTTTGTAGGTTGTTAGCACAGTCTAAAAATATAACGAGGTCATCAGCAAATCTTAAGTGTGTCAGCTGCAGACCATTTATTTTAATGCCATATTCCTCCCAACCCAGTTCGCGGAAAATACCCTCTAAAACCGTGGAAAACAGCTTTGGAGACAACGGGTCACCCTGCCGAACTTCTCTCTTTATTGGGAACTCCGCTCCTTCCCTGTCAAATCCCACTCTTGCATATCTTTTGCTGATACTGATTTTCATAACTTTTCTAAACTTATTAATTAAAATTTTCGTACACACAAATACCTAAACCCAGATTTATTTTTAAACGATAAAAAAGTGGTTAGAGCAGTCGCCGGATTGCCAAAGGTCATGGGTTTGAATCCCATCTCAGGGTGCTAGGAACCAATCTGCAGACCAAACAGCTGTAGCTCCAGTATAAAATCGTTTAAAGGGCATAAAATTGAATCTTAAAAAAACTTACCCAATGCATTATTTTTTATCTTAGGCTATGTCATACTGTTAACAATACTTTTTGTTTTTATCAATTGATATGCAATAAGGAAAACAGGTGTTTTATACAGAGTATGAAATAAAAATCACCACATAGTATAAAACAAGATCGCTTTCTCTGTCCCTGTTCCTGTGTATGCTTATATCTTTAAAACTCCAACGGATTTATACGCGGTTTTTTTCATAGACAGGATGATTCAAAAGGAAGGTTTTTATGTATAATAGAAGACGAAGCCGCTGGCGGAAAGCAAGTAATAAATATATCCGATTGAATGTATAATTTTTTTTTACGAGAGAAATAACTTACTTTTTTTCTAATTGGTTAGAATAGGAAATAATAAATTAATATTTATTTTAAATTGTTATAGACTCAAGGAAGTAGCAGAACGTTGGAATAGATATGGAACAGGTGCTGGATCATCAGCACTTGGTTCACTCAGGGGTGTAAGAGCCGTCGCTGCCGGTCCCGCTCACATCGCTTGCCTGCTAGAGGATGGCACTATATGTCGTGCTGCCTTTTCCATCATACCTGATAGGCTCGATCTAAGCAAAGCTGATTCTACTAAAAACGGCGGCAACGGCGGCGGAGGTAGTGGTGGAGGAGGTACCGGTGGAGGCAAGCAAGGCGGCAGCGGTGGTGGTTGCGGGTCCCGTCAACAGCCACGAACTAGAGCTCGTATTATGAGAAATTCAATTCGTGCTGCACCCAGTTCTCAAGGTGAATATTCTCATCTCGTGATGCTGCCCAATAAAGTTATAATAAGAGAGCTCTATTATTTATTTATTATATCTATTATTTAATGTCAGTTTATGTTTAAATTCTATTTAGTTTCAGATTAAATTGTATGAGTTTCTCAAACAATCTGTTCGTACTTTGATTTTATAACAATCCCTTTGTCTGGCAGAAATGGACAGGATGAAGATAAATGTTCAAATTCTATTTAGAAATTGTTATTGACATGTTTATTATATATAGGATCCACAAGCAGAGCAACGGGTGTTATAATTGGAGCATCAGGTTCAGGGAGGGTGGTATCTGTTCCTGCTCCATTTGTACCTGAAGATCTGGTGACTCAAGCTCAAGTTGTGCTTCAAGGCAAAAGTCGAAGTCTTATTATAAGGGAATTGCAGGTAATCCATTCATAATTAAATGTTTTTTGTTTCTTCTTGTGTTTTAATATTTAGTATTTCATAATTATATTAATTATTCTAAATTATTAGAAAGGAAGAAGGAAGGATTTGGAAAAGGTAATATTTGCTTTAATGTTCTGAATCACACTTATGATATAGCGTACGAACTTGGACGTGAATTTGGCGGTGAACAACTTGCTGTCACGTGATGACGAGGAAGGCGAGGAGCCCGAAGGCGGCGAGGGTGGTGACGGCTACGTTCCAGAGGATCTCATCTCGCTGCTCGACGGCGGGTTCCACGCTGCTCAACAGGACCACTCGGTCATCATCGACGCCGACGCTATGTTTTCCGAGGACATCTTCGGGTACGCGGCTATCCGAAGGTATACCTATCAGCTACGCTCCTCCGCCTATACTCCTAAATCCGTAGAAAAAATACACTCCGCAACCCAATCTCTAGCACGCTGAAAAGCTTATGCAGTTTCTGTTTTTTTCTTTTTTTGTGATTGGGTGTCTTTTCTTTGTGTAACAGTAGGTTTGTAGATTCTTATTGCATATTTAACCGGTGTAAAAAGACCAATAAATACAAAGATTGCAGTAATTAAATTGGTTCAACACTCTTGGTAAAACTTAATTGACAAAAAATATTGTGAGCATTTATCTCAACTTGATTGTTCTGGATACACAACATACCAATATCTTCTATAATATCTTGATGAAAATTATTAATTTCATGTTAAAATGTTGTGCACCCACGCGAATTGGTGTAGTATATGGTAGAGTTTAGTTGCTTCAAATCTAGTTGAGGTAAACTGCTACTTGGTCTTTTTACATCTTTTGCTTGTGATGGAACTGACGACATTGTATTCAGTCGCAGTGGTGGCGGCGGCGGCAGCGGCAGCGGACGCGGCGGCGTGAGTCGTGAAAGCAGCAACTCTACTCAAGAGCGCCCTTCAGAGTTTAGTAGATGGCGTGAACGTCAATACTTTGGTCCGCGCAGGTGGCTCGAATCTGCACTCCGTGATACATCTTGGGAGAAAGATGGCGGTATGTAGTCTGTGTCACATAATTTTTCTTAGTTGCACACATCTGTAATACATATTTTATATGAATACTACAGTTTTGAAAATACTAAATACTAATTAATTCTTTTTTTAAATGGTATTTTCTAATATACTTATGTGTCTCTGTAGCTGAAAGCAAAAAGAAAGATTCCGCAATGGCAGCATCTCCACTATGGGTTTCCGAGGAGTTGGAATACTGGGACAGCAATATTCGCTTCACACATATAGCGGCTACGTATTCCGAGCTGGTGGCTATTTCGACTCAGGGTCAGCTGCATCAGTGGCGTTGGGCTGATGCTCATGCCTACCAGCGCACTGACGTAAGTTTTATTAAATTAAACTTGTTTTATTATTGTCAGGACAAACTAAACATTTCACCTAAATTTATTTACCGTAAGTTTTAGTTATTGCCATGAGAACTTGAGAATAAAAATAATTAAAAAAAACATGCTTGTTTATTGAAACAGACAAGAACATTGTATAGAGTTCATTTGCAGATTGATTAAAGTATTTTATTTCTATAGACTACTGGATCGAATCACTTGTACCATCCCCGTGCCAACTGGCTCGGTCTAGCGCACGGTGAACGCATCATCAACATCAGCGCTGCTGGTATAAGAGTATCAGTGCTCACTGATACAGGACGTGTGGCCACTTACCTAGATGAATCCATTGGTAAGTGTTTTTATGATCTGCTTATTTTATTCCTAGTTTTTAAGGAATGTTTCATTGATGATTTTATTAGCAATCATCAGTGCTGGCATTTTTTCAGATGGTAAGTGTTAAAAACAAAAAAAAAATGATAGTTTTTCTAAGCGCAAACTACATCCAAAATATTGGAACACAATTTTACTCCATATAAAGAATTATGCAAATCAATTCATTTTTTTGGTCTGTAAAAATAGATTTACATTTGAATGTGAGGAAGGTCACCAGAACTGTCATTTTTTTGTGGGCATTATGTTGTCTTGTTAGTGAGAATTTTGCAGCCATTGCAGTTTCACAAAAAAATATGAATGCCACATGAATTGGTAGTATTTATTCAACAAGAATCTAGAATTAAAATGTATTGAATTGTAATTGTAAGCGAATGTTTCTAATGACATAATTTTGTCTTAGCTCACGCCCCAGGCGCGCCACGTTTGGAGCATCCACTGCAAACGTTTTCAGAGTTTGGATCTGACAAGCCCGTATCATTACACGTGTGCTCTCTCTATACTGTTGCCAGACTAGAATCTGGAGCATTGTATTGGTGGTAAGTTTTACTTTTGTTTTCATTAATATTGATGTGCATTATGTAATTTAAATGAATACTTAGTTTGTTCAACTGATACTGCAATGCAATGCGAAAGTTTAAAAATGTATATAGTTTCGTTTTGTAGGTATATCTTTGTTTCCTATAATTTATAACAGTTGGATCATTATAAAAAGTCACATTTGACATCTGTCAATCTGAAATCAATAGTGAAACGCCCTGTTTAAAAACATTTGATTTTTAATTATATTGATTAATTATTGGTTTTCAAACAAATATAATACCAATTTTTATTATTTATATAATAATTCGCGATTGTCTATTAAATTATGTCTTGTTTCTATATTGTAACAAGTAAGCAAAAGAAAATTACAAATAAATGATACAATATATTCATGGTCATTGTGTACAACTACATCAGACTGTGTAATGCACAGATTAGAAATTGGTTATAAAGCATAATGCAAAAACTTAAGAGTGAAATTATCCACTGAAATTATCCATTTCATTGTCTAGGGCAAATCCATAGGGACACTGAAATAAGTAGTATTGCCTATTATAAAGTCCCAACTGTACCAATTTGGTAATGACGTTTTGCATTAGTTCCTTTACATATATTGATAAAAGCAAGAAGTAGTCCGTTTCTCTAAAACAGGCAGGATTTTTTAGGTCCATCGCTTTTTTTTATAGATAACTGATTTGAGCATTGAAAAGTAGGCATATTGATTTTCATTAACATTGATTTGCACAGTAATAAGTGTTTTTTCAATTTATTACCGAATTCTGATACTGACTGGTTTAATGTTAAGGGGTGTATTGCCTCTTGGCCAACGTGCTCGGTTATGGGAGAAGCATCGTGCCCGTTCACGCAAGCAACAACGCGGTCACTCGTCAGCCGCACCACAAGATCTCCAAGCGGGACAGAGTGTTACTATGAAGAACGCTCCTATGTACCAACCGGGTGCCATTGGTAAGTCCATTTGAAATAATACTTGTAACTATAAATTTTAATTTAAAAGCGTCATAAAATAAAAATATATAAATAAGCTAAGAACAACGATATCTAGGAGTTTGATTTATAATTAATAGGTATATCTTTAATCTGACAGTTGTTGCCACAGTGGCGTCACACAATGGTGAAATGTGTTTTAAGTTACGTGATACACAGACAAAAAATCACGACTTTTGATTTTAAGATAGTAAAATAATCGTGCGATTTTAATACTCAAAATTATAATTCCATGTTAAATTTTAGTTTCTGTGCAATTTTGTGACTTGACTACCCTATTATATTTACATGCGAGTCAAATACATCATATGCCTTTAGAAACAACGCGGAGTTATATGAAAGCGTTAATGGATTATTCTTTAGGCAAATTAAGGATTTGCCTAGGGGAGCGATGTAAAAGTCTGAGAGAATTTGACATAGCCTAGTAAAATTATGTTAATATATGGACACAAATATTAGAGGTGGTGTATTACATTTCTAATAAATAATACATTTTTTGTGGTTTGATAATGGTATGAGCGGAAATAAATCTGGTCACTTAAATTCCCACTTATCCAATAAGATGTGTTCTAAACTAAGAAGTTCACCCGTAATTTTGTAGGTTTCAACATGTCGACTGGTGTACCGAAAGTGGGCATCCTGCAGAATGCAGCGTGGAATCTCTCTGATATGTGTCGATTCAAATTGTTACCACCCCCGCAGCCCGACCGCTCAGTTTCGGATAAAGACAAAAGGGATCTACAGGTAATATAATATATGTTTTTTTTTTATTTTTTATTTATTCTAGGAGGAAGTTTTACTGGATTTCGATGTTATCCCAGTAAAAAATATGTATTATGCAGTGTTGAATTTTAGCACTTTGAGTAAAAGATAAACAGCTTATAAACTTTTTGGGGAAGTGTCTGCTAAGCATTAACATACAAGTGTACACATGTGCACGGCTTGGTAAATGGATAATACCTATATGGAGGAAGAGAGCGCGAGTTCATATTCGGTAAACGTACTAGAAAGTTATTTGCTGTGTATGTATTAGAATTTTGCAATGCTGTTGAATAAGAATGATCAAGATACCATAAAATGTAGAATTTGAAATGTGACGTCACGGCTCGAAACGTGATTATTTTATTCATATGAAAAAACAGTCAGTTAGCCCATTATACTAGTTACACAAGAATTATAATCACTACGATTATCTTTTGCATATAGAACCAATCGCCTTTGACGGTGTCGTCTGTGAAAGCTTCGTCATCGAGTGGAAGCAGTAAAGATGCTAACAAGGACAGCAACAAGGACATGGCTGATAGACTAGACATGCCTCCACCGCCCAGCCCAGCGTCTTCAACGTGCAGCGACACTAGTACTTCACACAGTAAGTCTACCATGCACTCTATATTATAATCAAATACCTACTGAGTTCTATATGGGAATGGGAAATCTTATTTATGTAAGAAAGAGTTTAAGTTCAACATACACTGTAGCGCTAAATTGATTAGTGATTGATTGAGCAATGAAAAAATTGTTTGGGAAACTCGAGAGAATAAGCTGCAATGGTACAATTAAACAAATTTTGAATTATTTCACTCAATTATAGGGTAGCTGTATGTAATTTTCAATAATTTTATTTGATATACACACATTGTGAATACAAATACTATCTTTGTCAATTTTATTAAAGCTTTTCTAATTTCCAGGTTAAGAAGAAGTAATATTAGTAATAATCTATTTATGTATACTTTGCGAATTTTCCACAGAACGTGCCAAACGAGTGACAGTGCGCGGCGAAGAAGGTTCCTCTAATGACGGTACCAAACGTGACGAGGAGGAGTGGCCTCTGAAAGAGGTCGTATTCCTCGAGGACGTGAAGAGTGTTCCGTTAGGCAGGGTGTTGAAAGTAGACGGCGCGTACGCAGCCGTACGTTTCCCAACTGTTGCGAAAGACGGGAAGGAAGTAGTGCCGTCTTCGCCAGACGATTGGACTACACTGTTGCAAGATTGTAGGCTAGTGAGGAAGGATGATTTGGTCGCGGTCAAATGGGGTGCTGGTGGTGCAGTCGGACCAAGAGGACCGGACTGCTTACAACGCTCGCCGAGGAAAATTGCGTTGCCCCCTGACGTACAAGTAATCACTATTGCGGTGAGTGATTTATTTTTATTATCTCGCACTTCTTGATTTTTGTGGCCGGTGTCCATGAATTATGAATTATTCACACATACGAGTTTAATTTTTGAAATAGAGGCCGATCATGAATTATGTCACACATACGCCTTTTTATGCCTCCCTGTTGTTGTCACAGCTGCACGCGTAGCAGTGAAACTTTTTTCTGTGTTCAAATTTTACTTTGAGTTGAGACTGAGGAAAGTGATTTGTATGTAGACAAACCTTTCTCGAATTCATTAAATGTATGTGTGACATTGCTATCTAAATTAATTCCAAAAAGAAACATTTCATTTTAAGTAATCCAAATTTTGTTTTGCTTGCAACCAGGAATTTGATTTTGAAATATACAGCTTGACACACTTTGTTGAACATATTTTTTTTTTGTCAGCAGTAATGAGTTTACAATATCAGAAACAGAATTTATATTATTTACTGAATTATTTCTACAGCTAACGCCGTTAGTAAACCGACGCAAGCTATGCTAATGCAAACAGGGTTGTCACCTTTAGACAAAGCAACATTTCGTGACATTTGAATAGACCCTGAATGCGAATAATATGCGTCCGTGTGACAAGGACGCAGGTATTTCATCGAGTTAATAAAAGAGCGAAACAAAGCAAACTCGAAACATTGCCATACAATGACAACATCCCGAAAATGTTTCGCATTCGCATGCGATTGCGTAGGTTTGCTAACGGCATAAATAACAATCCCGTACATAGGTGGACAGTCGCGGTGTTCATGCCGTCGTACGTCGGCCCGGTGGTGCCCTCGCGTATGCGGTATACGCTGTGGGAACTACTAGAGCACTAACAGACAGCGCTTTCCCCACCGATAACAATGCGTTACTCGGCTATTCCAACGGGCAGGCTATACAACTAGCGACCGCTGCTGAGGTAAATATTTATAAACAATATCTATTTGAATTATGTTTTTTTTTTAACGTATTCTGTTTTTCTCCTTGTGTATTTTCCGTTTAAAATTATGTTTAGAAAATCGACGTTTTTTCACAACAGGGTAGTGAGCCAGTTGTAATAATGGTGGACGGTAACGGTGCCCTGTATCCCGTTGCGCGAGATTGCGTGGGAATGGTCCGTGAACCGCCGCCGTTGAATCTGCCTCCTGCACGAGCGCTAGCTGCGCACGCACTGCCACTGCATCCACACTCGGCAGCGCACGCCGCTCTAAAATCACAAGTATGTAACCTCATTGCGGGGAATCTAGTAAAACCTCTTTTCGTCTTATCATAAAACGAGTGCTTAAGTTAGTAGGTACTTGGTTTAAACCTTCTTCTTTTTAATTTATGGAGTATTTGCGTTTTCACAATTCTGCCAATGTCACGTTGTTTGCATTTACACTTAAAGAGACAATTAACAATAACATATAGGTCATTTTGAGGTAATAAAAGAAGAAGAAAAACCTTTGAACTATTGATCGCCTAAAATGAATTGAGAATGTCAAATTGAAATGTTTACAAATCTGGTATTAAAGTTAGTCCTTGTTTCCATTTCAATACCTATTATCAATTTATTTTTCGTAGATATTGTCTAACATAGGTATTTTTTTCAGGTCGCTCTTATTATAATAGTACCAGAACCTCAACTTATGATGCCAAGAGTTCTTCGCTGCGACCTTGAGGGAGTACGTCAGCTCCTCCATCAGTTGGAAACAGACGCAAGCAGTGAGTTGTATACTATATTAGTGTTATGGTATTCTTACTTAGATACTGAAATTTTTAATTACTCTATTTGTTAACAGAACAACAGATATTGTCAATACTACAAGAACGATGTGACGGCAATAGGAACATCCTGCACGCTTGTGTTCACATGTGTGCGCCGACATCAAACAAGGAACCGGATATAGGTATATTTACTGAATTTCAAAAGAAATACCTAAATAGATTGTAAAATATAATGAGAAACTTTTTAATCTCTTCCATATTTTATAGTAGAAAATCCATCAATGCCGAACTTGGCTGGAAGCACAGGCGGTAGTGCCGCTAGCACTGAAGAATCTGTGCCGGCTCTTTCCTGGGCACCTGAAACTTTCGAGGCATCTGGTGATGAAGATAGTTTGATGGGACTTACTAACAATGGGTATGTATGGTTTTAAATTCATGATTTATGATACAATAGTAATTTTTATTTTGTATGATAGACGTTACTTTTTATCATTGCTAAACGTGATTATAATTGGCTGATTGACTGTTATGAAAAAAATATTTTATAACTTTCATAATTTCTTTTTGTCAAAGGAAAACCTATTTTATTCACCAATTGTGACATCAAATTTCAATAAATAAGAGTACTGGTTGTACTTGCAACTAAGAATTTGATGTTTAGTTTATTAAAAAGTGACGTCACATGATGCTTCTTTATAGTTGCCCGTGTTTCGTGGGTTTATTTGATTCACAGATTATAAATTTTTAGTTTAATAACAGAGTTGTAGAAGCATGGAACAGATTACCGACAGATCTAGTTTCAGCACAGACCACAAACCATTTTAAAAATATACTAATCAAATTCATGAAACAGGAATAATGAAATATTTCACACAAAAGATATCTGGATACAGGCCACATCAGTTGTTGCAACCGTCTGCCTGTCTTTAATAATAGTAATAAGTCGAAAGTAATTTTTGCAAAAATACAATTTAGTTTAAATCAAAAATACTACAAAGATATTGTTTATATTACTGTCAAGTAACTAATTAAGATGGATTTTAATAACTGTTGAAACATTTGTTTTAGTAAAATGTCTGGTGGTGGCAATAATGCTGGAGGTTCGGTGAGTGCAGACCCGGCAGAGAGGAGAGGCAACGCTCTCTCAGCTCTCAGGGCCCTCTGCGAGAGTACCGCACTGCAACCATATCTTATGCAACTTCTCACTGCCAAGTAAGGATGGAACTTATCAAAATAATTAAGTATAATTTTCTAACTAATATTTTCACTCATTATATAAGAAATTAGCAGCTAAATAAGGAATAGATAATAAACAGAACTATTAATAGAAATTGTTCAAATATAATAATTTGTTATTTATTATAGTATATATAGCATTGTGACTGCAAAGTCGATCAAATGTAATATTAAGAATGTCTCATTGGAACTGTTTTTTTTTTTGTTAAATTTGAACATGACAATCTTAAATGAAAGTACAGAAAAAAATTATTTTAAAAATTTACATGCAAAAAGTTATATATCCTTTTAGATTTATATATCCTTTTAGGTTCCTTTTAGATCAATATTTTGAATGCACTAGTTTTTAGAAGTACATGATCTTAATCTATTGTAAAAAAAAGGCAAACATAATTGTAATATAGATTCAAAACATAAACTAGAAAAATTGCTTGTTGCAGCATTAAGATCAGATTTTCCTATAAACTTGGTTCTACTTTATAATAAATATAAATAATTAGTAATATTTGTTAAAATTATAATTCACTGTGATCGTTCCGTACAGGGACGGAATGGGTCAAACGCCCTTGATGGCCGCGGTGGCGGAACGCGCTTACCGCGCTGCATTAGTACTGCTCGATGCTATCCGAGCATGTCCGGACGCGGATGAGACGCAGAGATCTGCCGCGATATTCCCGCCCAACGCACACCCGGATCACTCGCCGCTACTAGTTTTATGCTGCAACGACACCTGCAGCTTCACCTGGACTGGACAGGAACACATCAACCAAGTAATGCTTATATAATAGCTTGATATACTTTACGCCGTTAGTACACCGTTTGCAAGCGATTGCGAAACTATGCGAATGATGACAGGGTTGTCACCTTTTGACAAAGAAGATTCGTGATATTTATTTGGATAGTTATCAGAAACCGGGTTGGGTGGCAACCTTGAATGCGGAACGTATGCGTTTGTGTAATGACCTCTTTCACACTTTCCTGTGAAACTGTACTGACAAGGATGCAGCTATTTCATCGAGCTAATAATAAAGCAAGACAAAGCACATGTGAAACATTGTCATACAACTGATAAGATATCGCAAATATTTCGCATTCGAATCCCATTGCGTCGCTGTAAAAACGGAATTAGGCTTCCAAAAATTGTAATTTAGAGAAATTTATTTAATCCAAGTTAAAAAGGTGGTGACAATATGTTATTTTAAGCTTTCATGGTCATTTACATTAGAATGATATTATTTTGCGGGATTATTACAATGTAGCTTGTTTTTGTTGAGTTCCCGATATTCCGGCGTTGTTGCTAGTGCCGTCATCCATGATTATCACGGAGTAACACGGTTACAAGTAACAATATACATGGTAGCAAACCCGCAAAAAACTATTATTCTAAGGTGGTACCACATTTACAAAATATTTTTAAATTTGTCAACAGGATATCTTCGAATGTAAAACTTGCGGACTCACTGGTTCATTATGCTGCTGCACTGAATGTGCCAAGGTTAGTGCTCTTCAAGAATGATAAACAATATAATTTATATCTGCTATGGTCCTGATGCCTTTTTGCTCACCCTATGCTTATTATTTTTTCTTATACACTACCATTTATTATTAAATATATAAAAATTAGAAGTTTAATTATGTATAATTTGTAAGTTTAAATATTCGCATTTCCCACACCATAAGGTTTGCCACAAAGGACATGACTGCAAACAGAAACAGACGTCGCCCACGGCTTATTGCGACTGCTGGGAAAAGTGTCGATGCAAAGCGTTGGTCGGTGGAAATTGGGCCGCCCGCTGCGATCTTCTCGCTAGATTAGCTAGAGATACACAGCTCGCTACACATTTCAATTCTAGGTGAGTCAATGAGTTTAGTGATTTATAAGTAAGTATACGATTACATAATTATGTCTGACACAAGACTTCTAGCTATATAATAATTTTAAGAGAATTTTACTTTTCAGTTTTATACAAAAAAGATAAGGAACTTGAAATTTCAAAATTGTGAAATTTATATGAAGTGTATGAAGCGTATTTTCATTTGTTGCTTGTGCATAAGATGCGGAAAATCTTTAACGCCTACAATAGAAATGTTATTGTGGGATGATCGGTCAAAACTACGTTCATCAGTATAGCCTTCTCACCTACGGAGCCGTCACCTTTTTTAATGAAAATAGCATAATTGTTTATCTCGTTCGTTGACAGAGGCGAGTCTATCCTGCTCTTCTTAGTACAAACGGTAGGGCGTCAAGCAGTGGAACAGAGACAGTTCCGGGCGGGTGGCGGACGAGGACGCGGCCCTCGTAAGCAACCGGGATCCGATGCCGAAGTGGATGCGCCAGATCACGATCTAGATCCGCCGCGATTCGCGCGACGTGCGCTTTTACATTTACTCGGTGAGTTATATTCCTTTCGATTGACTGATTTTTGTCTTCCAGGTTTAAACAATTTTTTTAAAGGTTCTGTCCTGATGACAATCTTTGAGGATTTAGCGATGTTCAGTTCTCTTATAAAATATCGGATCATCGAATAATTTGAGATATAAAGCTGCATGTATGCCTAATTTGTGTTCTAGCAAGGTTCAGCTATAAATTGCTGTCATGTGAGTTAGTGGAATAAATTAAATGGATTTAAGATTTGACTTATTGTGATATTGATAAAATTGTTATGTTTTACGGCGGGTTTTTACACTGCGTCTATTTTGCATGAAAACGGGGTTACATTAATCCTGCTTAGAAATGTGTGCCGATAGTCATTCGACTGGCGGCGGCGTCAGGCGTTTATAGTGTCGTAGCTTAAATGACCGGAGGCGTGCGCCACGCTGATCGGTGCACATGTCTAGGCCTGCTACCCTAACTCCTTCTGATGCTTCTCAGAGTCACCTAAGTCCTCGAACCTTGCCGCATGCCTCCTTTAATTTTCGTGGACTGCCTATATTCGCAGTCCTTTATATCCTAGATGCGGAGTGCTTTGCCTTGAATTGATAAAGCTATATTTTACTATATTGATTTTAACAGGAGACTGGCCCGCTGTCGAGGCGGCGGTTATGTGTGGCGCAACCACCACAGGTGATACCGACAGCCGTCCTTCGAGCCCCGCGCCTAATCAATCTGGAACTACACTACTTGATAAATTCACGCATGCGCTCATCGTTAAGTGTACCAATGAAGTAAGCAAACATTCATAATTCTTCCTTGTTATAAGGGAAACATAGCAAGAACAATAAATTTCAAATTTTGATCTAAAAGTTGTTTCCACAGTCGTTGAACATCTTTTTTCTCTGTTGCTCTTTCATTTTTTGATAATCACATAATAGGATTCAAGGATTCTTTAAAAATATTATTATTTGACTCATAAATTTAATCAATAATATGGGTCACAAAACCCGAAATTAACTAAAACTGTTGTATTGTCTAGATGCTGGATACTCTCCTGCATACTTTAATACGAGAGCAGCAAAATGAATTAAAACCAGGTCGCATAGAACGCGCTCGTGAAGTGGCGCGTCGATTTGTCCGATCCGTCGCTAGAATATTCGTGATATTCAGTGTCGAGATGGCTCCAGGTGCAGCTAAAAAGAAAGGGTATGTATCACTATCGGTTTTATTTTTTTCTGGATTATAAGCCTATTTTTCCAAAGGTGTAGTGCTTTATTATTTTAGTTTTAAATGCATTATTCTTGTACACAAAGAAGCCAAAAGGATATTTTGAAATTTTAACAACTTATTATTGTACAAGTAACATTACGTCAAGTTATCCGAATTATGATTTTTTAAGTTAAATTGAACCTCAACATGATAAGAATACAGTTCAAATAAAAGAGTATTATGTTGTTATCTATTATATGGATATGGGTACAATGTGTGTCCTCCCTGCATTAATTTATCTAAGTTTTTTAAAATAAATGCATTGGATAATTCGATCAACATCTAATTATCCAATTTTATTTTAGCGTGAACAGAAATATATATAAGAAATAATTGTTGATTAATTGGTAATTTTGACAGGCCGGTGTCCATAACCTCATCGTTGATTCGATGCCGGCGCGTTTTCGCAGCGCTTGTAGCACTAGCGGTGGAAGAGCTAGTGGAAGCAGCGGACGCTTTGTTAGCGCCCGTGCGTCTGGGCGTTGTACGTCCGACCGCGCCATTCCCGCTAGCCACTACCTACGTGGATCTAGTTAACGGCAGCGAGGATCTGTTCGGTGTGGAGCCTCTGTCTACAGGCCATTCACGACTGGCACATACTCGCAGGTAACAAGATTGATCATATTTTAATAGTTGTGATAAGTCCAAAGTCAGAAAACACTTGTATTTATGGAAATTGGACATATGTATATTTAAGAATATGTATTTCCACGGCGTGTGGAAATTAAAATTCTCACTGTTTAGGGAAGGTCTACTTGGTATCTGAAATTTGCTAATTTTAGTATGTTAGTATTTATAGGAGAAGATCATCAATCTATATCACTATTGGGGCACAGAGTAGACTTAGCCAGCGATAGAATCACATGGAGAAACCGGAACCATAATCGAATACATGGGTCCTAACGACTAAAGATGTAGCCGTGGTAAATGTTGTGGTAATCCATTTCATTTGACCTACCTGGCCTGTTGAGAGACAGCTTAACATCTACAATCGAAGACCGAACGCGCTAACCATTGCATTGTCGAGATCTCCAAAATAATAAAAAGACACTACCCCAAAAACATCCTGCATTCATATACACCTGGGAGTTTTAACGGAAAGTTTATTTAATATTAAAATATTATTTAAATTAAATGACTCTGTATTGATACAGGGAATCGAATGCTACCGGCAGCCGTGGAAACGCTACCGGTGTACACACTTCAATGGGGAGCTCAACACTGGTACCGGATCGATCGTCGACGCCGGTCGCTACCGAGTACGCTGATGACGTAGCGGGCGAAGCTTTGGGCGGTGATGATGACGCATCCGAAACTGACGAGCCTAATGTGCCCGCGCCCGTACCGCCCAGTGATACCCAACATCATGACGACCCGATGGGCGAGAGGTAACTATATCATGTCACACTTGATACCATCTCTAATCATTCTCTAACCCAGTCTCATTTTCTTTCTCTCTTTTCTTTATGTTTCTATATAGTGTAGTGTATTTTGGATGAAAATTGAAAAAGAGACAAAATTAGACTGTATTTGCAGCAGCAAAACTGAAAATAAACTTTATTTTGTTTACGTAGTATGGTTGAGCCTTAATTCAATAGCGTGTTTCGAAAAGTATATGGTAATGACTGGTAGCCAATACGAGAAGGAAGAATTCGATTGACCTGTAAAATAACGATGCTTTCGTTGTATTTTTAGCTGCATATTATATCCTAAGTATATACTGATACTTATTATGAAATGATCATAGAAGCTATCGTGTTTAATCATAATACTGGGTGAAATGCCTAGTTTATAAAAAGTAAATAGATACTTTATAAGTAAACTGTATTTCATTTATAGAGTACAAGAACAACACGTGGTAGTCGAGAATGGTACAGAGCGCGCCGAAGGCGGTGAGAGTGAGAGTGAACTAGACCTTCTAGCAGAAGTGGAAACGGAGAGTGACTCGGATGATCAAGATAATGCAGAATCCGCACAAAGAAGTGTTCAGACTGGCGCAACGCAAGGTTCTGACGTTGGTATGTCTATACTTCTGATTCCTGTTGTAATTAGTTATTTAATTGATATAGCAACTCAAATAGAATTTCAAAATTAACTCTGAAAAATTATTGAAAGTGTTGGAAGTGTGTGTTGAAAATTGAGAGTGAAGCCTATAATATGAAGTCAATGTTAAGTTCATTTTAATACTTCAGCAAGTTTTAAACAGAAATTAATATTCAATATCTGGATTGTATTTCAAATAATTTTTTTTTGTTATTATACTAATTCAAGAATAGTGACAAAAAATAGAACCAAGAATGAACAGATCATACTTAAGTAGGTAAAGTCTGTTTTCGGTCATTATAAGTTTTACAGGACAATTATTTGTTTGATATTGAAAATAAGTATATAATAACAGGTTTAAATTCTGTCTGGTATAAGTCCCGCGTGACGTCATATGAAAATAGAAAGTAGAAGTATAGATAGTATAAATTATTTAATAATTATTGAAATATTTATGAATAATACCCAAAATATTGTTATAATAATGAAATTACTCTTATTTTGTTAATTAATTGCATGAATTTTTGAAATAATCAATTTATATGTAAATATTGAGATATAGGGAAAATAAAAAATATATGAAAAAAATAACATTTACTTTGTAAAAACGCGATAACAAACGGAAAGGGGATTTTTCTTAAAACATTACCAAAATGAGAGTCACTAAATATATTTATAAGTGAAATTATGTTTACTTATTGTGAAAATCATAATAACAGTTGCTATTTTAATGAACCATAACAAATAACAACAAAACTTAACAATAAAAATCGAAACCAACAAAAACATAACAAAAATAATGTTTGATGTCAACACAACCTAACTAAATAAGTGTACTCATCAACCAATATCGTCATCAAAATGGCGGCCAGGCACATTAGCAATTTGCGCTAATGCATTATTTATACCAGCTATTTGATGCATTTCGACAGCCGCGTCGATGATACTGTACCCAGAGGAAGAGAGCGGGGACTCGACGCAGCCTGAAGACGAGGATTCGGAGGCGGGCGAGACGGACGAACAAGACGGAGAGACAGAACCAGTGTTACATGACGGTGAACCGCTCGAGAGAAGAGCTGCGCCTCCAGCAAGACCTAACCTGGCTCCACATTCTATGCAGTGGGCTATACGGTCAGTATCACAAAACATATTAACTATAAAAATTTATTAAAATCATTTGAAGTTTTTTATGTAACTATCGACCATGTATTGTGTGTATTATTTGCATCTCTTTATTTAACTCAAAAAAGTAATAGTACTGTGTGACAGTCCATGACAATAAATGTTATCAATATCAATTGATATTATCAACGTATGTATCAATCGATCGGAATCCCGATGAAGAGATCACAACATGAAGGGGCAAAGCCCTAGGAGACACCACACAACTTATTTAAATGAATAAAAAATCAATGACAACAGCAAACACGTCCGTTCAGTGTAAAATCAGAAACTGAAAAAAAAGAATTCTACGAGTGTTTGCGTAAATACAAAAAGTACGTGCGATGAAAGTAGCGGGCATCTGCGTGAGCATCTTTCTATCATGATATATATACGTTGATATTTATCAATGAAACCTGATCATAATAGTTCCCGCGAGACGAACCGCGGCACTAGTGGCAGTACGGGCGGAGTGCGCTTATCCGGCGGCTCGTCGTTGGTATTCATAGACCCGGCGTCGCTGCGCCGCTCCACCGCCGCTGCCGCCGCCGGCGCCCACGACCCGCACTCCACTTCCACCACCGCATCGTGTCTCGCGCGAGCTTTCGGTGAGTCCACCAACCGTACACTATACAATATTTAACATTGTTGACCAATGGGCAAGGCACGGTTGTCAATATGCCGTTAGTACACCGACGCATACGCAAGCGTAACATCTGCGAAACTATGCGAATGCGAACAGGGCTATCACTGTAGTGTGTAAATCATGTAACGCACACACTCATCTCTTCCTAGTTTATAAGGAATTGTATTAGTCCATTAAAAGGTCTTATAGCGTAGTCAGATCGTCTTGTTTAATACAACGAAACGCCCCACATTGGACACCATTTGAGAAATGAAATTCGTGAATTTCGGATAGAAATCAGGACAAGTGGCAGCCCTGAGTGCGAAATATGTGCGTTTGTGTAACAACTTTTTAAGCAGTTGACTGCAAAACCGTATTGACAAGGACGCAGCTAATTCATCGAGCTTATAATAGAGCGATACAAAACACATGCGAAACACTATCATACGATAGATTTCGCAAATATTTCGTATTCGTATCCTATTGCGTCGGTGTGCTAACGGCATAATATTTACTAAGGGTCAGTTTAGATAGAATGGAATAATGACTTGCCCAATTGGCTACTTTATAGTTATATCAATAAATTATGAAATAGGTTGGAAACGGTAACTTATATGTAAACAATAACTGTAGTACGTTTTTTTTAATAATTGTAAGAATACACATTTTATATCTGCAAAACAAAAATAATTTTAAGTTAATTACACAGATTAATTAATTAAGTTACACGATGCATTGTGTGATGTCACATTTTAATACTATATGACATATACAGAGTGATGTAAGCGGAAAGTTTATTTGTATAATACAAATCCAAGTGGGCGAAGTCGCTAACGTAAAGCTAGTTAATGAATATAAGTATATTTTTCCTTTATAACACTTTTTCGAGAAAAATAAATCTGTAAAATAAATGGTTTATTGAAAATACTTTTTTAAAGTTTAAAATAGACAATAAAGTAACCAATTGCGGCCAGAGGAAGCTCGAGCCTGTACGAGATTTTTTGCGTTTTTTCCGTTTCCGTTAGTCTGTTTATAGGGCAGGTGGAACAAAATACGTAAGCGTCAAAAGAAACCGATACGTATCGCTTTTTATAAACCATAAGTAGTACTGCTTTTTATTGTATGGCATGCTATTTAGGTTTCTTATCTGAGTTATAAGTACAGTTTGATTTTTTTGATGATTACATGTTTTAAGTTGTCCTAGAAACAGATAATAGTGTCAAGCATTGGTAAATTAATAATTTAATTCTTTATAGGCATAGTGATACGACAAATAGCCGATTTACTCTGGGAATACGAGCGCGTAACGCTTCCACTTCCGAGGATGGTTCCCCTCGCTTATAGAGAATCTCTGCGGTTGCAGTGCTACTTAGAAAGACAGCTGAAACCCACTTGGGACTGGCTTGTCACTGTAATGGACGCGACAGAAGCTCAACTCAGGTAATATATTGATATTTTTAAGTGTTGTAGAGTGAAGGAGATTGTCTTATAACTAAATAAAAATAAAATTGTGAAATAACTAAGTATTATGAATTTAAGAAGTCGCTAGCGTGATAAGAGTATAACTTAGAAGTCGCCTAAATATTTAGGAATCGCCTAAGCTGAAAATGCATTTCAGCAATGACTAGGAATCGTAACGAAGCGTAATATATAACGCAATATGACATTACCGTAAAGTAATATGACAGGTCACAAATGTGTGAAGGGATAAAATAAAAAATATTTATATGGAATTAAACTTATCTGCTTAGGCGATTCGTAAGATTAGGCGTTTCCTAGGTTAGGTTACGTCCTGTTATAGGTTAATGAAAACGGGTGTTAGTGTCTTTTGACTGTTCTAAATTAAATACTTTTGAATGACATTTATACTTGACTAGTGCCCTATTACTTTATTCTAAGAAATCATATGTTAAATAATAGATTCGGCGCATCTCTCACATCGAACAACGCCAGTACATCGGTAACGGAGGGCCGACAAAACGCCCCGGCGGCTCGGCGTGCTACTTACTTCACATCCCCAGTTACTCGTATCATCGGATTTTCAGAAGGGCCAAGGACAAGAGATCGTGAACAAGGTATTAAGCGTATTTTTATTAATCTGAATAATAGGTATATTTCAGATCGATGTCCTAACTTTACATTAAATCTTTTAGTCGTGATTTTAAAATTATCTGGAACTTAAGTAAACCCAATTGTAGTAATTATTTAATACCAACATCACACACATATCAAGTAGCAGAAATATGGACATCACTGACCACTGAGCATATTGTTTTTCAATTATTTGCATTTTTTTATATTAATCTAATATAGACAGTACACAAATATAAATACATTTTTTTTCTGGTAGTGTTTATACTATTACCGATAATCACACTTTTATGATTATTATATTTATGATATTGCTTAAATTAATTATGAAAAGCCAAATATTGTATAATCGTTGTCACGTGACCGCAAACAACTCTACATTATATATTAGTTACTCTTTATAATATAAGTATAGATTCTTATAGCTTTTATGTAACTGTATAATGTCAAACAGGTGTAGAAGCCGGCAGCGCTCGTCGCGAGTTTCTAGCGTATTGCCTATCACTATTGCGCGCTCATAGTTCAGAGCACGCGGAACAATTGCCCGTATTGGACGTGGCCGCGCTTAAACACGTGGCGTACGTGCTAGACGCGCTCGTGTACTATATGCGCGCCGCTCAACCTCAGCCACATCATCACCATCATCTGTGGACACCGGTCAGTATATATTTATATAATATGCGCCTTCACTTTACAATTTTATAGTTATAGTCTGGTCATTGAAAGAATTTCGTATCTCCCCGACATTACATATCCCTTGCACTCAACATATTGATTTTGCGCTCACACAGATACATGTAGTCAATTTTGCATATAATTTAAAATATTTACGATATCTAGCAGTAGTTACAAAGGTCAATCTACGAAAACCTCTGTTTGTCGAATGAAATAATAAATATATATATTGCCAAAACTGTGTATTTGAGTAAACAATGATTTTCTGTTGAAAACCTGAGAAATAAAAATGTTAGTCAATGTTAATATGATATTTTGGTCAATGACACGTTAGTAGCTAGTAGCAAATAAAAAAAAAATATAAAATTGGTTTCTGATAATTTAGATAGACTTTGAGATAAAGTAAGAAGAGCATTTTGTTGTTGCATTTATAAATAGTAACGAGTAAATTTTAGACTCGATCAAAAAGTTTTGTTTCCTGTTTTTCAAATCAGGGTAGTGGCTTATTATGGTTTATTGTAAAATTCGTGTATTTTTTTATAGGACGAGAATGAAAACGAAGAAGGCGACGAAGAAATGGTAGTAGGTGGTGGCGCCGCCGCAGAATCTGACGGTGAAGGAGACGGCGCGCGCGGACGTACACACGCGTTCTTCCAACGATCAGAGTCCACACTGTGTCTCGGTTGCCCACCACCGGACCCATTTAATAGTATGTTAATATAAAATAAATAAAAAAGACCTATGTCACCAGTAGCTTCTCGTAGGTCGGATTTAAAAAATCGGTCTTGTAGTTTCGTAGCCTATTCGATGCTAATTTTGCTTCTTTCTAATATTATAATGAGGAAAATTGATTTTGATGCGTCTGTTATGAACTTGTAAGCTATTGGACCTATTTTAGACATTTGTTTCCTTGAATTAAAGCTACATAGTGGATAACATAGGTTATACTTGATTTGATACTTTAGTGTTCAGCTAGTTTATAATATTAATTTTTTAGCGCCAGTTCGAAAGATCTTAAGATATTGAATTCTAAAATCAGTTCCAAATTACATATTAATAATATCTGAATCTGGTATTTTATCGATAAATCAGAGTAAAAGTAATGCATACTTGTCTAAATGTTTTCTTTTTTGCATTGTTTTTATGAAAACCTGTTATATTATATTGATAAAACGCTATGTCTATACGTACAGTGACTATGCAAGACGCTTTGCCTCTTGCGGATCTACCACAATTGCTGCAACCAAACGCTCGACGAGAGGAACTATTTGGTATGCCACGACAACCCGTCACCGTGCCAACGTCCGGTGATGCACCGCCTGGAGTCAACAATCCACTAGAAGGTAGATTTGTATATAAGGTTTATAAGAGCAATTTTTAATATGGTATTCACTCCCGTATTGATCAACTCCTCAACTGTTTTGTGTGAAATATTTTAACTTTCAATTATGATCATATTAACCGCTATCAGATTATCCAAAAAGTTATGAAACAAAGGAAAAACATATTTTTATTCATTTATTAAATTGTTCCGCGAAAACAGTTAGTCACGTGACATTTCGAGCCGTCATGTCACATTTCAATAAAAGTGTATTTTTGCACTCGTAATAAAGGCATTGACATTTAGTTTATTGAAATATGACGTCACATGATGCTCCGTCATGTCATGGTATCGAAAACTATTTATTGCAATTTCTAACATATCTCAATTTATTGTTATTACTCACAGGTGATTGGTTTTTTTTTAGTATAAATAATAATAAATAGTCTTTTATGTTTATATTTAACGAAACCATGTATATTAATTTGTATTTGCGCTTATTATGCAATAATGTTTTGAAGTGTGCTCCTTAACGTTATGGTATTTTTTATGCAGTGGTGCCGCGTCGGTTAGGGCTATCGAGTCGTGGTACTGACCGAGGTTGGTCACCTCCCGCCCGGCCCGCATCAGCCCCACCAGCACACGCACATTCTCTAGTACGCGACGAACCACAGGTAAAACACGTTTTATTATAACGGCTTGATATTTCTGATACATATAAATCTTCCTCTTGAATCTCTACCTCATTCACTTGTAATCACCTGTATATTGATGAAAACCGCATTAAAATCCGTTGTGTAGTTTAAAAGATCTCAGTGTACAGACAGCATTTATACTACGTGTTATATATGGAGCATTGGGACCCTTTCCAGCTGCTCAAAAGAAAGAGTTTTCTCTCTACTCGTACATGCGCAGTTAGCGCCGAAAAGGAACTTTGCAGAACAAGTCTGTTTGGTCATGCGTCAATAGGGAGACAAAGTATCTATACGAAAATAATCAACTTTCTTGAAGTAGTAGTAGTATAAGATTTCAAGTTATAGTCGAGTTATACAAATTCAAATTATTTGTTATGAAATACCACATGATATAAATGTGATTATTTTACCGATTTCTAACTTATGTGAATGATCTACTAAATTATTTTTTTTCCTTTTAGGATCTTTCTTGTACCAAGGATATGACGACAAAAATGGATATTGACACAGACGGAGAATATTTATCAGACTCTGATTCTAATGAAGCAAGACAAATACCTAGGAAAAAGCATCACAGGTAATATTTTCATTGTTTTGTCTGCACTTTTAATACTATAATATAGGATGTCGCTTCTTTCCCATATGATGAAGAAATTTTGTATTCAATACAGATTTAAGATTGGTGTATTGTTTTAGACATCCGCACACTGTGACTATGTCGACGGCAGGTTCGATGCAGGAACCCACTGCTCAACCTTCCGAGTTCCATACCCTGGTGGACACTGCTTGTTCCATCATTGAAGCTCCTCACCAACAAGGCATCATGACTTCGCCGTCGCCTGGTAAAATTGAAACACGTTCCTGAATGAATTAATTGTTATAAAGCGATTGATAAGTCTTCTAAGATCTAATCAATCACTCGCCAATATCCGAACGTTTTTATAGTTGTTAGGCATTTATAACACAATAATTTAGCATGATCATTGTTGTACTGGGTATGTTCGTTACGTTATTTTATTTCAAGTTAGTTGACTAAAAATATATATTTTGAAACCTTTAGTGTTAAATAAGGAGTGGATTTGTTTCTAAAGTATTGCAGTTTTTTTTATATGAGATGTGATATCTGAACTGATATGTTATAGTCTCTTTTTACTTACTTCCCGTCTTTAGATCTTTTTGAAAAGACTTGTTATGACGCTAGCCGGTTTTAACATCGTAACGTAAAGGTTATGTGTCTACCTTTACGCTACGATGTAATAATAATAATAATAATAATAATAAAAATTTATTTCTCATCACACAGAATGTTTTACATACTAGTAAGTTACAAACACAGTTGTTCTTAAGATTCTGGTGTGAGACTGATGCCTAAGTTAGATATTCAGAAGAATACCTGTATTAAAGGTCATCAGGCCTCCACTCCCGTAAATACACACAGTGAGTCATATTAGTATATTTTTACATATTGTGTTTTCGTCATCAGGTCCGAGCGGCGTGGTCCCCCCAGAGCCCCGTGCGTCTTCATCTCGTAGCCCCGTCAAGACTGTTATTGTACGTGCTGTAAGTCACTCCACTTATTTGGGGGACTTTTTATTATCAAAATTCATTCCCTGCCTCCTTCGATTGGTTTTAGTTTAACTGCTATACTATTTTTCATTTCGAATTTCTAGCTTTAGGATTTTGGTTGGTAATTATTTTAGATATTACGTTCGCAAGTGACAAAATTAATGTTGAAAATTCGTAAACTTGATTTTTGTAATTGTTGTATATACATGTAACTATCCAAATTTTAAATACTTTTCAATAGACTCGAGGTTACTCTATTTAATGATATTTCAGGGTGAACTATTGAGCGCAGCTGACCCGCTCGAGTCACAGGAGATATCTGCTCATGTAACTGTAGAAACCACAGGCCTTCCGCCACCTCCATTACTTCCACCTTTGAACACGCCGGCACCGCCGTAAGTTTATTGATATGAACTAAAATATTTTCCATTGAGTTATTATAAAATTCACACATACAGTTTATTCAATTATTAGATAACACTGGCTATATCTTGAGAGATTGAACGTCAGGCGGAGTCGGATATTAACTATTGGAAATATAAAAAAAGGTTTTATATTGATGTATAGTTTTGGTTGTAGCAAAAAAAAGCTACTTATTATATTTGATCAATTTTGCATTCACAATGCTGTAGTGATAAATATTCTTAATGAAAAATGCTTAAATAATCTACTTTGTCCTTGGCACTCTGGAGATGGGACTCGAACCCATGACCTTTCGCAATCCGGGCGTCTGCTCTAAGCATTGAGCTACCTAGGACCTAACAGGACTGACGAATGTTTTAAGCACTTGTTACTTTTCCTCTACTACAGAGCGTATTTTCATCAATGTTCAAGCATTGATACAAACTCAAATAGCCGAAAGAAATATTTTTACAAATATCTATAGAGATTAATATATCATTAATTTCATTTATAGATTTACTTATATTTGTTTTTTTTTTTGTACCTAACAATTAAATAATAATTTGAAAATAAAATGTAACTCTTGCAGTAAAGTTATACAAACTGATACGGATAGAATACACAAATTACTTTTTCCTATGATGCTGTTGAAATTGTTGTTTCGACTCCATTGTATTACATTGTCTGTTTGATAATTTCAATGTGTTTTTCGTTTCGTTGCCAGTCGGGCGTGTCCGTCATTAGGAGCGTCAGTGTCTCATGACTTACTACTGGGTCGGTGGCGATTATCCCTGGACTTGTTTGGGCGAGTGTTCACTGAGGACGTCGGCTTGGAGCCAGGCTCTGTTGTAGCCGAGCTGGGTGGATTCCCCGTCAAGGAAGTGAAATTCCGACGTGATATGGAGAAACTACGCAACTCGCAGCAACGGGATCTCACTCTGCATAAGGTTTGGCATTTGTTATGTCGTGTTTATAGTGTATCATTTTCTAATTGTTACTTTATTTTTACTTCTTTCCATATTTTTATCTTTTACTTTAATGGTTTATTGTTCCTGATAATAACAAACACAACTTAAAAATTGTTATCTAGTGTAGATGTTCTTAATTTATGTGCATACACATAATGGAGAGAGATTCATATAAATTGCAAACTTGGTAGTTTTAAAAATCCTTATTTAACTTTAGTGGCGGTGGGATATTATTCCAACATTTAGTTACATAGTAGAGGAAACTGTCATCAATAATAATTCATGATTACTTTTTCCAACTTAGGTCTAGTGCAATTTTAGTGTATTAAGTTTCCAAACAGTATTTTTTTTTTCGAAATATTCAACTATTTTCTCCATACTTTTCCTAGTTAATACAAAATGATCACATTAAAACCTCCCTCATGAATTATTTCAACCATTGGTAAAACCATTGGTCTGTTTTGTTTTGTGTCAATAGGAAATAAAAACTAGAGATAGAATTTTTTGAGTAATTAGTTAATGGGGGTTCGAGGTTTCGCTTTAATAAATGAAAAGGGGTTTCCTTCTGGGAATACATCATGTACAAAAACTTACATAGTTATAAACATAGACATTATTATTATAAGTCTTAAAATCACATGATTATCTTAAAGTTAAATGACTTGATTTTTGTCTGTGTGTCTTGTAACGTGAAACACGACCCACCATTGTGTGTCGTCAACTGTAGCCACAACTATCAGTTATTTATAAAATTAGGAATTTTATAAATAACTGATAGTATCGTCGCTGTTCTTAGCTTATTATATCTTTTCATTCTCAAATCGATCGCTAGATAGCACCTTTTTTGTGTACATATCACAATGACGTCATTAATATGACGGACAGCATTTCGCGGGTAAAAAAAACGTTAAAATTTTGATTTAATTTTATTTTTTTCCAAAATACTTGTTAAAAAGCTTTATTTTTAATTAAATTAAACAGTTACAAGTACTATTCTAAACAGAGTAGAATGTGCTATTGATATGTGTGCACGTTTATCAGATGGAGCGTGATCGCGCCAAGTTACTGCAGCAAACGTTCGCGGAGTTGAACAGCGCGTTCGCCGGTCAGAATCGTCGCGCGCACACCGCACAGCCGCCGCTCGCGGTCAACCGGGTGAAGGTCACATTCCGAGACGAGCCAGGCGAAGGGAGCGGCGTCGCCCGCTCCTTCTACACGAGCGTCGCTGAGGTCTGAACACATTGTTATAGAACAACTACTCAGCTAAATGTCGACCATGATAGCTATTTATATGGGATTGTGGAACTTTTACACCCATTATCACTCACAACAAGGCGTAGTTTAATTAGAAAACGCTTGACCTTACGAAATCGTCTAACAGCCAGTTGCAGAAACGTCCATTAAAACTTTCGTTAGTTTAAAGCGACATTACCCATACAAATTTGTCATTCATTGGAGCCTAAAGGTTCATTAAACCTTAATGGGCGTTTGTGCAACTGGCTGTAAGCGGATTAGTTTAATTCCAAATAATCATTTTTTCTTATTTTTGACCTGTCACATAGCACATGGCTCTGCATATTGCATGTTATAACTTATGATATTACTTCATGAAATGCATTTTCATTTTGAGCGATTCCTAAATATTAAGGCGGCAGATTTGGGCGACTCTTAATATTAGAGTAATTGGCGTAATTTTTATTGGGTAACAGAGAATGGAAATCACTATCGAAATATAGTTAGTAAAAGTTATAGTATAATAGAATGTCGCATGCTTACGAAGACTTGTTTTGCAGGCATTGCTTGCCAATGAAAAATTACCACCGTTAGAGCCAACGACCGGCAGTGGAAGTAACAGCAGTAGTAGTACGAATGGTACTTCAGGATCGACCGGAACCACCGCTAGTGGCGCGAGCAGCAATACTGGCTCGGGGTGAGTCAACAAATTTTATTTGTCCCTTTTTAAGATAGATAATATTCAGTTACAGATGCGTTTTTGTAAATAGTAATTCTGTATCGTTATTTTAAATATTGGTTTAACGTAATGGATTCCTTAACTTATCAGACAACTGCAGCCAGAACCTAATATTTTTTATTTTTATTTAGCAATGCATTTAAACATAGGGGTAGATAGATTATTAGAATTATCAGCATTCAACTATATTTTTAATATTATACTGGCTGCTTATTGTACTGTTCACTTATTTAATACGTGTCTTACTTGTGGTGCACAATAAATTATTCTTCAATTTTATCTACCTGACTGTCACATATTTCTAAGATATATTCCATCAAAGTTCTACAAACACATTGAATGCTTCAGTGATCGTTGTCTTACCACAAAAGATGTAAGAAAATCACTACGCAATGAGATTAGTATTTGATCGTGTTATTTTATTATATAGCAGGAGCGGTGCGGGCAGGGCTCGGTCTAAAGATACCGCGCGGCGGACGCCCGGCCGTCCCGCGCCGCGACCGCCCGCCGCTCGGGAACAGCGTCGCGTTCTCAGCATTGACGCCAGACCATACTCACCACAGGTACGTGTATTGTATACTATTGTCTGACTAATACCGCTATATCGAGCAGTGGGTTAGCGCTGAAATCCACCAATGTTGGCAGGAAATATTATAAAGTCAACAGAGATTCATACTAGTGTTGCCAGGTGTCCCGATTTACGCGGGACGTCCCGATTTCCAGGGGTCCGGGGACGCGTCCCGATTTGTACCTAATTATTTTTATACTTTGTACCCAAGTATTTTTATAAAAAAAAATATATATATATATATATATTTTTCATACTGTCAAATCCATTTTTGAAAGCCCCTAACTATATTTATCTATGTCTGAAAGTAAAAAAGCTACCAAACTAGTACTAATACCTGTTTTTTTGTCTGTCCCGATTTACAACCCCAAATCCCGATTAATTACACGCGCTGTCCCGATTAATAATAAATTGGACCTGGCAACACTAACTCATACTGTCTGATAGATCTTAAGATATTTACTTTCTTTTAAATCTAATTTCATTGTATTGCATTAAAGTGTATTGCTCAATTTTTTGGGGAACTTTGTTTTTGTTTCTATCAAGGTTATAAATTTACGTTTTGGTTGGGATCTAATACCTAAAATGTGATGTTTTTCTCCTATTTTTAATTACAATTTATGTAACTTATTTTTTTGTGCAAATCGGTTTTTGAAAGTTAGCGATTTAAGACGTATGCGTTCACTGAAACCTTGCCGATGCCTCGTACATCGATTAGTTTATAATTCTTAAATAAATTAAAACGCATTTTAATGATATCCAATAGTAAAATTTAATATCGATCAATTATCAAACATCCCTTTAACACATTATGGTTCCCATAACTACGGAATACGTGTCCTTCTACTAGCCAATGGCGTTAACCAGTTACCTCGCCCGCCACTTACCCCATAGCTTACATTCGCATCTTTAGTTTTTTAACAAAATAGTCATCATACTGTATCTATTGGAGGTTGTCTGTGGTTTGCAATAGACTTTAAAATTAGACAATTAGGCCTCTGCTTTCGAAGATTCACTATATTAGTTATAGTGACCCAATACTTCAACTCTCGTATACTAATATTATTTGAAGTGTCCTTGATCTTACATAATGCTGTTTGATGCATATAATTTGATCCAAATTTGATAATGCTAAGATTTTTATAACCGATAAAGATTTTCTTGAAGATAAGTTGGAGTCTTTGGAACTTGTGTTTTGTTTATTTGTATGTATTTGTATGAAATGTAACAAAATAATAACATAAAACTCGTAATTTTATTGGCAGAATGATGGTTTACAGGCTGCGCCTGGCACCGAAGGTGCTGGATACAGCGGCGAAAGACCTGGAGGACATAATGAACATCTCACACTGCATCAAGCTCAACTTGGCGAAAGGCTATACCCTAAGGTATACTATACACACTTAACATATTTGAGAATCGTTACTAATATAATTACGTAATAAATCGCTAACATCTTTGTTTATTTGTAGGTTCATTCCCTCCACCCAACGTTTGCTGGTAAAATAACTGGCATGCTGTTGGAATTGACACCGGCACAGCTCCTAGTGTTACTAGCAAGTGAAGACGCTCTTCGGCAGAAAGTTCGCGAGGCTATGGATCTCATTGTAATGCACCCGTCTGAGGCCATCCTGGGTATAGGTTAATACATATTTAGTTATTTTTTTTCACATATTCCTAAAAGTAATAAGAGAGTAGCCCTAACGTCTAATAAAATTTGGTACACTTCTATTATATCGTCCTTGCGAGCAATCGGCAAAAATGCGTATAATTGATGAAGAGCCCATGAGACGGAAAACGCGACGCCGCAACATAGGTGGACATTTTCATACTAGTCAACGGTTAAAAATGTGCGTTTGCCACGGATCTGGGAGTCGTCAGCGTCATAATTATAGAATGTAATTAAAAAGATATGTAGAAGAAGCACAAAAGTTAATTGTAGAATTAATTATATCTAGGCAACCTAAGTTGCATATTGGTCTAAGTATACAAAGTTATCAAAGTATATTATTTCGACTGTATTTGACTCGAATTGAGTCAAATTGATTCGAAACAAGTTTTAGTAAGTAGATTAATTTGAAGATTTTCGTTCTTTCGGACTTCTATAATACAAGTGCTAAAAGCTTCATACGGGATCTGAGCATGTGATGTTGTTTTTGAGGGATTTGGTTATGGACCTATTTTTTATGTCTACCTTTGGTAAATGATTGTTTGTTATGTACTCTTTAGATCTGGACGTGTTCTCCCTGTCCGAGCGCAGCGGCAGTGGCGGCGCCAGTGGTAACGGCGGAGGGGGCGGGAACGGGAACGGTGGCGGTGGCGGAGGCGGAAGCGGTGGGTGCGGTAACGGTGCCGGTGGTCCGGCGAGCGGGAATTCGGCGGCGACGCCGCCGGTGGCGGACGATGCGGCGCCGCTCTTCTACTCGCCCGGCAAGCGAGGATACTACTCCCCGCGGCAGGGACGCGCCAGCGCCGAGAGGATTAACGCATTCCGGAATGTTGGCAGGTCAGTTATGTTGACTACCACCGTGGCTGGATAGCTTTCACGCCGCGGCCTGAGATTTACGACTGATGTTTGGGCTTTCACTTCGACAAGCTAGTTATTACATTCCATTCTGATAAAGCTAAGCAGGGCTGATGAGTACAAACAGTTAGCTGACTTTATTAAAATTGCAATTGAATATTTGGAAATTGTTAGGTATACTTTCACTTTTCAAAGGAACCTTTATTTTTTTTTATTGTTAGAAAAACGAGTAAAAAGTGTGCCATAAAGACGCTATTGTAATTAAAAAAATGGCAGAGCAAGAAGGGTCATAACAGGAATCTTATGATTATAAATATCTGTCGTGGGCAAAATGTTGAATTTGGACGATCGAGATCTGTCTAGGCATTTTATGATATGCCACCATTTCGTGATTTGGCCAGGAAAATCACAATCGGCCCGGTAGAAAGTTTGGCAGATCGACGAGAGCAACCTATTTGTCGATATGTTCGATTTTTATTGTTTATATAAATAATTATTATTTAAAATTCATTTTATTTACTTACATACAGAGATGGGCGGTAGGAGAAAATCCGGGTTGTTGTCCATCTCTGCTTAAATAGTATTTTGGTACTACACAATCAATTGGCTCGAGTATAAGCGGGCAAATCGTCAAATGTTAGCATTGAAAAATATGGCGGATGATATAGGGCCAAATCAATAAATTGCTGCATATTGTGATATTCCCGGACGGATCTCGATCGCCCCAATTTAACTATTGGCTCACGGCATATCCAAGTGTTGTTTTTAATTTCTTTGGGTTTTTACTTTATTTTACTTAGTAATTATGTAAATAGAAATAAGATACTACCACTGAATAATCACAATTCTCATACTTTGAAATAATAATGTAAATAAAAAATTTACAATAACATGACATTTTAAGATTAATATTAGGTTCACATTTACTAATTTATTTTTTCGAAAAAAGTATTCAGTTGTTTCATACAAAATTTTAATATGTACAATCGCGAACAGTATGAAACGGTTGATTTTTTATTTTGTGAATTCAGTGTTGCTCCCATAGTAAAAGTTGGTCAGTATACTTAACTCATCCATCTCAGGAAGTCTTGGCATTATTACAGCTTATAGATTAGAATTGTGTCATCAACATCTAGTACACCCTAAACTTGATTCACCACAGCATCACCACATTATTTCATAAGCAAGTAATTAGTAAATTCCTTATTCGTTGAGAATAAATATGTAGTAAATGAATATTAACGCAGTAAATTTTATTCTGTATAGAATCATCGGATTATGTTTGCTACAAAATGAACTATGCCCGATGTTCCTGAACCGGCACGTGCTGAAATACATCCTGGGGCGGCCTGTGCGGTTCCACGACTTAGCATTCTTCGATCCCGTCGTGTACGAGAGCTTGCGACAGCTCGTTGTCGACGCGGAGACTGGCGATTCACATTCTTTATTCGCTGCACTAGATCTCAACTTTAGGTATGTTGTTGATCAAAATCTAAGTAACGTCTGTAGCAGATGTTCGGGGCTGTACCATAGACCATAGACCTAGTCTTGATAAATAAGTTTAATGTATCTATAAATAAAATTATTATTGTACGTTCTTTATTCGCTGCACTAGATCTTAACTTTAGGTATGTTGTTGATCAAAATCTAAGTAACATCTATAGCAGATGTTCGGGGCTGTACCATAGACCATAGACCTAGTCTTGATAAATAAGTTTAATGTATCTATAAATAAAAGTATTATTGTAGAACGGTCCCCGAACCTTTGTGCCTACTGATAGATATCGTAAATATTGTAGGTTCATTTTACTAGATGACAAAATTGACTAGATGCATCTGTATGATTGCGAAAGCAATACAAACGTATTGCTTTTGCGCTCGAATGAAAGGGATATGTAATGCCGGGTCATAATCTATTTCATGCACTTTATTGTTTATTTGAATTGACAGTTTGGAAATGTGTGAAGAGGAGGGAGGTGGATGTGTGGAGTTAGTACCCGGTGGTCGCGAGTTAGAAGTAACCGCTCTCAACGTGTACGACTACGTGCGAAAATATGCGCAACACCGCATGCTACTGTCACAGGAGAAAGCATTAGAGGTACGTTATATTGTTGTATATATAGTAATATATCGGTTCATTGATCAACAGAACTCGTTAGTACTTAGATATAATAGCCAATTAGCAATATTTTACGATTATGATATAAAAATAAGGGCCAGTTTCACTGGTTACTGATAAAGTTTCAGATAGTTATCTGATAGTTAACGCTATCTTCTGGATAAAGGTTGCTGTTAACTTTTTTCTGTTTCACCATCAAACTGCTAGATAATTTATCTGGCAGATAAGTTATCGGCCACTTATTAGTTGACGGAACGGCAACGTCGCTTTTTTGCGTTTTAATACTACGACCCAAATTATCGTCAATCAAAAATCATTTTTAAAACTTAATTAATATTTTTTTTTGTGTTCAATATTATTTAAGTAAACTTTTTTCACATATTTTGAATTATAATTTTATGATTCTAGAATGAAAATAATACGATATTCGTATACTTAGCTACGTGTTTACAGAAACGAAACGCAACTATCATTTGTTTTGCTTTGTTGATATTTTGTGCTTAAGACGCTTTTCAATTTTTAAACTTTTCTTTGTGTATTCTTTTTGTATCTGTTAATTAATACTGAAAAAACAAAAACGTGAAAGAAGTGTGAATTTTAATCAAGAAGAAACGGAGCTTCTTTATTTATTAGTTAACGGAGATTTTTTACTTAGTAGCCCGTTGTAGTTTTTATATCACTTTCTATTAACGATAGAATATAAACAACAGCCGAAATCGATTCCTAAAATCTTGAACGTCAAGTGATTCTAAATAATTAGGTCTAGGGTTAATTACTTGATTCCTACGGGGTCGCTTAATACGTTCGAAATATTCATCTAATTCGTCTTCTAAAAATACAAATAAATCCATTTTAGAATATTTGTGACACTTGTGACTGCAATCAACACAAAGCACACAATAACTTGAATATTTGTTCCACTAAAGGTTTCATAGAATTAACAACTATGTGGATAGTCACAAATAGTACATAACTAATGAATTTATGTATAGTATACCTATGCCATTCAATGTTTTATATTAAAAAGGTGTATAATGCAATAGTCTGCTTCAAAAAAGGTTAAACGTGTTTTATTGTAAAAAAATACTGTCAGGGTTGAAAGCGTTGTTTAGTGATTACATGACAGGTTTTCGGCGTTGGAAATTTTTGTTCCATTTATATTACGCTATAACTTATTATATAAAAATATTATAATACAATATTCATATTCCCTATTTTGTTCAGGCAATGCGTGTTGGAGTTCTGGACGTTCTACCCGAGTCCGCGTTAGAGGGCTTGACGGCGGAAGATCTCAGACTGTTGCTGAACGGTGTCGGCGACATCAACGTGGCCGCTTTAGTGTCGTACACCAGCTTCAACGACGAGAGCGGCGAGCCGCCGGAGAGATTGGCGCGCTTCAAACGCTGGCTGTGGGCGATCGTCGACAAAATGACACATCTCGAGCGACAGGACTTGGTAAGTGGCTCATTGTATATAATATTGTGTGATTGGTTTATTGCGCTCTCGGAGAGTTTAAGACTAATTCCTGTTTTGATCAAATGTAAAAAAATTAACTTTTGCATTGTATTGTCATTTTTTTATATTAATACTAGTAGCTATTTTGCCATTTTTATTGAGGGCAGAGTATCTGATACTTTCTGTTTGTGTTAATGATTGATAAATATTTATAAAAAATCTTCAAAAATGCTAAAAGTAAAACATAATAAATTTTCCATTGCTATTACAGCAATTATATGATAGAATGACTGCTTCAAAAAGATCTCTCTGCTTATCCCGCAAGGGATCCAGCGTGATATATAGAGAGGGCTTAGAGTATACGTACTAATAATTATGTATTAAAAAAAAATCACACAAATATGGTATTATGCGATACGGTGCCGGTGGCTTGCTGATTGACGACAGCCTTAGTTCACCGTGATTTATTGAGACATATAACGAGTTACCGTTTTGTTTGTCAGGTGTACTTCTGGACGGGATCACCTGCGTTGCCCGCGTCCGAGGAGGGTTTCCAGCCGATGCCATCTGTGACGATCCGTCCGGCAGACGACGCGCATCTACCCACCGCCAACACTTGCATCTCACGGCTCTACATACCGCTCTACTCCTCCCGGCACGTGCTCAAGCACAAACTCCTACTAGCTATCAAAACTAAAAACTTCGGTTTCGTTTAAACGCTCGCTGCCATTATCGTGTATTTCTTTTAGTTTTAAGCCCAGTTATGTAAGACTGTCTTAATTGAACACACCCCGCTGTGTATCTAATACGAATCCACGTTTAATGCCATAATTAGCTCAACTGTTTATTGATTATTAGTACTGACTAGTACCGACTTACGCAACTGTATGTTTTGTATTTATCTCGATTTATGTCTAAACTTTATTTTAATTTACATGACTGGGTATGTTTGACTGAATAGTAATATTCAATACGCAGTAATATTTCAATAAAGGTAACTCCCTTCCCATCTCCATGTTCTGCACAAGTACATGTAATTTTTAAACTTTTAAGCCCATAGACCATAAGTATTTGTCTCGAAAAATATTTATTATATCGAATCACGAAACAATAGAATCATCAGATAAAAATGTTGATTGTTATCGTAAATCATTTCTTTTCAATATTTTTTTTGTTAGTTTAATTTTTTTCTGTAATGGCCTAATTTATCTGTGCATTTGATCGCTTCCCTCTATTATTTATTAGTACTGCTTGTTGGGAGATAAAAGCAGCGTGACTCGTAAATATTACAAAAAAAAAAATATTTTTAACTGTTTATAGCTTTGTTATATAGTAAAAATTATATAAGATAGAGTATTATGGGTAAATCGCTACTCATAGGTGAGCTTGGCAGAGAGGCGTCAGATCCGAGCTATGTATGGTGACTTGTGATATCAGAGGAAGTATTTATGCGCCTCAATCTCTAAAAATAAGTTTATAATTAGATTTTCCTTTGATTAGTTGTATTAATATGGTTCATAATAAACAATCTCAAAATGCTTATCATCTTTTTTTTATATTGATACTCATATTTTATGGAACAATAGGTTCTATATTAATATGGGAAGTCTTTACTAAAATTAACTGGGCTACGCTTTGTAATTTTACTTGGGGACGACAAAGCCTAAGAAACATTTGTAGTACAAATGCTTCGATCAATAATACTGATTGAAGTACAAAGTTTTCATTATTTATTTTTTAGTAAGTGAAGGTGCAAGTGAGAGTAGTAACTAGATAAAATACTTGAATATGTATGTTAATTAATGAAGAAATTTTTTTTTTAAGGAAACGACCATTTACGTATAGGATTGATCAGGGTTCCTCATAGTAGGTACATACGTAGGGTTTGGCGACCAGATTTATGTGATTGTGGCTCGATGACTTGGCGAAGGTTAAAATTGTCTAATATTACTCCTAAAATTGACCCCATTTGCGACTAAAAATGAGCCCACCCATCGCAATTATATCAGAGATATTTACTTTGGCACTGTTAGCTTTTATTTAAAGAAACCCTTATTTCCTTCAACAGTCAATTTTAATATAAGGGGCTTGCTGTCATATAAAATCATTTTGTTTGGGGTTTACGGAGCCCAAAGTTTGAGCAACCCTGAGATAGATTTATGTCCCCACTGCTGGAGTTTAGGCTTCTCCAGGGATGGAATCGAATAGGGAGAATGGGCCATGACCCACTACGCGGGCCCAGTGCAGATCTGCGAGGATTAACAATTGCAGATGCAGCCGCGGCCAACGGCTCAATATATAAAATTTTTGATCATATAACCGGCCCTTGTGACAACTTTCAGACGATTGTATTGCAATCAGAACTCGCTAACCAGTGCGCCGTCGGGATAGATTATTATAAAATTCCATAATTAATTTTTGGTAGAGAACTATCAACAATATGCTAATAAACCGATTATTTTTTCACTTTTTGACCATTTAAGTAATCCGAACAGATATGACAAATAATAAATCGACGCTGGATAGCATACATAACGTGCAAAACCAAAATTAATCTTGAGAGCAGGGATTTAAAAAAAAAAAATCTTATGGTATCCTTTGTTTGTTTAATATGGAAATGTTTTTTCTTTGTTTGGAAAAGTAAGTTATTCTCTGGGGAACCATAAGCTTGATAGATCTTACGTTAGATTTGCGTCAACCCTAAGACATTACACAATATAAACCTAAGAATAAAGAGCATTGGGGACAGAGTCAAATAGATATATACAGATATGGGCATATGACACCTGATTGATGATAATGCAAGAAATAAAATAACAACAATTTTTTAAACTATATTTATATACAAACAACTCGTATAAAAATAATCTTACAAATAGTTTTCATAAAGTCTAAACTTAGTATGTACATTATATGAGCAATTGACATAAGGTAACAACAAAAAATAACAACAGTATTTTTATAGTAGTGTTCAAGGATATAAACAAGTAATAAAAGTCCTTTGGGATTTCTAAAGTAAAGTGAAAGGTTCCTATGTATTCAATTTAGATACTAATCTTAATTCATTTGATAGCTTCTTATATACTGCATAAAGTACATTTATGTGACATAAATGTAACATTGCACTTGTGAGGCTGGTACTTGGGTAAGTATTCCAACAGAATTCAATAAGAGCTAGAATCAGAAACCTTGTAATAATTGAGAAGTCAGTAGACCATAAAAGATATGGTAAACTATGAAAGTACCATGTGTAAAATTGATAATGAAGACTTCTAGCACAAACAATACCAATGAAATTAACAATGAACATTGGTAGAATAAACAGTTGTGATAAAATATCAAAATTTATACTAAAGTTTGTTACTTCATCTTTGATTTCTGGTGACATTTTTTCAGCTTTCTTACCAATTTTTTGATTGGATTTCTTGAGAAGATTTTCAAAAGAGTTCAAGAAATCTTCTTGTTCTTTAGATAATTTCTCATCTTCCTGTTTCATATTAGTTTTTTTCTTGATATCTTTTTTTAGTTTGGCCTTTAATCTATTTTCTCGATTCTTAGCATCAATTTGTGGTTGAACTTGCCCTTGTACATATTTTAGTCTACAATAACTTTTGAAATATTTAATACATAATGGCATAAATATAAGCAATAATAATATATGGATACCTAAAAGTGTCAAATGAAAGCATTTGCTTTCAAACGTCTCAATGTCCAGAAATCTGTAATTCACAGTCCAAGTATGATTGAACACTCTACTTAAATCAAAGCTGCCTTTTATATAAGCTGATGGTTCACTGATTAAAAATGGTAAGCCTAGTACTAATTGAATAAGTGCACAGATTAAAAGTTGAACAATTGTATCTTTTAAACCTAGATTTACAAGGTAAAAGAAAAATAAAGCAGGCGCATAAAGTAGTATGTTCATTTTGACCGAGACACCTAAACTGTAAAAGATACTTCCTAGATACCATTTTGAATCCATAAAAGAATTAAGAGATGCATATAAGAGTAGTACTGCTATTGGATCATTAAATAAACGTAAAATGTGAATTGAGTGTATTCTGTAAGAGGTTAATATTGTAATCACAAGAACATAAGGAGGGACTTTTTTCGTTTTAATGTAAATTCTAAGTACAAAATACAACTGTAATAAATAAATGCCTATAAATATGTACTGGGCGAGTTTAACATTTTCACCTTGATTTGTTAGAAAGTAGAATATAGAGTAAACGTAAACAAAACCTGCGGGATACACCAGAGGCCCCGTGTCCCCTCGAAGTTTACTATAGTCTAATGTTCCATTGAGGAATCCTTCACATTCTTGCATATATGCTTTCCAATCAATTTCTGTATATGGCACTCTTTCCACAACCAATATGTTGATAATCAATTCGGCGAGGATAATAAAAAACGTCACGACTGGGAGCTGCTTTGGATTGACAACCAAACCCTTTAGATAAGACCACGTAAAAAATCTTTTGGAGTGGTGATAAAATTCCTTGAACTTTTTTCGATTATCCATTTTCGCAGTTAGAATCAGGAGGTGCACTAAAAATGTACTATAATATTTGTACTACAATACGGATATGAAGTTTTACAGACCGTTGTTCCAATTAATCTATTTTCGGAATATTTTAGGGCACCTCATGCCATCATGCTTCCCGGTGCCAGCGAACGAAAACGAAACCGACCAATCAACACCAAAACGAAACAAACATCAAAAAAAATCACAAAATAGAAATAGTGAAGTCCAAGCGAGCAATTACTATTTATTTAACAAACATCGATGCTATAGTAATAAATCAATCGCCGAATTGATTTTTATTCTACAAAATTGAGGAATATTCTGTTTTGGCAAGAATGTTTAATTACGATTTACTAAATACGCCGTAGACGAGTGATCTACATATCGGTTTTAAGGTGTCGCCGACTCTGTAGTCCCGGGTTCGATTCCTGGTAGAAAACGAACTTTTCTATATATACATATAGACTCGAGACAGAGTCTAGGCGTTTTGGCAGACACTCCATAATACGAGAGTTTTTAGCTACTCATGTTGGATGAATATTGTAATTCTATATTTACAATATAAGTAGGTACAAATTTAAAAATCAAAAGGAGATGGTATTGTGGTTCTTAAAACGTATTACTGCAAATTTTTGTCGCCAGATGCAGTCCTAGTATGTGCTAGATCTCTATCAAAGACTACAGTGTATAATAGGGAGACTCTATGATGCTCATTGACATAAAGAATCGGACCGGCCATACCTACGAAAGAAAAAATATTTACATCGACATTGAAGTCAAGTTAAATAAAAGTTAGTATTTTGTGAAACTGCTACAAAACTACTACTTATTAAATAATGTTATATATTTTCCTTTATTAGGAACATGGTTAAACTAAACTATTACTTATTACACTTATATTCATTTCACATTTACGTAATAATAAAAATGTTTGTTAATTTATTAATTAAATCGTGTTTATTATATTTTCTTAAAAGTGGTGTGAATTTATTAATTATTTAGAAATCCGTAACATGTTTTGTTGGACATTTCAAAACAAATCTGAGGAATATTAAAAAAAATCTATTCCTGAAATCAAACTAGATGTCGCTACGGTACTTTCTCCAGACAACTCTTCCTTTTCTTTCATGTATAAAAATAAATTAATTTTTAATACTCAATAAACAACTTATATTTTATTTGTAATTTTTCGTATTTGTATTGATATCTGTTGATGGAGACTGCTTTGCTTCCAACCTTCTTGGTTTAAGGTCTTCTTAATTAATTTAAATTTAGATATTGACATTTTGGCAATCTGTTCTGCACATGCACGTCTATTGTTATTATATATTGAAAGTAACGCTTCATAAAGCTATTGTCGGTAGTGTTTTATAAAGTATATATTTTTGGTGGTAAATAAACTCATGTGATCTAAAAGCTCCCGGTCTTTCTCTACACCCTTTTTACCATCGGGTATTAATATCTAAGTTTCTAATTTTGCAAATTTCAGCTTTTATATGTTAGTTTAAAGGAACAGAAATGATTATCTTTGGTCCATTCGTTTTCTGCAAAAATCTACTTTTGCTAGAGTCGCCATCTAGTGAGGTGCTTCTTAGTGCTTTTTTTTGATGAGCCGATTCGATTATTATGTAAATCGATTATAGTATTACACGTAATCGATTAATGATCGATTCATGTCAATGATTATTAAATATTTTTACCCCAAAAGTTTATTAATGATTTTAGATTAATTCCACCGTATTCTAAAGCCATCCAAGTTAATGAAAAATAGTTAAAAATCAATTTTAAGACAATGTTTACTATACCAGCATTGTGCAAGCAAAATTTATAGAATTAAACTAGCTGTACCCGCGATTTCGTCCGCGTGGAAAACTAGCCTTAGTCATTCCTTATTACATAAGCTATCTGCCAGTGAAAGTCCTGTCAAAATTGGTCTAACCGTTTCAGAGTTAAGCTGGAACAAACAGACAGACAAAAATGTAAGAAATATTATTTTGGTATAGGTATGTACCGTGTATAATTACATGTGCATTTAGTAAGAAACGGTTAATTTGTATTTGTTAAAATAAAACCATAAGATCCGTTCATTCATTCATCAGGAGTTGCTCGACCAAAAAGTAAAGTTACCAAAAGTGACCAAAGAGTAGCAAAGTTACCATTATAAATAATAGAATATCTACTAATAATATTCACACTCGCGATCCGCTATGGGTTGCTGAGTCATCGAAGTAAAGTAAGTAGGTACTATGCTAACGTTTTAAACTATTCTTGTTGCTAACGTTTTAAGAAATAAGCGATGATTAAACGTCGATTAGGTAAACATAATCGATTGCAACTGATTATTTGAAAATCGATAAGCGATTAATGATAATTGATTCCGCACGCCATTACTTTCTTATTTCTTAAAATAACCACTTCAAATAAATTCAAAATTCAACTCTGTCTTGGTTGGATTGATACCTACTAAGTCTGTGATTGGATGTGCACTTGAACCGTGTTGATTGTTTGACCGTGCTCTTTGACATAATGAGTGACCGTTTCTTTTTCAAAATTTGACTGATATATTAAATATATCGAACTATAATAATTACACGCACGTCACACCAGCTTTGGATATAAGGATCTCTCGGAATCAATACCAGTCACGAAATGAGGAATCTGAGTACCACGAGATAGAGCTGTCTCTTCGAAAACTGCCAAGCAGTACTTACCAATTTTGAATCTAAATGGTTCTGAATGAAGAGGTCGCGGAGAGTCGTGACAAAAATGAGTTTATTATATAGCCTTACATCTATTGTCACCACAGTTAATGTTCTGAGTAATAATTTTCAGACCAAAGATTGAACTTTGTCTCATGCCAGTGACAACAGACCTCTGAAACATTTAGAAATCAATTATAATTTAGCACAAAATCGAACAGTTTGCAAAAGAAACATTAAATTTTTGTGAAAGCTGACAGAGTATCAAAAAGGAGGAAAAGGATTTCCATATTGTGACAACAGTTAGCCTGATACAAATACCAACTTTCACTATGGTATCAAACATTAACATAACAGCTTTTTTTTTATTATGAGGGTATCATATATTTCCTTTTTAATATATGAATTAATCCATCGACATTTTCTTTCGGATTATTAGTAAAAAAAAAAAATCCTTTAATTTCTCAATGGCATGATAAGCTAAATACATATAAAATGACTTCTACGTATTTTCGCGTTGTTACTTATATTACTTCCTGAAAACATACATTTTCCTAATATTATATTTGGAAACTCATATTTATATAAAAACACGGACAATAAATATTTAAAAACTATTTGTAAATAACTTGAAATAAAAGTTTTATCATATAAAACTGCTAAAAAAGTAAAATAATAAAAATGACTTTCCTGTTAATTTTTTAGTCGGATTTTAGTAATTTTCATTGTCGCTATGATAAATAAAACCAAAATTTGTGAGTGTTGGTAATGTTGCGTGGAAGAAATGAAGGTTTTTTGACTTGATGTTTTTTTTTTATACCTTCCGTAGCTAAAATGAGATGGATTCTTAAATATAGTCTCTTGTAATTGGCTCACAAACTTGATTAAAAATATTCCAGGCTTATATCGAATTATTTCCGTTTTTCTCGTATTTGTATCAGGCTTAGTTGGAAAATGAAATATCTTAGATTTGCCGACAGACACCGGTTGAATCGGCTTAGCGAAAAACAGAAAAAAAGTTTATAAAAGTATTTTTCTTACATAACACTACTAACTTGGCTAGATTGTACTTTTGTAAAGAGTGTGTTAAAATAAAGGATGATTCTTTTAATGTTGAGTGAATCATTTTTACATTTTATTATGACAGTTACCTGTTTACGTGTGACGTCACATGCCGGTAAACAGAACTTGGTTGGTTGCAACGACAACTATATAATTACAGGACGTTTTAATCGTTTTTTAAGTTCCCAAAAATGCTTATTTATTCCTTATTGCCTAACTAAGGACAAAAGGCGGACTCAATGCCATAGAGGCATTGTCTCCCAATCTACTAGTAAGATTGTACAGAACAGTACAAGGCGGTAAAGTCTAAAAACCGTACATAAAATCGTAACTATAAGCATTGGCATATATACATGCAATACATATAAACATATGTTTATATGTATAACGAGTACTGAAATCGTAGTGTCTGTTTTAAAAATGGAAGTAGACAGGAAATAGTGGTTACAAGCTGCGGACTTAAAGTCGAGCTTGTATGGGGTGTTACAAACGTCAAATGGTAATGCATTCCTTAGTTTGATGGCAGTGAGAGTGAAAGAGCTGGATACGTAGCTGGAATGGTGAGAAGGTGTTTGAAGGATCAGATTACTACTGGAGCGAAGATTTTTCTGGTGGGAGGCCCCGACCCAACAAACAAAATAATCCTGGAATGCGATTTAATAATCCTGTTTGGACTTATATGGCTACTATAATGGTTTCAAAATATGCCACTGCACTGATATCAGCATACGTGAATTCTGTTTTTACTCAAGTACGCTTACTCCTACAATAAATACTTATATCGGTATATAGGATCACAATTCATGGCTACTACTGAACTAAACCTCCTATAAGAGCACGTATTAAGAGTAATTACTCTCAAGAGGAACTACTATGATAACTCAGACTTATATGCGCATATAAGACAACGCTTTAAGCGCATTTTAATCTTCAGGCTCCTATATGAGCATATTCGGATTAGGAAAATGTACACTGAGGAACAATCTCTCTTTTTATTAGTCTTACTTATAGCCTCATATAATGCAATATTTTTGTAACCTTTATAAGTCAATTCAAGTAAGACTACTAAAGAGCATTTATATTTAAAGTCTGTTTTTCATATTAACATCCAATGGAATTTTATTCCATAGTAATGCTATAATCGAAGAAATCTCGAATAATCCTGGTCAGAACTAAAAGGCTACTTTTGATCGAAATTACCTATATAAGCAAAAGCGAGCCTAATACGATCTCACGAATCCAGAAAAACTTATATCAGGACTCGGTAGGCAAAAATGCACTTTATATGGGTTTATTATATGCCGTTATAAGCCAAGGTAGATTTATATGGGTATTTCATAGTAGTGCTATTGTCTAAGAAATCTTCAAACAATCCTGGCTAGAACTCTTTAAAGGCCTTTTTCTGGAAACAACCGCTAAAGTCGAAATCTACGATTTCCAGTGTGAGCCCCCTGATGAAACAGTAATAATTGTAGAACCCTAATTGTGAAACCCTAATTGGTAACAACATGGCGAATTTGCTTTGGTGTTGGCACTTACCATTGTAGAACTAAATTAATTTTTATTAATTCTATATCATACTTGGAAAAGGTCACCCAAAAAAAAGCGACTTTCCTAACATTTGTTGGTAAATAATTGATTACAAATAGTGTTATTAAGCCATTTTAAGAGGCGCTTTAGAATTTAAATGAAACCAAGATAAGGTTCAAAGAAAATTCACATACCAAAGCAAACAGACAACTCAAATACTAAGAACAATAGGATATGTTTTTCTACTATGGTTGACAATATTTCTACTTATCACATTAATAAATACCACTTACCTTGGCTCAAACTTTTTAATTTTTTTCTACACTGCACAAATTGACAATGCACTGAAACACTAGGCGCATACTTAGTAGAGGCATAGCTAGGCCTGAGTTTTTACTATTTACTATTACTACTATTGTCTACTTTTTACTATAGTGGATTTATATTGACATTTTCAGGTAAAAGTACACTTGCGTAATCTCTATATAGGAGCCATTTAATCAAAAGTGGGATGACTGCGGCCTGATATAATCGCGCTGTAAGCAAGGGTAGACTTATAAAGTGGACCCTTTTCCGGTCTTATAAGACTCATATAATCCTCAAGAAATCATGGTTCTAGGATAGTTTAAAAACCGCTTTTTGCTGATTGGGGAGGAAGTAAAACCTTGATTTCTAATACTCAGGAGTAAGTGGATCGAAAATAATGTTGAAGAGAGTGCGTTTTCTTTACCTACGTTATTTTAATAAAGTTCAATATTTTTTTGACTGTAGATTCTAAGAAATCAACTTTATTAGATAATTATCTAACAGGATGACCATAATACCTATTATACCCTTTTTTATAAAGTACATTGATAAACATGTGAGTTCATTGATGTGGGTCACTCGACGCGACTCGAGTGTAGTCGAGAACATTATACAGCACTTTTTAGAACGACCTCATAGGAAAGTAATAACAATAATATGGAATATCCCAACCAGTAATAATTATTTTATAATGGTTGGAAAAGTCAAAAATTTATCCTTATGAAAGCCATGTAAACTAAAAATAATCCATAAATTAATATAGGGGAAATTTCCATGTTCCATTTTACGTATCCTATTTTGTTGCTTTCTTCTGTTAGTTACCATTTTTGGTGTGCATTAGGCATTCTCTATCCTTAAATATCTCACTGCTGAGCGTAATCAAATAGAAAGGGATGTTGTTTTGACTTTACTCCCCCTCTCGAGTAGTATAGTGTGCTGAACCGGAGACCAGTTTCTTTTATAAATATTACTTAGACAATATGTTATACGAGTATATTACTTAGATCCCAAATTAAATAGCCTTAGCACTAGTATTTTGGAATTCCGAAAGCACCACCCAACACAGAAAAAAAATACAATTATATTTAACTTAATTAGGAATCTAACACGAATAAATAAAAGTAGCTTTGAAACTTCACTTTACATGTATTTCTTTATTACTAATCTCTACTTATATTGCAACTACTGTTACGTTTACACATCGAAATCAAATCTGCTTTAGTTTATTTTCTTCTTTTCACGGTTAATATTTTTACCCAGCGTAGTAAAATATCTTCATATATGCACGCCAACGTATATTCACGAATTAATTATTTAAAAAAAAATAAGTTTCAAGACTCGTCATGCTAGTTACCGGTCAATTCATAAACACACTTTAAATTTCGTCAATTCATCATATCCTATACTATCTATAATATAATATACGTATAAATTAATATTATAAAGGAGAAAGTTTCTTTTTTTTGGATGTTTGTCCATTAATCACGCCGAAACTACTGAACGGATTTTGATGAAATTTGCTATACAGATACAGTATTATAGCTGACTTAGATAATATGATACTTTATATTCCATTAAACATTTCCGTAGAGACCACGCGGGCGAAGCCGCAGGAGAAAGCTAGTAAAACAATATTTCTCGCTTGAGATATTAATGGTTTTTTGGGTATTTTCACAAAATGAAATCATTAATAAATTGTCTACTGTTGACGACTATCAATTTATATAGCCATATGAAAGTCAAGACTTTTTCTTTTATTTTTTTGCCATCAGATTACCTATACCTATATTTAACTTGCCGACTTGCCATAATATTATGTTAGTAAGTGCGCAAATCTTGGAACTCAAATTTGACTCACTTCCCAATATCCGATAGATTTGAAATTATACATAGACTCACATGCCTGACTCATGTCAGATGACAATGCAATAATATGGTGTCAGTAAGCTAATACTATGATGAAAGTCGAAATGTGGCCGTAGGAACTTAGTAATGAAATGACTGCATCATGTTTGGGCTCTTTAGAAGTGTTTTTATGGGCAGGCCCGTCTTAAGCACAACAGGCGCCTGACTGTCCGAGAGTTTACGCTCTAAAATATGTGTATTACTAAATATGTGTAACGCTTTAAATATGTGTATTTCTTCGGCTCCGAGTACATTAGTGCTTAATTTTTTTTATCTTATTTTTTTACGTATTTTATCCTACTAAACGGTACGTGACGTGTGTGAAGCTAGGTTGTAGATACTATAGAAATCATGGTGTAAATCTGTATTAGCTGTACATACCTATACTTAAATGAGACTAATCAGTTTAACGAGATTATGTATTCTATAAATCAGAAGACAAACTTCTTTCAATCGGTTTAATTATGAATGGAATCAACTATCTTCTCCAAACTAATAAAAAGTGTGTACATACCTACCTGTGTCTAGGATTCCGCATTTTAAACAAAAATCATAGCGCCGTCGTCGCTCGGTCGTCGTAAGGTTCAAAAGCCCAACTCTGTTTCTCCGACAACAAAAATTCGTCTATTTTTGAAACCCTAATACGACTCTAGATGAACATATTTTTCGATAATTAATAATGAAACGGAGGTAGGACCCTGACACTGTTTCGGATGCACAGATAATATTGACGTGTATGATTTAAAAAAAAATTAAGAACGAATCGAAATTTTGAGACAAACGTTAGATAACGCAGGGGAAATCCCCTGCGTTATCTACTTTAAACCTTAAACCAGGGCTCGCCCTTAAAATGGCAGGTTAATGTGGAAGCCCTACCTGGTAAAACCCGCTACGGTTCACCTTACACGGATAGGAGTAACTCGGTATCCAAAGATAGGGCCAGGTTTACCATAATTTAGAACTTGGACGAAGAATTTTAATTAAGAATATTTTCCAGTATAGTATTGTGAATGCAAAATTAATCAAATGTAATAAAAAGTATTTTTATTTGTCATAAAATGCATTTTCCACAGATAATGTATTTATGTTGCCTTTTCAACTAAAAATCAGAAAAAAATAAAAATTTAAGGAGGCTCTCTTACAACAAACGTGATTTTTTTTACTTGTTTATCTCGACATTGATAACAACAACGGGTGTATTTATAAAGTAAGTTTAAAATAAATAACTAAATTAAAATTAAACAAATATTTAAAGGGAGTTTATTTTTTTTACTGTATTATATTATGATATTGACGCCCCCTGACACTGAAAACATAGTAAGTACCTCCACTTGCCTCCCCTGCCTGCCCTGAAAATGTCTAATCTTACGTTCCATTTTGAGAAAAACAGCGGTACAGAAACCTTTTTCTCCGTGTGCTTCTCGCGCTTTACTAGTTTTTTCACCTTACCCTAGTGATGGCATCTTTATAAAGGTAGATAGTAAGACAATTATTACAATTGCCCTTGACCGGATGGTTTCAATGGAATTTCATTATCACGAATGAACTAATTCATTTCTTAAATACTTTAAGTCATAACTATTCACCTTCATTTTAGTAAATAATCTAGCGGTGACTTGTCTAAGTTTGTTAACAATAAAATATAATCAGGAAACCGTCCTTTACGGATAAACATAAAATTATGACTGTTGATTTACAAATAAGTATTTGTCCTATCTACTGAAATAAATTCTGTTTTAGTAAATAAATCGAAGTGTATAAATACTGGGTTGCATAAAACTAGTGTCATTAGTTTCAGTCGAAGTTTTATCAAAATGAGGTCTGTTCTGTTAGCATTTGTTGCTGTTGTTTTGTTAGGGATTAGTGTCGGCGAAGACGCGAAACGTAAGTATATATTGAGTCAAGATAATTGCATTTTAGGTTAATTATATAATTATTTAAGAACTTGTGACTGATGGGGCTTTTTCTCTCTTTGAATTCACTTAAAAACTTTGTAACGGTTAAGTCGTCCGAATGATTAAAATGATTGGGTTGATTGGGTCATTAACTCATCAAGTCGTGTAGATTGAATATAGTGTGAATAAATAAAATTAAAAAAAATGTTATGTGAACACGTGTGTAACACTAAATAAACTTATATAATAAAAAAACTAAAACCGTTTTCAAAAATCGAAAATATTTAAAAACAAATTTTAGAATCTTCTTTTGAATTCTAGCGGGAATAGATAGGATTTTCGTTTTATGTGTACCTAGGGGTTTTTAATTAATTTTTAAAGAATAAAATTGTAATTAAATTTGATACGTTACAAATGAAAATTTAATAATTGTTTAGGATAACAAAAAACTAATGATCTAATTTTCATGTCATTTTTGCGCAAACTTAATATCTCTTATAAAAATTTCAAGAGGTTTAGATCAACAGTATGTTTTGGATTATTTCACTTTAAATAAAAAGATTCATCAAAATTTGTATAAAAACAAAATCTAACTTTTGAAATAACTTTTTTCTTGAAGTTGGTAAAAAGTCAGTTACTTTTCATCGCGCGTAGGTTAATGGTAAAAGTAACCCAAATCAATTTTTATAACCTTTTACTTAAATGTGCCAGAGCAAAGCAAATTAATACACATTCCTCGAGTGAAGGTCTACTCCTAAAAACTCCATTGTACCCTATTATGAGAATCCTTCCTGCATCCAATCATAGCTCGCTGTCTTGATAATCTCATCTTGCCACCTCTTAAGCGGTCTTCCACTGTAGCGATTGCTTTGAGAGCCGGCTCATATCATCAACCTTTATTATGTAGATATTTATTATTTATATATTAGGTTGGGTAAAATTTTTTTTCGCATATAGTATTCATAAAATCTTTCTGGCTGTACCATTAGTATCTGGCTGGTTTTGGTATCATTAAAAAGTTAAAAATTTAAGAAGATAACTCAGAATTCAAATTGGGAAAACGTGTGATTTTCATTTGTTTTTCTTACTGTCAAAATTAGTGAATCTAATGAAGAAATTCGATTCATTTTAAAATCTTATTAAGTACAAAAAAAAAGGTAAAAATGCAACGCAAGCCGCGAAAAAAAATTGTGACGTTTATGGACCTAGAGCAGTTTCAGTGAGAGTAGCACAAATTTGATTTAAGAGCCCTGTTACAAATAAATTAGTGCTGTTACCGCCAGGCAGGAGCATCGATTCTGAACTTTATCGATAAACTTTATTAAAATATGTTTTGAATTGTCATATAAAATGCGAAGAAACTTTTTTCCCAACCTATTAGGATTAAAACTATTTACCCAAAGGTCTACAGTTCCTTGAAGCTTTAAAAACATTTTTCTTTATTAACATGAAAAAAGATATGGGCTTATACGCCGTAAACCAAACATTTGTACACTCGAAGAGAATCAAAGATAGACTTTTCGTCGACTTAGAACTATGATAATATTTTGCAAGTAGTTTCGCTTTATAGTAAAAGTTCAAGGAAAAATCTAAATCTATACATTTGTAATAAGATTTAAAAAAATGTAGCTAATAAGCGTAAGTTATGTGTTATTTGCAAAGGACATGATGTGCTTATTTTAAAACATAGGTATTTAATTAAATTTACCAGATGCATAAAATTGGTATCGTGATAGAAAATATTAATGGTACGGACCAATAATTGCTCATGGGCATTTTTTATTACTGGGATATTCTTTGACAGCAAAAAATAGTTTAGAAGACGATGTACTCTCACTTCTTACAAAATGGCGACGTGGAGAGAGAGGTCCTTTTTCATTTCCCTTGCCTTCTTTGGATGTGTTAATAACGCCCCCAGTCAACGGTAACTACGAGGGATACGGTGCCAAGTAAGCATAATGTAGTTCTTATACTCATACATCTTGCACAGGTAAATATTGATGAATAAAAATTGTAAGATTGTAATATATAATCATCCCAGTGGAACGAAAAAATTTTATTAATTTAAACTCAACTTCAGGATCACGAAGAATTGCGGGGTCGAATCCCTCACTTTAAAAAATCCAAAAGTTTTACGAGTATATCTTCGTTTTCACAGCTTTGTAAAGGTTACAATGATGTCGGACTTTGAAATGTCAAATGGCTAATTTCAATGAAACATCGTAATTTACTCAGATTCTATTCGATCCAGTAAATCTATAGTGTCGATATTTTTTATTTCCCGTCTAAAATGCAATACTCAGTAAATTTTAGGCAGTACACACGCGGACTTTTTCATTGCTAACTTCACGGGAAATAAGAAAAAAATAAATAAATGAATTTAATCGAATAACGCATTTCATATATTGCAGACTTTTTGTGGATTTTCAGTTACAACATGGACAAATTAATTATAGAAACTAAATTTCACACACAACATCGCTTTCCAAACAAACATAAAAGTATCTAAATAAATAGTTTTGGCTTAACTTGTTGGAGATGTAAAAAGAATAGTGTGTTAAACTCATAACATCATTTCAATTATTATAGAATAAAACACTTTCTTAGTACTTATACTATCATTGTTGTGTTTTGTTGCAAACCGGCAAAACATTACCTACTGCTCTAAAATGGCAGGCGCTATTAAATATGGCGGTGACTATAGAAAACATTATTAGGGTTACACACTTAATCTCTTCTATAATAATTTGTAATCGTATGTACATAATTTTCAAATTAGCATTTTGATAATTTGGTGTTTAATTATCTGCAAGAAAGAATAAGACTCAATTTATGTCTTTAGAATAATAGACGTGTTTTTAAATAAAAGTACTGTATTATGAATTTTTTAATACAATTTTATTCTTGGGATGATTATGGTAATCTAAGAAACAATCATAAAAACATAAACGCGCTTATTATTATAAAATATTGAGGACTGCAAATTTTCTAATACACAGTTAATAATTTATCAAATCGGAAGAACAAATTTTGAGGAATTTTATTTAATATCTGATGTAGTCTTAGCCGTTGCATCATCCTCTCGACATCAATCACTATTTTCGCCATTGATTACGCAGTTTTTTTCGCGACGCATGTTTATTTATTTTTATTGAAAATGCACGTATATGCTAATTTCTCTAGTAAAAAGTAACAAAAGTTCGTCCAGTCGCAGTTCCTTTTTCCGCCACGGTGCGCGCTGCGGTCGTTTCGTGGTTCCTCCACCTATAAAATAATTTTGCAAACAGACATTTTTTCTTTATAAATACTTATTAATACGTATGAACCTGTCTAATAGTAATAGGTATTTATATTGTTCAAAGAATTCACACAAAGTTTATTATGATAAATTATTATTCCGGTAAACATAGATACGGTTGAGGAAGTCCGGGGCGATAATAGTAATACACTTTAGTGCACTCAAATATATCACGTTTTCAGGAAAAATCTAATCTAAAATCTAAGCAAATGCGATCTTATTGCCAAACAACAATTCTACTAAGCAACTTGTATTTCGCTTTGCCTTCAAAATACCTACTTTGTATACTCATCACAGGCTGAGAACTAGTTTACAATGGAAGCGTTCGTCACTGGTTCCACGTACAACCACTTTCCAGGATTGTACTTTATCAATATTGATCAAGAGATTCACGTGTTTTATTAGTATTATGACTAAATACCTACACTGATTAACGATATTTTTATTTTGAGATAAATGCAATACCTATTTGCTGTATCTACTTCACCACCTGTTTGAATGGAAGTGTCTCTTATCTATACGATTAAAAACGTTTAGATAGTAAATGCGTCTGCTTATATAAATTTTAAATTTTTGTTAAATTTTATGTTTTAGATTGTATCGTAAATACTATGTTCAAAGGATATATCGTATCCAAACAAAGTGAGGAAAAAATCATGGAGAATGAGAAAAAGTTTTATGAAAAGTTTGCTATGGCTCACATTGGGAGCCGGTTTCACAGAGTTGATTTCGGAAATAAACATTAATAAATAAAAAAATCGAAATAATCTGTTGTAATAAAAAAAAAATATATAATTCACAATGCTATATGTTATCTTAGTATGAAATATTCTGAGAACACATTTTCAAAGATATTGAAAGTTTAAAAAATATTTTTATAAATAATTGCCAGAATATTCATGAAAATAAGCTCACTAGAAGCCTAAGTAACAATGCTAAAGAAATTAGGTAGCGCCAAAGTATTTTATAGGTCATTAAAATGTCTGAGTTCAGTCTAAGTACTTGTGAAAGTCGAAAGTTATGCCATCAGTTAGAGCAGTCCCGGATTGCGAAAGGTTCAAAACCCATCTCGGTTACCTGGAACTGGTGAATATTTTAAGCACAAATTTTCTATAATATCTCAAGTATGAGTGAATATTGGACCTAGGATTTCCAAAACACAAGAGCCTACGCTTAATTTGGGACCAGCAAATATGCTAATAGAGCCATTAATTTACTTATAACTTCCCGGATTTTATTTATTTATTAACATACGCCCATACTACAGATAACAATCAAATTTATATGCTTTTAAATAATAATATGACACTATTTTTCAGAATCAAGTATTCCACAAACGAGTTATCTATTACTGGGTTGAAAAATTTTTCCGTAGACCAGATAGATATATCAGCATCACAACTTAAAGCATCAGGTGTTATAACCCTGCCTGCTATATCAGTTTCCTCAGGTTGGTGTCTTCACAAAAGTATATATAAGTAGATTGTTACAAAATATCGATTTCAGTAACTAAACAGAACTTGTCTAATATTGAGAGAAAGCTATTTCATTTTGAGATATATATTTTTTTTTAATTGTTTTTTTTTCAGATAAATATAGCATTAGCGGGAAAGCACTGTGGTTTGTACCCATTGATGGATCCGGCACAATGTTGTAAGTTAAGGTTTATTATTGCATATGATAAGTTCAATTTATATTCACGAAGTAGAAATAGGGTATTTTAACGAAAACTTTAAAAAAATCAAGAACACGAAATACAGGCTCGACGTAAGTACGGTTGATGCTATAGATAGGTTTCTTAAAGTGTGATGGTACACAAATGTATTATATAACTAGATTTATAATACGAAACCTTTGTTACAGCACCACTATAAGGAATATTCAACTGAATATCACTATTCAAATGCGTTATAATAGTGCTCTCATGTGGGTTGATTTGTCGAAGTTATCGTTTTCAATAGGCGGTGTAAAGGTGTGTTAAAACAAATACCTATTATCACTAATAAACATTTTCTTTTTTTTTCTATACGCACTGTTTAATCACGATTATTCATTATGCAGTAATATTATTTTATTCTTTGTGTTAAATATCCTGAAATAATATTTTATCTAAGATGTATAGACTGCATACTTACCTAAATGATATTGAAGTATTGGGTAAATATTTTAATGTTCTGCATTTTCAGGCAAACTTAGAAAATGGCCCAACAACAATTGCGACTTTATTAAACAAATCCGGTGTCAGTATCATACACAGTTATCATGATGACATTGTAAAAGCAGTGCAAGGTCTCATGATACCCGCCATAGATGATTTCCTGAAGGGTAATGACATTGTTACGCCAGATCAGCTGTTTAAATTATTAAATTATACTGAAACTCCTCCGCCGCCGCCAACCGTACTACGAGTTTAGTAAAGATTAGTTTTATAATCTATAGAAATAATTTAAATTATGAATGAATTATATTTAATTAGTCTTAAGTATACACTTTTGTATCACTATTTTGGGTTCTTTCACTTAATAATTTATTATCTCTGGAATTTTAATAATTATTTGCAGACAAGAAATTTTGTTTTCTTATTGATTGATTGATTCATATCTTATTTAAATTTGAAATCCTTTGTAATTGACATCATTATGACTTTATAAAATGTATCTTTATAAGTACTTAAATACAAGAAAATGAATTCAACTAAATGAATATTGTTTTATTTATACATCCATGTGGTGGCAAATGGTAGAGATTTTCATTGCATCAGCAATAGTGGGCGTCTACTATCAATATGACAATAACTTTACTTAAATGTAATAAAATTTTCATTCAATAACACTGAAATTTCATTTCAGAAGAGACAAAAAGCATTGTTAATATTTAAAAAAAGGCATTTACTTGCATTAAATACACATGCTTCGAGTGAAGATGCAATTTTTTTAACAAGCCTATTTTTAGAATCAGAAATATAATTTTCTTTAGAACAGCAATATACGCCTTATTACTTATTAGTAAATTTAATTACTTACATTTTGATTATTATTGCTAAATTAAAATCTTTAAAGAATTATATATACTTATCTTGTTATGGTATAATCAATCAAATTATAATGAGCAGATTTTTCAGTTGATAAAACATTTTATCGTTAACGTGTGCTTATTGCGGATTAATTAATATGATTGAAATGATAATAGATATAAAATTTATAAAAGCTCCTTTGGAATACTTTACAACACAAATAGTTTCCATCATCCTATTTATAATAACGAAGCTGTAAGTCGGTCTTATTTTATTAATCTCACTCTGAATATTTAATTATTTTTTATTAATATTTGAATTTCTTGACAGACAAAATGTAGAAATTATATTTATATTTTTTATTATAACTTATAAGCATTTTGTGTAATTTGTTAAAGTTTTCTTTTAATTTCAGAAAATGAGAGTGGTATATCTTATTCTCTTATCGGTTAGTGTGGTTTTGGCTAAAGCTACGCCTATAAATAATGTCGATAATTTAAATGGTAAGTTTTAGAAGTATTTTATAATTTTCAAATAAATTATCACATTTTTTTTAATAAACAAATCAAAATTTAGGATTTAACAAAATTAAATGTTGTTTAGGGTAAAAATGATTTATATAGTAGAATCATAAATGAATAACACAAATATATATTAAAACAACAAAAACATTATCAAGTTTTTGATAGGGTCTTATAAGTGTTTCTCAGGCATAAAATGTATATTAAGTAACAACTATATTATTAGTTAATATTTGTATTTGGAGCTATTATTTGTTGCTAATTTATACTTATAACACGTTAAAAATTCTCCAAGTATGAGGTTAACGTGCTAATGTAGAGTTCAATAGAAAGTATATGTATTGTAAAAGTTTGTCATAAATATCTCTGTGATATAAAATTACATTATTGTTGGTTAAAATTTGCGTATTACTTACGTAATCAATATGATAATATTTTTATCAGGGGTCGGATAATCACGCTAATAACGTTAATCCATAACTTTTGATATCGATAGAGTTATTAATGTTTCAGCACTGATTTTAATTACATGAAAATGACAGTCAATGATCGAGTGCTAAGATAAAAATTGTCACCAAAAAACGGAGCCGCGGGACCGAATAAGGCTTAATCATTATTTATTTATTTATACTAATTTGGTTACGTATATGATATACGTTTTTCGGTTAAATAGCGGAAGCAAATTAGCAGCAAAATTGGCATTTTTCTTCTAGAAATACACGCAAGCCATGCAGCGCTTAACTTTATATATATTTTTGTTGATTGTTTCAGATTTCTGAAGTGTGATTTTTTATTCTATATAATATTTTACAGGCCTTACCATTACCCAAAATGTTGGGGATTTGGAGTTTTACACATCGTTCTTAGAACAGGATAGCGAAATAGAGGATTATTTATCCGAATACTTCAACACATTAGATATAAAACAACGTAATGCTATAGCAGATACCATCACAGATGCACTTAATGGCTTCAGGGATGTTATTGCCAATGGAAATGACTATTTACCTCCTCTAGATCCGTTTGTTGTTGACCACATTGGACCATTTTTATATACAGCTATTGGGTGAGTGTGAATTTTTAAGAAAAAGTTTGATAAAGCTTACTTTCCAACTGATTTTAAACTTCCATTTCTTAATCAATAGCCCTAATCTGACGACAGCAATTTATCTTGTTTGAAATTCATAAAGTGATCTGTTTAGAGTGCGATCTATCAATTGGCGACTTTCAGAGTTCGTGCCTCTGGCGATATACATAATCTGAGAGCAGAGGGTTTGCAATGGTTTACAGTAGATCACGTCACTTTCAACCCATTATGGCTCTCTTTTGGTATACAGATGACTATTCCAAGGATAACTATTACAGGTATTGTAAATATCTATTTGTACAGAGGTAAAAATTTATAGTTAGGTAATATAAGTTCTCCATTTTACTATATTTTTATAAATTTGTAGTTAGATAGATAACACTTTAGTGCTAACTCCAAATGCAAGACATATAAAGAACAAAAAACAATATTAGTAAGCTATGTGTCACAATCGGTGGTCTTATCACTATACAGCGCTCTCTTCCAGACAGCCTTTGGAAGGAGAGATGCAATATTTTAAAAGTACGGGGGCGTATAATAATCTTATGATTACAATAGATATTAAATAAATATACATTAAACAAACAAATATGTATATACTCGTACATTAACATAAATATAAATTCCAAGGAAAATACATAGTATATAATACTTTATATCCAAATAAATACACCAAAGAAAGAAAAAAAAGTTCGTTACCATGAGTTATACGTCAACTTTATTCAAACATTTTTTTTACTTAGACTGATTTGATCATTTACCCAACTTAGCACCAGTTTGAAGCTTGTTAAAATTATTCAATAAGTTTTAATGCCATTTCTCATGATAAATTGTTGTTTAAATAAAAGGACTATTTGAAGTCCAAAAAAATCTTATTTAGAAGCTCTATAACAACTGTAAACAAGGCTAAGTAAAGTAGTACTTTTAATTAGTCTTAATCTGCACCAAACCATCTTATCGATCTAATGTATTACGCTTCACCATCGCGGGGCCCAATAAAGTCAGATATCACTATAATGCATATTTTAATAAGATCTCGCTACTACAATAAAGAATACTACAACGAACTCTTGGTAGGTTTAAAGAAAAACCTTTAGACTGGGCAAACAAACTGTTTATTAGTTTACAAAAACATGAAATATAATACTATACTATTCCGAGATTGGTAATTATGAAAAGAAATGAAAATAGCGGGGCTACATATGTGGTAGCTAGTTTCTATACTTTTGAGTCTATCCGTAGTGTGGTCCTTTTTTAAGACTATGAAAAATATATTTTAAATATATTTATAATATTGTATAATGTTGACTTAATTTTAATACCAGTATATGTTCACAGGTAGATACGGTGCCCGTGCAACAGTCTTTCTTATTAACCATAACGCCGGTGGTAACTTCAGGTAAGTTCATCTTTTAGGATAATTAATCAAGTGCTCTGTTACATTTTTAATGAAAAGAAAACCCGTAAATAATAATTTACAACATTTTCTTTACCATAGGAATTGGTTGTAGGAGAATTTAATATAAAACTTTTGATTTGACTTTTTCTAGGATTTTCGCGCATAGTATAGTAGTAGGGGTAGATACAAGACTGGGCGCTACCATACGAGGACAACTTTTCCTGAGGGAACTCGACATTAAAATCGACATTCACGACACATTGGTAAGTACTAATGCACTATTCTCACCAAAAAGCAATAAAATTTTTGTAAACATAGAGGTTATTAAAAGTGACAAGTTTCTATTAAGTAATTTGAACTTGACTTTCAGCGTAATAGGGTTTAAATTTGTGTGTTTTTATTGCTTGCTTGCTATATTGTATAGTAAAACAAATAATTCAACAAGATCATTATTGACCAATTTTTTTGGTTAAAGATATATCTTTAAAATATTCTTAATGAAAATGCTTTAAAAAATCCACTTTGTCCCTGGCACTCTGAGATCGGACTCGAAACCTATGACCTTTCGCAATCCTGGCGACTGCTCTAACCACTGAGCTACCCAGGACCTAACAGGACTAACGAATGTTTGTTTGGGTGGATTGACTGAAAATTGATGAAAATACGCTCTACAGTAGCGAAAAAGTAACATGTGCTTGAAAATTCGTCAGTCCTGTTTTTTTCTCTACTCAGTAGCAGGCCTTTATACGAGTAGTTTCTCCTTACGTTCCCAGTTCTCTGATTTATACTGTTCACTCGTTGTACATATTTTATTTTTCTGTTTTTCATTCCTTGAGCGATTGGGTTAACCGCATCTATTCGTATTACTATCTCCTACTCTAACTTATATTCTATCCTTTTATTTTAAATAAAATTACAAAAACCTTTGTTTATTTTCATTATATCCTTTAAATCTATACACTTATTTTATTAACTATTGATTTTACTCTATCCATTTCTGTTTACCATGTATATATCAACATATTCTATTACTATTCAAATCTGGTACGTTCTTTTGTATTCGTTTTACATTTACTTGCTATAACATCTAATTATTCTAATACGTAATAGTGTTTACATTTAGTTCCACCTTTGTTTTCCATTTGTTATCTTACATGTTTTTATTTTATTCTGTTTTATTTATTCTTTATATTTTTGTATTTTAATTCTATTGATTGGTCACTACAACATATGCTATCCATATGTCTTTGTGTTTCAAACTTATCCTTTTTTATATATTAATGCTTTATTTCGTTATTCGGGATATTCATTCTTTGTTTGCGGCAGCTCAAATTTTATGTTTGATTTGGTGTGTTTCGTAAGTAATTTCCCGCATCTCCAAATGTAGTCAATTACATACGATTTGTTTTATGTGTATGTGTTTTTTAGGTGTGTCTGTTGTGTATGTTTGTGTGTTTGTGTTTGCTGATTCCTTGTTTATTGGCGTCCTAAGATGTATGCAGTGGTAGAACGCGCCAAATAGTCCCACTTGTCTCTTTTTCGGCATTCCACACTGAATGCGTTATTGTTAAGGTCTGAGAGTTGAGGGTACGCACAGTTGCAGCAACTCGGTGGGTAATGCTCTCTGTCTTGGCAGTTCGCTCGTAGGTGAGGGTCCCCGCAGTGGCTGCATCTGTCTGCACTCTCCAATCAAAATTTCTTCCAATATCCAAAATTGAGGCACCTTCGACTTTCATCCGCTCCAATTCAATGTAGATGCACAAATCCCGTAATGGCTGTTCACACCTCCGTTTTAGCCTGTATTATTATGTGCCATCTATCTGAGTTTCTTGTTTTCCTTCTATATTTGATTCTCTTCTGTTCCTGTTCTTTATCCTAATAGATCCTGGCTTTGTTTCCTAATTGCTTGGAGGATCTCTTTATCCTTCCTTTTTTATATAGTGACTTTGATGATCACTAATGGGTCTTTGTTATTAATCTTCTCCATAATCAGACCTTTACTTTTTTCCATTTTTTTCTTTAGTTTATCTATTTCCTCTTTTTCTGTGGAATCAATTTTTACCTTCTGTTCCTTTGCCTTACTAATCCTGTCTATTCTCATTCAGTCCGGTTGGCTCCTGAGTAGCTCAGTGGTTAGAGCAGTCGCACGGATTGCGAAAGGTAATGCAACATTGAACAAATATAATAAAAATGAAACAAATTAAAGTAGGTAGCTAATTTTATCAGAAAATTGTCACTTTTAATTTGTCAATTAGATAAAACTTTTCGCTTTTGGTAAATGGTTTCTTAAAAAACAAACGCATATCTCTATTGGATGTTCTAAATTTGAAAATTTGTATAGATATAAATGTCGCTTTGAACTAATGAAACATGAACGTTTTTGTATCGGGCAGTATGTATGCAGATTTTACTGTTACATGACTTAGCTCGCAATCTCGCGAAATCCCGAACGAAAATATTAACGAGGTTTTCATTAGCTATAGTAGAGGTATAATAGCGTTTTTATATATCACAATATTTCTTAAATCAACAAGTCAGCCATAGCTTGACATTTATAGATTACTAAGAGATTATAGGATCTGTATGATGGTTTAACACAAATTAAATAAATGTGGCTTATTTAATATCCCTCTATCTTCAGGTCTAATCCCTAGCGGTTTAACTAAAATATTACTATTATTAATATGATATTTATTTTTATTCAAGATCTCAATCGAGGGAATGACTGGATCTAGCCTCATCAACGCGTTTATCAATTCGTTCGTGCAGAGCATCACTCAGGAAGTTATCCAAAATGAATTGCAAACCGTGAGCCAACTTCTCAGCGAAGAACTGTTCGATGTTATAAACGATTTTCTAGCAGATTACAGCCTCGCAGACATACGCATCTAAGCCAAATTGTTAATTGCCAATAAATAAAGTCGATTACCAATGAAAAATATGTTTTTAATTATTTTATAATCACTTCACACCCTATAAAATTTCGTTTAAAAATCTTGGAATTTTTAATTACGTAACACAGACACACCCAATTCTAGGGCTTCCAATCCCACAAGACCGAGATCCCGCATCATTTTACAGGCCATCGGAATTTGCGAGATCACTAGATATTCTTTATAACACCATAAAAAAGGAAATAATAGGTGTAGATATAAGAAAAAGATATAAGTGTATAATTTATTTCTTATGGTTTACTATGTTTACAAATAAAAAAAGTCAGTAGACATATTTACAAATAAAAAAAAAGTGAAATGAACACAATATTAAAGAACAATGGTCAAAATGGACTACGAAAAAAAAAAAGTTCTTGTACCAAGATGGAACTATCACCAAAATGTAGTATAACTTGAATGTAATAATTATATACCAATAATTTATTTTTAAAAGCTGGGTAAAGAAAGATAATCCTCTCTAAAATATGTCTATATTTTTTTGAACGCAGTTTAAATTATGTTGTTTTTGAACGCATCATAATAATAATGTCATTCCTAGAGAAGTCCCTTTCTTTTCAAAGAACAAGAACGATTTTATTTCTGACTTATCGAATTTGATTCAAATCTTATATTATTTACTAACCATATAAATCCACGAAAATTATAAAACTTAGATTAGATTACTAATACTAATAATTAGATGTTACTTAGAGGAAAATAGTTTATTCATAATGAAATTAAAAACTAATGATTATTCATAAGAATTGATATTATAGTATTTAATCGATTGCGACCTCCCTTTTTTAGACAAGTATGTGTGGACGTGTTTCTACGCAGACCGTTTTGTAACTTTGGCGGCGATTTTGTATAGGGTATTTGACACTTTTATGATAACTATTTTTAATCGTTGTTTGCTACATTATAAACACACTGTCATAATATTTCAATGGAACCTTTTCTATTTTTGGTGAAAATAATTGTTAAAATTTTAATAGCCAAAAGCGCGCGAAAAACGCTACTCTATGTAATGACGCTGATCGTGACGTCACAGGCTAGTAAATATGTCAAATCCAACTGCCTTTAGGATAAATTAGGGATGATTGACATCGAAGTCAACATTCTATGAAAACCATCGATGTTCCCCAAATATCGATTGCGTTGCAGTTAAGGAATTGACCAGCTTTAAAAAAAAGCCTCTCTGAAGCCGTGGAAGTAAATATTTTAATGGAATCTTTTTTAATGTGGGATAGGTGGATTCTACCCCTTATGATATATACTGTTCTGATGATATATATTGTTTTGATGATATATACTGTTCTCAAAGTTAAAAACTAATTTTAAAAAATCATCGGAATTTGATATCTAATTATCAAATGCCATGCATTTAGTGGACAGACATACATTCTTTATCGTACTATGGTCTCATCCATCTGTAGGTCGACAGGCTGTAAAGTGCGAGCCCTGTCAACAAATATAAATGAGTCATAAAATATTTATGACAAAGAAAAAACCAAAAAGAAAACCTTCAAATGTATCGATATGAAATAAAAAAGTTTCAATACTTTTAGCGAATCCTTACCTATATAATTTTATCACCCATCTCTACTCTATATGGCTACTATACTATTGTGATTGTGAATCTATTTTCTTTTAGACTCGAAGTTTGTTTGTTATTTATAGAAGTATTAGTACATTGTGGCTCTACGCACCACTTGTAGCTCATTTTTTAAAGAAAACCATAGCAGAGGAAAATAGAAAACGTAAAAAATACGCACTACGACTTCAATTTCTCTTCTAAATTATTATTTCAATTTACTCTAAAGACTGTTGTTACTTATCGATTTGACATATTTACTGGCCTGTGACGTCACGATCAGCGCCATTACATAAAGCAGCGTTTTTCGCGCGCTTTTGGCTATTTAAATTTTAACAATTATTTTCACCAAAAATAGAAAAGATTCCAATGAAATATTATGACAGTGTGTTTATAATGTAGCAAACAACTATTTAAAATAGTTTTCAGAGAAGTGTCAAATACCCTATTTGCGGGGATTATATAACAATAATACTCGTTATTTTCTTGTCGTTACGTTACTCCCGATACCTCAAAATTAGAGTAACGAATCGAATCATATAGCGCACGCGTCAATGATATTTCAGTTTTATACATTATAGATACGTGTACTGTAATTCGTCGCAAAATTCGCAATTTGTAGAAAAGTAAGTAATAAGTACCTGCTGAAAAAATATTATTTACAATAACATAATATAACGTTGTAACGATAAATCAATAATAAGATAAACATAATAGTTGAACTGAGAATGAACAAATGAAATAAAACATCTGTATCATTTGTTCTTATAAAGAAATGAATCATAATAATACAATAAAAACACATTAAAAGAAATTATAACAACAAAGACAATCTTTTTTAAGAATTAAAGGGAACACGCCTCATCAATACTTGTATGTAAAACTGAAACAGTGTAGTGAGGTACAATAAATAAGAGTAACGAAATACATTCGTGAGTAACGTTTTCTTTACTCTGGCGCACCCGTTACTCAGTACCGAATAGATATGATTTGCACAGCTCTATTAACGTCAAATGAGCTAATGTCAGTGTCATGGTTGTCATTTAAATTGAAAGGTTTCGTGTATTGTTTGCTTAGAATAATTTTTTTTTTTTATAAACGAGTTTGTATTTAAATTATCTATTTTGTGCATTCATAATGGCAGGTAATTTTTGGCAAAGCTCCCATCACCAACAGTGGATACTGGATAAAACAGATCTTATCAGGGATCGCCAACACGATCTAAGCATTTTGAGTGACGAGGAATACCAAAAAATATTCAATTTCTTTGCAAGTATCATTCAAGTTTTAGGTGAACAATTGAAGCTACGTCAACAAGTAATTGCAACGGCTACCGTGTATTTTAAGAGGTTCTATGCAAGGAATTCTTTGAAGTGCATTGATCCCTTATTACTAGCTCCAACCTGTGTGTTTCTTGCTTCAAAAGTAGAAGAATTTGGGGTCATCTCGAATTCGCGACTCATAACGACATGTCAGACCGTTATTAAGAATAAGTTTGGCTATGCATATGGACAACAAGAATTTCCATACAGAACAAATCATATTTTAGAATGTGAATTCTATTTGCTTGAAAATTTAGACTGCTGTCTGATAGTATATCAGCCGTACAGACCTTTATTACTATTTGTTCAAGACATAGGTCAAGAAGATCAATTACTAACCTATGCTTGGAGAATTGTAAATGATTCTTTAAGAACTGATGTCAGCTTGCTATATCCACCATACCAGGTATTTATATTTATTAAAAATGGATAAATAAGTATATGATCTACTTTGATTTTAATATTGTTAATTTATAATCTACTTTCAGATTGCAATTGCTGCATTGCATATAGCGTGTGTGATGCTAGGCAAAGAAAATCAAAAAAGTTGGTTTGCAGAGTTAAATGTGGATATGGATAAGGTAATCCATTGTTTATCAGTCAAATTTGTTTATTTATTTTGTTAATTTTCTATAAGGACATATGTAAATGAGATGTCGCTTCTTATATAATTATCCAGTATTTCTTTATTATTATTTAAACATATTTATTATTTATCATTAACAAGCTTCCATTGTTTACAGATTCAAGAAATAGTGAGATCTATTATAAATTTATATGAAATGTGGAAAAGTTATGATGAAAAGAAGGAAATACAAGGACTATTAGCAAAAATGCCTAAACCAAAGCCCGCTCCCCAAAGATAATAGTAAAATAAGACTAGATGTGACAAATGTTTATACAAGGTTAAGACAACAATGGTGAAAATGTATGATAACTATTATCAGAATGACAAATCAACATTAGTATTTTTATAACATTTTATTGTGCTTGCAACTGTAATGAATTCATATGTATTATTTATTGTTCTGTAATTGAATGTATTGTTCTGAAAAAATCAAGTAAGAATGTCTTGTATTCAGTATCAATAGATGGGTGTTGGTGTTATAACCCTAATGTTTTTTTTACCAATAAGATTGTCCATATTAATAGTGGTATGTTTTCAACTTACAATATTTCAATCAATATGGCAGACTGGTTCATATACTGGTTTCAAGGTCTCTGAGAGTACCATTCCTGGTTAAGTCAATGTAGAAAATGGTTATTTCTGTATTGTCTTTAATCTGGGTGTTGTAACTGTTTTAGATTTCCAAATAAAAGTGCTAAAAATTACTTAATTTTGAGTCTGAGCAACATATGCGTCATTCTCTTATATCTTCATTTACTTTATATGTATTTGTGTACTTTAATATAACTATATTGATGAAAGATTGTGATATTTTACATTAACCTAATGTGATGTGCGTGTCCTGTAAAGAATAATTAATTATATCAATAAAAATTCATAAAAATAGTATTTTTAAAACTAATACACATAACTCTATAAGCATAGAAATCACCATATCACCATTGAAAAAATATGAATATTTTTATTGGTAAAAAAATCAAAATAGAACATTAAAACAGGAATAACATCCAATATATAGTCTTCGACATATGGGTCCATTTCATTCCCATTACATTTGTTTGTTCTGTTTCGCGTGTCATGTATGGAAATGTGTGAAAATAATTACCTACACAGGCTAAATATGTTTTAACAATATCTATTGATGTTAAATGATCTTTCACTTAAATTAGTATAAGAACAGTACTTATACCTATAAATGTAAATGAGTAGTTTATATAATGTAGAGATTCCATAATCAGTGCCTATTATGTCTTGTGATAACACTAGACCGTATGCACAAGTTCTTGTCTGAAAATCTAGACTTGGATTAAACTATTGTTTGTAAAGACTGCCAATATTTTTACTTGTGAATATTGCAATAAAATATAAAAAATATAAGTTTGTTTTTAATAAGCGATTGCTGACCTATTTGTATTCATCTTCCTCTTTAAAAGTACGATTTAGAAAAATCTTCGATAGCTTCAACCTCCCATAGCACTGTATACCCGTAAAACCCATAAAACCCAACTAAACCTTCATTGTTAAATTAAAAGGTTTTATTTAACGTGCAACGTATGTGTGTTTGTTTGGGTTGAATCTTTAAACTCAATTTTGAAGTAGATATCTTCAACCGATGGAGCTGAAATTTTGTATATGTTGCAACTAAGCGGTATAATCAGCCGACCAATGGGCGGCTAGCCCTTTAATAGAACGGCGCATAGTGTGTCGTCCGGAACATACTAGCTAGACTAAAATCACTTTCGAATTTCCAAGAACTAATTATCTAAGTAGGTAGCCATTATTCTCAGTATCCCGGTTCTAAGAAATGTTTTGCACACATTTCAATCATTGATGAGTCAATGAGGGTAGTAATATAAATAAGGGGTAAGTAAAGTATTATTTAGTTGCAATTTTGCTTCTAACGAGAAACGTCATATGCTAGTGAATTTTATACTTGTTAAAAAAAACTGTGATGGATTTTGTAGCATAAGGGTTGTACTTTTTATTTTATAACTTAAAGTACCTATAGTTTTTTTCCACCATTTACAAGACGCGCTATATTGCAAAAGTATAATATTTTTTAATCGATTTTAATGTTTGATGGAACAGAAACTACATTTCCTTTTTCCCCTGGGTTGATTTTTTGATATATCGTAGATTTATCTGTTAGCTTTCGATTTTTAGTAGTCATAAAATTCACAAAAAATTACAACTTTTTTATTTTTTCTAGAGATCGAATTAACCATCTACAAAAATAGAGTTTTTGGAAGAATGGCGTAAACACCCAAAAGAAAATCGAACCAGTGCATTATATGAATATATTAGGAACAGACACGGATTATTGGGTATCAGCGTTGATTCCATGAAAGAGTTAAGGAACCATATCAGCAGAACTTCTTTAAAAATTGCTGAAAAATGGAAAAGTTCCGGAGGCAATCATGAACGCTTCCTGGCCAACCTTTCTGCTTACGTGGCAGAAGATTTCAAGTGTAAAGTGGTTGTCCACCACCCCAAACCCTCAACATCCACTCCGGGTCGTCCTGCTTAAACTTTTGACGACCTGAGCGATAAATCTAAAAAAACGGCGACTCGACGATTTACTTCAAGAACGGGATACAAACCAGTTGATGGCTGGCTGCTGAAATTTCAGCGCGATTGACTGGACACCGAAATCTCGCCTGTGTGATTAGAGAAGCCAGCAACAGCTCGAAGAAAAGTCAAGAAATAAAAAAAAATATTAGTGCGCGTGTTGATTCGCAAAGTTGCCTTTCAAAGGAAGAAGCTCTTGCTTGCTATGTGGACGCCAGAGGTACAACCCATTCTTACAAACAAATGCGAAAATGGAGCATGAAGGCGGGACATAAAGTATTTCCTTCGTATAATAGTGTTAGGCAGGCTAAATTAGACTGTTAGTCCCCTCAGGAACAGATTTTTGTAACCGAAAGTCATGCAGAAATTAAACTTGAAGTCGCGTTAAACAAAACGGTCGAACGTTTAATTTCTGCACAGCTTGAGGTATTCAAATCTTTGCCTCCTGATTCATCATTCTCCCTTATAAGCAAGTGGGGATGCGATGGAAGTTCTGGTCATAGCACTTACAAACAAAAGTTCGCAAACAGTGAAGACACTGATGAGTTTTTATTTGTATTTTCATTTGTGCCGCTTCAATTACGAGACAATAGTGGTAACATTGTTTGGCAGAATCCTCGACCATCTTCTACTATGCATTGTAGACCTATTAAGTTTATTTTCTCCAAAGAAACAACAGACTTTACTGTAACGGAAACCTACAAAATTTTGGAGGACATAAAAAACCAAAGATTATAGAAGATTCCGAGAACACTATACACGAAAAGTTTCACGTATTGCCACGAATAGAGATTTACTTAATATGTTAATAATCACATCTGATCCTGTAATAAATAGTCTCCGAGAAATTCCAAAAAAACCGACAAGTAAGCTTCCATCGGAGGTTTCAGAATTAATTATACCTCCTAGTTTAGACATACATTCTAGTGTAAATATCAGTAGTTTCAGTCTAAATGTTAATTCTGTCTATAATATTGAAGATTCTTCTTCAGAAGAATATAGTGATGAAGAATAAGAAAGCGGACTATTATATCATTGTATGTTATTATTTTATCGATTTTTAATTATGATTTACTCATTAAATTTTTAAGAATGTTTGTTAATTTAAGGTAATTTGTTATATAAAATTAGGTAATGAGGTTCCACTGTGCAATTAGTAGCTATGATATTAGTAATTGAACCATATGTGTTTTTACACCTTTTCTATTGTATTTATCTTTCTTTGCCTTAATTAAACACAATTTATACTGGTAATCTTTGTTTTCATACAAATCGCCACCCTAGTTACCTACCTTCCACCATTTATTTGGGTGTTTTGCACGAATTATGTAATAAGAATAAGACATCATACAAATCGTCACAAAAATTATTACAAATACAGGACTCAAAAAGACAATTACACACTGCTTGTTCGCGACTGGAAGTTAACGTTTTGTTACTATGTTCCAACACAGGAAATTGACATAAATATTTTTTTATTTTCGGCTCTTAACCTTATGGGTTCGGAACCACCCTTCCAACGGGGGAAGGAGGCGGTGAATCCTTCATTGTATACCACATAGCCGGCTGTGTGGTTATGTCAGACGCCTACTGACTAAACACCGCCTTGGACAGTTGGTTGCGTGCCCTGAAGGGGCAAAAATAATATAAGTTACTTTATGGGGGCAATGAACCTTCGACCGGAGCGCTCCAGTCAAAGGTTCGTTGTTTTGGTCCTGTAGGTCACGTGATAGATTAGAAATCATATAAGCTTTTTTCAATATAGGTAGGTATATCCCCTTATAAGTGAAAGGTACCTAAATAATGAATAAATTTTACATAAACCATAATATATTGGGGCAGGACGAAAGCATGCATTACTGATAATGTTCTAGTACTTGATGTTTAAATTTATAATCGTGTAATGGTTCTTCGTAGTTTTGTAAAAAATCTTTGACGCCATTTCGTAAACAAATCGAAATTAGTGCCGTGTAAGCGGGGAATAAATACGCTAAGTGAACTTTTTGATTTGAATGAGCATTTAAATCAGCCTTCCTATTGTAATTTTCAAATGTCATGATTTAGTCACGATTTTATACGCGTGGAATTTTGCTCAATGAAACTATTCTTTGAGCAAAATTCTTTTTCTTTTAGAAACTTCTGTTATCAAATATTTATTTACACTTATCAATTGCCTAAAAACAAAATTTGACAAATAACTCTTTTTCGCGATAAAAGGTAGTCTATGTCCTTTCTCAAAGTTAAATCTACTTCTGTATCAAATTTCATTAAGCCTACTGCAAATGCTCATGAAATTTCCGGATCGCGGACATAGCATTGCACAACCGTAAACACGTATTTCATTGCGCCACCTCGACCGGAAAAAAACCGTCCCGAAATAGAGAAAAGCAAAATTCCGGACAGTGCATAAGCTAGCGTAACCTAATATGACCTGACATATCGGACCGGAAAAAATCGGACTGCCGGACCTGAAAATTCAGTGTGGTGCATAAACGCCTTACCTCCCCTACATGTAAAGTGGGGATGATGATATTTTTCGTCTTTCCTTAGTGTGGGACGTCATTGGATAGATCTTTCAAAAACATTGGGGGTGTGGGAAGAACGTTTTTCGATTTAGTAAACCGTTTGTGACTTATTAAGCTTTAAACGGAACTCTGATAGATCTCTTTATTGTCCGTCTATCCGTCTGCAAAGACCCTTTTCTCGGTAACGCATGGAAGTATCAAGCTGTCCTATACTGTCCCTCAGAGCTGTGAAAAAATCAAACTTCTAAGCTAATGCAATCAAAAGATGCAGCCGTTTATAAGGTACTTCCCGTGAACTCAGAATCTTGTAGTACGAAGCAAGGTCTTATAGCATATATAAAGGAAAAATTGCGGAAACCGTAAATTTTAATTACATCATATTTTTTTTTTATAGTTACTACCCCTTTCCTCATGAACGCGTAGAGGTATTAAATTGATATTCATATCAAATATTCTGTCTATAATACCTTTAAGTTGTAATAAAGACAAACATCTATGTCAACGCAATCAAAAGAAACAGCAATTTAAGCCGCATAATTCTATAATACAGGTAAAACTAACTTAGAAGTCAGTGCTTCAAATATTTAATTAATTGGTATTTGTACAAAAATAAAGGAACTATTATTATTATATGTTCAAACTCGCAACTACTACCAAGAGAATCAAAACCTAAAGGGTACTTCCAGTCATCCTAGCGTCTCCAATTTTTCATCTACTTAAAACCATTATAACTGTGGCGACTGAAGCCTCTACACAACGTCCCCATCCTATTTTTCTGGCTCTTTTACTGCCCTCATTTAGGCCTGCAGCGCCCATAAGGGGCGTTATTGCCCACTTTGGGAAAGGCTGACCTAGAGTCTTGAAATTAGGCTTGGAACAATGTTTTGTAATACCTACATATAAAGGCAAAATTCCAAAAACCTTAAATTTCTAGTTACACCATACAATATACCTACAGATTTGTACGAAACCCTCGTTGCGCAAAACCGACTCAAACTTGGTCGGTTTTTATTTTTAATTTAAGTTTCAGTAAATTGATACTATTACAGAGTTTGACAAATGCACTGTGACAGCTATATATTTAATTTATTATAGAAAAATCATTGATGATAAAAACCTTCAAGCAAAAATGATTATCAGAATCCATCCAAATAAACTATCCTAAACTTCTTCGTCGTAACGTATTCAGTACCTATAAAGCAACAACCAAATTCTGCCGAATTGAGAACTCTGCAAGATGGGACTGACTTTCACCCGCGCCTATTTACGCGTGGATTCAATGTAAGATCCCTTTGAAAGACCTCATAAGCCAACGGTTAAGCCGTGAAACTTACGGAAAAAGCGACTTTCAATTTCATAATATTAGAAGACGTAATTGTGTCTAGACCACCTACCTAACAAATTAAATTAATGGTTTCCGTGGATAGGAACTTCGTGTCGATTACTAAGTACTCTGTTACTTAAACAAATGTACACGACTTGGGAACGACCTATTGTATATGTAGTCCAACGATAACAACTTCGATGACTTTATTCCATAACAGTAGGTTCTAATCGAATTACGGTAGTGTGCCCATGATTTGGTCTTTATGTGTCCTAGTTCTCATCTCAAATGAGTAACTTAACATTCTTAACTTAACAACGAATTTTAACATTCTTTTTGTCATAAAGAATGTTAAAAATCGTTGATCCGCCATTTGACAGGCGGCAGGAGATGTGTAGGGCTCTCCATCTGCACGTCCACTCAAAGGCTAGTCAAAACACGTATGATATACCAATTAAACGCCCTTGATGCACCCTTTTTTTGGGGGAAGGCCTGGATATTGAAATTGAGTCGAGTTGACGTCTTTTGTAAATATAGTTGTTAATAATTTTGGCAGTAGGTCTCTAAGTACTTGTTTTAGGAAACATTTGCAAATGCTATATAGGTACTTTATATTTAAATTTGTAAGTAGGGTGGAAGCATAGTGTGCACATTTTGTCAGTAGATATGGTAAATTGCGACACATTACTTGATATTAATGTAGCTAAACTGTGTAGGTACTACATTAATCTCGGAGTGCTAACAGAATTAGAAATGAGTGTGTCCTATTACATTACAGATTAAACAACATCGCATACATTGCTCAGATTCCAAGATGACTAGCTAAAGCCCCCGTATTATAGAGTATCTGAGACAACGAAAGTAATACAACACCCAGACCCGAGACAATATAGAAATGTTCATGTTCTACATTGACCCGACCGGGAATCGAATCCTGGACCTCAGAGTGGCGACACCTTGAAACATTCTTGAAACCTTGAAACTTGAAACGGAGGTCGTTTACTATACTAGCCCCATACTGTAACTTTGAAAATAGTTTTAGGTGTTACATACAAAAATATAATTTCTACATTTCATTCATACTGTAGGATCGTACAAACATAATTGGGTTGAGTAGAAAATATCTATTAAGTCTTAACGTATGGTCACCCTATGTAACAATTAATCCAGTATAAAAGTGTCTGTCAGCTATTAATGATTAACAGTTGTTATCTACCTGCAGCAACAATTCTTACACCTCATTATGTCTTCTAAAACCATATTTTGCGACCTCTGCATCATTACACTGTTCGGTCTGCTCGCAGTTTTTGCAGAGGAAAAGTCTAGGTAAATAGTTTTGTTAGAAGAAATCTCCTACGTTTATACTAGGAATTGTGTGTTGATTATCTAAATTACTTGTTTCAGTGTCCAGGAAAGCACAGACAGCGGTCTAAAGGGAAATTGCTCTTGCGGCGGTTTTCCTACGAATACTCCGGCAGTAACAGACGCGCCCCTTCTCTCTCAGATGCCGGGCCTGGTCGTGCAATGCGATGAGGCGGGGCAGAACACTTGCAAGAACCTATGCAACGCTATAGCCACCGCTACTAAGGCAAAAGGACCCGAAATCCTTTGTAATAAATTAAAAGATGCTCACGAGTTGAAGGTAATTTGTGCCATCAGATTATTGCAACTGCAGGAATAACTCCTTTCGTGGTCGCTGTTCATACTGGCCACGTAGACTAACCGTAACAATTTTGAGAAGTCATTCTTATAATACTCGTTTTGAGATTATTAAATATGTTTAGCTAATGCGAGTATGTAATTCGTTAGTCTTCCAGAGGCAGGGAGTTTTACTCTAGAGCCAAAAAGGTCATGGCTCGAGCCAGCAGGTTATGACGAAGTTTACTGCATAGGTACCTTACTTTTGTATGATCTTATCAGCATTCCATTATTGTGGGAGGCAAGCCCCATAAATTTATCGAAAGAAAAGGAACCTAAATAAACCTAACAGGCCTCAAGCACTGAATCTTAGTGATATTTTTATGCCTCCAATAGCAAAATCTCGAAAAAACATGCGATAAACTTTAGATTATTTTAATTAAAACAGTTATATAATTAATTTTCGTTTATTTCAGTTGTCGGCGTTTGCTAAAATTTGCGAGAACCCATGGGCATATGCCAACATAACAGCGGAGGCGCCCCTCTGCTGTGCCGACTCCAAGGTGCTTGTGTGTCCTTCGGTCGAGGTATCCAACGGTACAACTACGGAGGACGTGGACGTCAAAACGGCTATATAACGCTACTATTTTGTTGTATAATAAGTTTTAAATTTGTCGACTACGCGTGTTATGAAAATACCAATAATTAACATCTTTGCCATTTTGTTATACATTGATCTTTCCAGCCTTTCCTGATGTTTATCTCAGTGTTCTGTTATTGTCATCATCATAATTAGGTCACTAAACTTTATGGAAAATATTTTGCCAGATTGTAGTTAGTGCTATAAGAGTTTTAGCAGAACATCCGGTAACAAAACTTATAATTATTATGACAAAAGCTGCCAGTAATATATTTTATTTTCTATTATATAAAGTTCAATGAAATCAATTTTTTATTATTATTATAATATTTAACTTGCCTGATTTTCACTAGTTAGCACAATTTTTAACAATGATAATGATGGAGCCATCAGCCCTTTGTAATTACACGAAGCAACCTCATCGCTTATGGGCTGGTTTTATTTGTTTTGGCAAGGCCTTTTGGTCCGAGACAAGGCGCATTAACCATGAGGCCACAGTTGGCCCGAACTTAGGACGGAAAATATTATCAAAAGCTTTGTGATAAAATACCGGGTACTGGCTCTCTTCATTTGTTTACAAATATTATTTATTATAGGTATACTCAGTAAAGCTAAAATTATTTACACCAAGAAATGCCTTTTTATGGAGAAATTTGAAGCTGAAATATCAGAAATATTTATTTAATTATAATTAATGCAAAATTTCGTAGATTCGAGTGTATATAGCCAGCCGTGGATCTATGAGTTTTTCGATCCGGACATTTACACCATATAGAATTACCCCTTCTTCAGGTTTTGTGATATATTGTTTTCTGTAATTAATAACTAACGATAACAAACATTCTTAAAGAGATTTTGAACCCAGTTATTTAACCATAGAATATGATTTTGAGGCTCGCATGAAATTGCTGTCTGACATGTGCCCCTTTGACCCGGGATTATGGGTAATATGTAGATATTAAAAAAAAAATACAACTAAAGTTACTTTTAAGAACAGTTTATTTACACGGACTGAACTATAAATTTAAACTGTATACATTTGTACAATTATAAAAATAGATGTTTCACAATTCATTGCCAATACAGTTGAGTGCACAACGTAAAGCACATTAACGGATACAAAAACGACTTAAAATCTACTAAGATATCAATATTCATTTACTAGAATAGACCTATATAGCAGTAAAACTTAGTTCGTCGGTTTTCATTTAATGCAATGCTGTTTGGAAGTAGATTTGCCGATGTCGTACAGTCAGCGACATAATCATCGAAGCGCCCGAAGTGGTCGAGAACATGTAAAATACAGAAGTTCAATCATATCTATGCAACCAAAGTGACATTTTATCGAAGCACGCGAAGTAATCAAAATATGTTGGAACTATTTCTTTAATTTTATCTACTAACTAAGAACTCGATCCGACTTTAATCTATTTGATTGTAGTCGACTCAAGAGTCATAACGATTCGAAATGAATGGTCAGTTAGTAAGTAACTTTGGCGAGATAATGCCAAGATATTTTGATCGCTTTGAATACTTAGTTCAATATGCAACTTTGATAATTTGTACTTGAGATCTTTCTGATCACATTGGCCGTTTCGATAATTATAACGCTGACTGTTCCAGTGCCTAACTATATATAAACTTCATAAATGCCTTCTAAAATATATAGACACATTATTACTCAAGTATAAGATAGGAAAATTTTATAAGTTGATAATAATTTTCATATTACAATATTTCAATGGCACTCATCATGATGGTCATATTTAGCACTAGTGATCTAGTTTGGGAATGGGAAATCGCAATAATATGTTACTACGAGTACAGTCGACATCACATCAACTGGTCTTCCAATCGGTTTTAGCAACAGAGTAGTTTCGGTAGTGAAAAATAATAATAAAAATAAATTGCGCAAAACTTAAATCGTAATAAAACACAGAGATTCTGATTTTGAGTCTTAAAATCGCACGATTATCTAATTAACTAAAAATTAAGTCAATATATTTTGTCTGTGCACTTGAAACATGACCCGCCATTGAGTGACGTCAATGTGGCAATAGCTGTCAGATTAGTCATAAAGTATGCCTATTAATTATAAATCAAATTCTTAGATGGCGCTGCTCTTAGTTAATTTATATCCTTTTATATCGTAATAATCGTTAGATGGGATTTGTGTTTTTTTTATTGACATCTTTTAATCTTCTTCTACTCTTTGCATCTGCTTTGTGTACAAACAACAATGACATCATGAATGTGATGAACAGCGTTTTTGCTGGTATAAAAAGTTTAAATTAAAAAATAATAATAAAGAAAGAATGTTTATTTTTCCGGAATTTTTGTTTAATGGCTTTTTTATTAAAATAAACATTATTTATCAGTGACGTTTTATTATAAGACACGTCATACCCGTACATTATTGCGTTTTAAAACTGCGTAAACTTTATTGTTGTAGCATTACATTATAATACAACCCTAAAGTGCGCGAAGAAATCAAAAATAATTATCTCCTTATTAGAATCATACAGCCTCTTGTTAGAGCGATATAACGATTTATCTATCTATCTATCTGTATAAACATACTTGCTTAGCTATATGTGGCTCCCCTAGTCGTCGTGGAATACGATGCACGAAAAAATGGCCGCGTTCAATTATGTTTAATTATTTTCATTAAAATAATAGAGAGTAAGTACAGTTACAGGTACAATACAAATTATATTTTTTTCATTTTCTCATAACTATATTGTTTGAGGACCGTTGCAAATTCATCGGATATTCGTTTTTTTTACTAATTGCGTAATAATAAATGTCAGGAGTAAGGAATCTCATCTGACCGGTAGCCCCCATTCTAGCTTGGTGCCCGTGGCATTATGTGTCATTTGTGCATTGTTTAGGCATTTTTTCTACAACTTTTCACAGAAAATTACGAGTAACAATGACATTAGCCACATTGCTTGCTGAAACGTGGCTAAAGTAAAACTCGGGCAATTGCCTTACTTTCTTGTTGTCAATGTTGTGCGCAGAAACCCATCTTAACTTTTTAATACATCATTGCTTACGAGTATTATTTCAAACTGAGTAGAATATCCAATTAAATCCCTAATGCTAAATATTGTGTGCTAAACAAAAATTTAATTATACTATTTGTATGATGATTATAGATGTTACTTTTCAAGTAACAGTAAATAATGACCATTTAGTTATTGTAAAATAGTAAGTATACTATACACACATACAAGATAAGGTTGAGAATAACGAATAACTAATAGTAAGTAGTATTCATAATACAGATATATTTTGTACAATGTTAAACAAATCCAACACAAAAGAAAGTTCTTAAGTTATATTTTATTGAAGGTTCATTTTTTTCTGTTAAAATATTATATTCATTTGATCACATATTTATGTTACTGGACTGCAAAAGAATCTTATCTTAATATTTATTTTATATGAAGACAGAAAACACTCACATAATACCATCAAAGATATTTCGCTTCTCCCCGTGAGAATCTAGAGTCTAGACCCTGCGCTTTTTTGATAATAGACTTCTTTTGCGCTTCATCGAAGCGATTCACTTGAAGGTCTACGTCGCGGCTGAACGGACGGCGCTCACTTTTACTTTCATCTTTTTCTTCTTTCTACAAAATATTTTTTTTGTTTTACAATTTAAAAAGTTTACACACAGCACTAAAAATATGTATAAATAAATAAAGTAGTAAAATAGTCAAATAAAAAATACGTATTTAGCATTCTTCAATAAATCTACCTGACGGACGGACAGTCCAACAATTATAAAAAAATCACAAAGTGCCATGGACAAAGCAGACGTTTTTACCATTTTTCTTAAAAAAAAAAAAATTAAAACCAACTAAAATGTTTATAAATAAAGGACCTAATGAAATATGTCATTAGAAAAATGCATAAATATAAAGAAAATAGGATCAAAAATAGAATTAGAACATTGTAACACAATACTTTGTAAAAACAAAATAAATTCCTGTGTCGACTAATCCCAATAAAGAAAGAAAACTCATAATAATATGAGAATCTACAGTATTAAGTGACCATTAAGAATGTAATTTATATACTTCACCTTTTTCTTCTTTTTTATTTTCTTTTCGTGCATTTCCAATAAGCTTTCTTCTCTTTTGTGTTTCTTCTTATGTTTTCTGTAACAAAGTTACATTAATAATAATGGATGATGGTAGAGCCGCGCTCACCCCTAGCCATGCTTGTGTGCGAAATCTACGAAGCTCTTCTTTTTAACTGACTTTAACACCGAAAAATAGGATCTTCTATAATCGACGGGTAACGAATGTATCGTTTTTATGTCTCGATTTGACAACAATACATTTTTTATTATTTTAAATTATGTTCTCCGGTTTTGTATAGGATTAGCTTTTCGCTTCTCCCGCGTGATTCTGTATTATTAGTAAGTTAAAAACTTTACCTCTTTATAACATTAGTATAGATATGTACATCGACGAGTTGACAGAAACAGTTAAATCTGTCAAATTACTCAACTTGATTTAAACCATAATGTTTCACAAATAGAACTCAAAATGTAATAAAAAATAAATTTGAGATATTGTGGTAATCTACACGTCAGAGCCGTTATAATATAAACGTAAAGTATATTAAATTATGATTAAAATAATTATGCACCTGATAGCATCTTCTTGCTCGTCATCCCTGTTTGCTATCTGTCTCGCTCTTGCGTCCTTGCGGAGGGCTGCGTCCATATCTTCCTCCTTTTGGATGCCAGCCGATTTACGTGCCTTGTCTTCTGGTGTATCTGTCCAACTTGATCTATAATAAAATGTAAAATGATAACGCACTTGTGGTTTTGGGTCCGTCCTGTGTTTTTAATGTGCTGACTACGCCCGATTGTTATTAAGACTGTACGTTTCGTATTGATACAATTACAATTGAAATACGCTTCATACGCACGACATTTAGTTTCTTTTCGATATTTCGTAGTTTTAAAAACACCGAGAAAGCGTGAGCAGTGTTGTCATGAGTCAAGCCATAGTTAGGCCATAGGGAGATCAGTATCACAAACGCATGCTCACAGTGCATTTGTATCGCGATATCTATCGTGTGTAAAGATCATAACGTGTCGACGGTCCTGCATTTGCTAGGCATCGGACATTAAAAAGAAGTCATATGTAAAGGCCCTTATTAGAATCAAATAGAAAGTGTGGGGCATGACGTGAATATGTAGGTCATTCATCCAATGATAGACCCTTGTAAAAGATACTTAACTACCACAATCGAAGACTGAACGAGCTTAACACTGCGCCAACAAAGTTGTCTATGGAATTTAATGACTAACTGAATAGAGTAGTACTTTTGCAATATTTTGAAATACAATCTGCATATTTTTTTGGCAAGATGATAAACAAAAATATAGACAACTTACCTATCAGACATGTCAGGTCCTTCTTTAGCTCTAAAACTTCGTGCCTCCAATCCTAAATATTTGGCCTTGCCCTCAGGAAGTTTAAGCATCCATTCTTCACGAGTTTTTATATCAGATTTCTGTAATGTATGTCCATCTAGTTTTCTAATTTTCATATCCAGAGCTCGCTCCTCTAGTCTTTGATGGGCTTCTGACCATTTCTCTTCAGATCCAGCAGGCAGAGGACCAATACCATCCTCCTCATCGGGGCTTTCGTATTTACTGTCAGTCTCTGATAACATTTTACGCATATCATCCGGTATGGAAGGCCCTAAAAAAGAGGTATTCAATGGGTCTTCACACTATAGACATTTTATCATATTAATTATTAAATAACTGTGACAATGCAATGTCTAGCAAATTCCACACAAAGTCAGTATCTGCAAGATCTAACAAATTCATATGCATAAGCAACCACCAACTAATATTGCTTTGGTCTTCCACAGAGCATCCTCAGGAATTGCAAGATCTTAGAGTATCAACTCAATGGTTGCTGACTGGATGTTGAAGTTTCTAGATATCACAGTTATAGAAATGGATTTCTGCACATATTCTATTAAATATATAAGCTTTTTTTAGACTGAGTATACCCAAGAAATAAATTTTAGATTTATGAATTTAACGGCCAGTTGCACAAAAGACCATTAAGGTTTAATGACGCCATTATGCTCTAATGAATGTCAAATATGTATCGGTAATGTCGCTTTATAGTAATGAGAATTTTAATGGACGTTTGTGCAACTGGCTGTAAGTCCTTCATTGTGGAATATTTTTTTTTTGTTAAACACAAAAGGAAAGATAGTGTTGCATTTATAAGTAAAATTCAACTGCTGCATTGAGAAATATAGTATACCTATATGTTTTGACTTCTGCAAGTGAGGTGGTAGTGCAGGTCCCTCAATCACAGGTGATGTACTCCCTCTATGACGTTTTTCTAAATGTGGTGGTAAAGCAGGACCACAAATATCCGTTTTAGCTTGAGTCCTAAACACAGAACGTTTCAATTTGTGCCTCAAATCATTTGGATCTATCTCATATTGGTTTTGTGAGTCATCATCACTTATTATTTCACCTTCTTCACCACTCTCCTTTTGTGTACTCTTCTGAGTAGATGAAACTTCTACAGCATCAGAGTGACTGTGTTCATCATTCTTCATATTGTCTTGTATATCTGTAGTGCTACTGACTTCTACAATGTTGGTGTTATCTTGTTCTCTGTCTTTAGATCTCGAATGCTTCTTCTTGTGCTTCTTTTTATGTTTCCTCTTTTTGGTTTTGTGAAGTTCTTTTTCTAAATTTAAAAGTTTAGCTCTAAGTTTTTCATCATCAGATGAATCAATTTCACTGGATTCCTCTGATTTTTCTTTTACTACTGCAGGGATCATACTATAGTAAGAGCCCGGTTGAACATCGTCTGATGTATCACTATGCTCTTCTACAACAATGGGACTTTTGCTTTTACTTTTCTTTACTTTAGCTGGTGGTGGTATATAAACTTCAGACCGTTTTCCTCGTGGATCTGGAGAATGAGATACTTTTTCTCTAGTCTTTGAAGGTTTCTCTTCACTTTTTTCTCTAGAAATGTTTTGCTTTATTTCTTGTTTAAAATCTCTTTTACGGTCTGGAGATCTATGAGATCTAGGTTTAGAATCTCTTCTTCTATCCCTACTAGAGCTTCTCCTGCTAGATTTTGTTCCACTTCTAAAATCTCTACTGTGTCTATGTCGTTCATGTGACCGACACCCAAAGCTTCTTTCTCTTGTACGCCTTCTTGGTGGTGATTGTCTAGAAAACCTGTTTCTGTCTCTAGGATATCGATCATGTCTACCTCTATCATCTCTACTAGGTCTTTCTAATTCTTTTTGGAACCTATCACTAATAGGTCTAGTTCTAGTAGACAAACGAAAACTGTCTTCTTTTCTATTGCTTTTTGATTGTTCGTCTTGTGATTTTGTTCTGCATTTAAATCTACCAGTCTCAGAATCACTGCTTGATTCATCAGACAACATTTTCGCACCTAAAAACAAAAAAAAAAAGGATTTAAGTTACTGAATCAAAAAGAATATTAATTTTAATACTAACTTTATTTCTATATATTAATCTTAAAAATATTATTATTCACATTAGATACATAAACCAATGGATTTAAAACATTTTTGAAATTTTCTTAGCACTATAACGAATGGATTTGAATAATCCTGCTGTGAGGATCCCTTTCAGTGATTGTCTTACACTGGATTGCCATACTAAATCTTTAAGTATTTGACTTAAAATGACAGCACAATCTATGTCATATGCAAGTGCTCTGAGGACATCTTCCATGTCTTGTTGTAGTCCCCCATGATTCCAAAACTTCACAATCCTTTGCTGTGGGATAATTGGTAATTGCATCAGATGATGAAGTTTTGTCTCTGGATGTACATCTTGATGACACTGAGAGTCCGACATAGGGAAATCTAGATATGTATGAAATTGTTGTAAAACAGGTCTGTAAAGCTCACGGAAATTTGCCAATTGAGGTTGCACAATATTCCTGACCTTGTTTTTGTTTTCACCAAATGTCATTCTAAAATCACCAGCATAACTAAGATTAGATATGGTAAAATAGAAGTCATACTCAGAAAATGACTCTGGCAACATCAAAAGTGCTGTATGAACAGCAGATTTTAGATTTAACTGCAAAGCATTCTGTAATTGTGAACTATTATTTTGTTTTATTATTTCCACTGGTTTGTGGAGCCGTCCTGCAAGATATAAATCGTTCCAGTCAAGCAAATCTGCTATTAAATCCTTTTGAGACACAACACCGTACTTGATTGTCACATTTTCGTCTTTCATTTCAACTAGTGTGTTAAAGTACACTTTAGCACCCCATTTTTCTTGAAATCGTGCAATAAAACCTTTTCCCAGAAACCGCAGTGCAGAATAATGCGATGGATTCATTTCTATATTAGCTGCGTGCCATCGATGTGAATTTTCAACACAATAAATTAAGTCTATCATATTCTGTTTCTTTTGGTTGCTTAGTTGAGGTTTGACGGCGGATCCATATGCGAAACAAAAGGCAAAGTTTTGGGGAAATTTTGATAAAATTCTATAATATAATGGAAGAACATCCTTAGTTACACTAACTGCTTTAGTTACTGTTGCTGCCATACCAAAATATACAAAGTAGCTCAATGCTGACCTGAGTATTAAGGTTATCTTCGAAAACCAATATCGTTAACGAGGTGTAAAAGATTATACAATGAAATTTAAATACTAAATAACGGTATTTAAATGGTAACTTATTAAAATACCACTGCTATTGTATATTACGTATTTCTTGTAAACAACCAAAAGCAAAAATTAATTTATGAAGTCCATGAATGAAGTCACTGGTACCAAAGAGTAGATGATTTTAATACTGGTACTAGCTAGGCAGTGTTACCAACTCTCAAAACCCTCTAATACAATAGGGTATTTGACACTATCGAAAATAAGTTGCATTTTGTGGTCATCCTGATAGATAATAATCTAATAAAGCTTATTTCTTAACATCTGCAGAAAAAACATGTTAAGATTTAGTAAAATAACGTAAAGAAAATGCAATATTTTTAGGAATTTCTTCAACGACGAAAACGTCCTATAATTGGTCGTCGTCACAACCAATCACGATTCTGTTTACTGGCCTGTGACCTCATCAGCTGTCATGTCAAAGTAGTGTTAGAAAGATATAGTAGTGTTATAAGATAAAATATCGATGCCTGATAACAGAATACTTTGCCGCTTCTATTGATAAGAACTGCCAAAAAGAAATACAGAAAAAAAGAATCATTTACTAAAGCTTTTTAAAAAAACCAAGAAATAGGGAAAACGCCACCAATTTAAAAAAAGAGCAACTTACATGTTTTTCTCATTTCTTGAACTTTACTATAATAATTCAAAATTACAAAGTCGATTTTGATGATATATACTGTTCTCCAAGTTAAAAACTAATTTAAAAAAATCATCGGTATCTATTATCTAATTATCAAATGCCATGCATTTAGTGGACAGACATACTACATGCATGTATAAAAAAAATAGGTAGTATATTCTTTTTCGTACTAATGTCTTATCCATCTATAGGTCGACAGGCTGTAAAGTGCGAGCCCTGTCAACAAATATAAATGAGTCGTAAAATGTTAATGATAAAGAAAAAAACCAAAGAGAAAACCTTCAAATGTATCGATATGAAATAAAAAAGTTTCAATATTTTTAGCGAATCCTTGCCTAATTTTATCACCCATCTCTACTCTATATAGCTACTATACTATTGTGATTGTGAATCTATTTTCTTCTAGACTCGAAATTTGTTTGTTATTTATAGAAGTATCAGTACATTGTGGCACTACGCACCACTTGTAGCTCACTTTTTAAAGAAAACCAGAGCAGACGAAAATAAAAAACGTAAAAAATACGCACTACGACTTCAATTTCTCTTCTAAATTATTATTTCAATTTACTCTAAAGACAGTTGTTATTTATCGATTTGACATAGAGTCTGGCAAGCGAAACGTGTCACAAGAAAAGGGCGGCAATTTCAAAAATTCTTAAGCAGTAAACACTGAATGTAGTACTGCAAAATAATTTTGATACTTTTATTAATTATATTTAATCTTAACATTTAGATATCAATTAAAATTATTTGTTTTGGAACATTTGACTAAAGCGTGACTGTTCTTAATTGTACAGTTAACAGCATATCAGTAGGCCTATTCACTAACTCAACTGACAACCAAGAATCGTCATCACCGTAAAAAATAGACACTTTGATTGTGTCAAAATCACTATTTCGTATTCTCTATCAATGATGAGCAATTTCGAAATGTCAATATCGGCATTCTCCACTGGACTCCATTTTGACACTTGATTTCGTATCGATAAACTGTATTAAAGTAACATTGTTGCAAAGCATATTTGAAGTCGTCGCATAGTACCTCTTAAGCCATTTGTTGTTAAATTAAAGCGAAAAAAAATACGTATCCAATATTTTTCTATTATCTGACTGACGGACTAAATCGAATCTTTTTTTTAACCCATTCGTTATACCTATTGGCTAACAGCACTTATAATATTAAAAATTCATATTTGTCATTAATTAAAAGGGTGTTTTTTGCAACGACTTCTTTGTTTTTTTGTAATGAATATGGGCGACTCTGGCCACATTTTTTTAATAAATGTGATGTTAGCCAATTTTGATTTCTGGCCCTTATATTTATAATGTGTTCATAACACATACATGTCTCCTAAGGGATTTTCATCACAACCTTTTGCTCTGATCCAGAACCACTATCTATCAAATTAAATTAGTCAATATAAACACCAGATTACAATAAAAAAAACATTTATTTTTGTTACAATTAAGTGCCATGGATAAATTACATAATACAGGTGTCACAAAATCATCATGTTAATCACAATAGAAAATTTAAGATAAGATTTTGACTATGAATCAGACTAAAAATACTTTAGTCTGATTCATAGTCAAAATCTGTTTCTAAATATTCTACACCTGATAACAATGACAAGGAATCATCAGAGTCACTCTCTTCACTACTGTCTGCACCAACAGATATAATAAATTTTTCAAGTTCGTTTTCAACAATGCCATCTTTTAATTTGTAATCATTTTCGACATTTAAAACATGATCAGTGTATTTCTTCCAGTCACTAGGGGTAATTAAGTTAAAACACTCTATTATTAAGTTTTCCATTTCCTTTCCTGGTATTCCAATGTTTCTGCTTGCAATTTTTCTTTTTGCTTGACTCCAAACCATCTCTATTGGGTTTAAGTCACAATGATACGGTGGCAGCAATAAAAGTTCATGATTATGTTCTTTTAAAATCTCTTCAGCTTCATATACAGGCAATGTTTTCTTATCATTAACCAAACACATTAACTCTGCCTTTGTCTGATATTCCTCAAAATGTATTCCATTATTTACAAGCCATTTACGGATATCTGCTTTGGTATTAGACATTATAGGCGGTTTATTGATTTGTTTTATATGGTAGCTGGCATTATCCATAACAATTACACTGGGCTTACTTAAATTTGGTATTAATTTTTCTCTGACCCATTTCATAAAGTTCGATGAGTTCATATCATCATGATAATCAGCAGATTTGGATTTACTACTGAACACTAATAATGCACCAGGCACAAAACCTTCCTCAGATCCAGCATGCACAACAATATGCCGTTTTCCAGAGGATATCTTTGTAGTGACACCAGTTGTTGAAGGTCCTTGCCAAGACTTTTTAACTTTATAATTCTGATGTACATAAGTTTCATCAAGGTACATAATTTGCTTTCCTTCGTTTCGTTTTATATTTATTTCTCTCAAATACTTGTGCCTCCATGCAGAAATCTGGTATTTTTCTATAAGCATAGAACGTTCATTTTCATTGCTTTTAAAAGAAAATCCATTCTTAAGCATAATTTTTCGTAAAGTCTCACGGCTACCACTGAATCCTATTGCATCTTTTAATTCATTGTGAAGGCTTCTTAATGTTGGAACAATTTTTTTCACACAGTAAAATTCATTTACTTTATTCCGAATTGCACTTAAATCAAAATTATCTAAAGCAGACACTGTTGGTTGATGAGGTCGTTTTTTCCCAGGAGTGTCCCATTTTCCTTTATTAATTAATGCTTCATTTTTTATCCTTCTTAGTGTCCTTATACTTACATCTATAAAAGATTAAACACTTTGAAACAAAGATATGTTAAATGTATTTAAAAGCAAATAATGATAGACACATACATCAAAATAATTTAAATACCTATTCAACTATGAATGCAATTTATGTTTAATTTAGTTAAGTTTATGTGCATATTTAGCATGTATAACAATTACATGGTTTGATTAGTTTCATGAATTCTGTGAATTTCCTTGTTAAACAAAACATTCTTATGACATCATTGGATGTCAACAATAAAAACCAATACATCATAAAAAACCTATGTAAATATTATAGGAATACTATCAATCTATCTTAAATCAAAACAAGAAAAGAGACCTGTCATTGAAGAAATTTTTTGTAAGTACTGCGTTTCCGAATTCAGCATTTCTTGTTTTTCTAAAGTTTTTATTGCATTTATCTCCTCCATTATTGGTTGAATATCACCATCACAGTTATCTGAAATAGAGCAATATTTTATAAAAAATATCTGTTTAGTTAATTACAGAAAATTAAAACGAAAGTATCAAAATTATAATACAAAACTAACCTAAAAAAGATACAACTTTATCTAATCGTTGTAATTTCTCCATGAAATTTTTATTTAATTCAGTTTTCACTTCAGTAAACTTGTCAATCATGATGGAAAGAAGTTTCCTCGATGAACTTTTTATCGGCTTCGACATAATTTTTAACCAAAAACACAAGTTCAAATTCGCAAAAACAACAAAATTCAATATTCTTGAATTGTCTAACGTAGTGTCAAACTGACAGTTCTATGTTGTTGCCATATGAAAACGGAAAAATAGGTGGTGTCACGTTTCGCTTGCCAAACTCTATTTATTGGCCTGTGACGTCACAATCAGCGCCATAACATAGAGCAGCGTTTCTTGCGCGCTTTTGGCTATTTAAATTTTAACAATTATTTTCACCAAAAATAGAAAAGATTCCAATTAAATATTATGACAGTGTGTTTATAATGTAGCAAACAACGATTTAAAATAGTTTTCAGAAAAGTGTCAAATATTCGGATGAAAGTTACGAGCAACCAATAAGTTGGCTCATCACTTATGTTGATGTATAAACCAAACATTGTTCCTTTACACGTAACATAATAAACAACTTAACTTACGATTAAAATAAATTAAAATTAATTTGAAAATTAATTTTAATTTATTTTAATGAAGAATGAAGAATTTTAATAATGAATGAAGAAACACAAAACGATATCATATTTATTAATTTTCGATACTCAATTTACTTTTATTACGTCAGAAACAAAATTTGAATGAATATCATAAACAAAATCCAAACATCGCGAGTGACATCTAGTATGATTTCAAGAACAAATTTTTATTTTTTAAATACTTCCTCATTACATTGAGATTACTAAAGACAAGACAACGACAACTTACCAATATAAAAAAAGGAAAAAATAGTAGATTCAGTAAAAAGGCATATATCATACTGTACTCGTATATTTAAATCAATCACATATTTTTATTAGGTAACAGGACTTACATACATTGGTATATTATAATATTGATCACAAAATAATTAAAAAAAAAATGGAATGCAATGGAATATTGCCATTTCTTAAAAATATGACTGTCAATATCTATCTTATAGTAGAGTCTTTGCGTTTTTGTACACAATGGTTAACAAAAATATTTATTTAGTGTAATGTTAATGGTGGTGCTGAATGCTAATTTAAAAACAGTAAAAATTAGGAATGAAGCAGCATACAGGAACATCGATGTGAAAAATACAAATCTTCTGTTAAAACAGAAGGGTTGGTAATATGGAAATGAATAGTTATTCTTTGTGAATAGTCAACGGCTTCTAGTATTGCCAACACTGTAATGGAAAAGTAGCCAGAAGGCACTTTTCCATAAGAAAAAAGGCATTAAGTTAAATATGATGAAAATGCACAGTTGTATAATATTTACCGATTTTGACAACGGAATTAGATCTTAAAACTATACGATTAATTTGAAAACTCGTACAGTAAGCAGTAAATAATATAACTCATGGCTAAGTGATGTAGGTACTCGCGCGTAAAAGGCCAAATTTTAAAGTAGCAAAGTTTGGCCAAACAAATGATTCAGTATGTAGTGTAACGCTTTAGGACGATCACGCAAAGACAGGAACACCTAAAAAATCTATTTTATCACTATCCATTACTGCCCAGAATTAAACCTAAACAAATGCAAGAACAACAACAATAAACAACAACAATAATAAGATGATGAGTGGCGCTGGTTGCCACTTTACCTGAAAAACCTGGATGTATTGTATTAATCAATTTCTTGACAGATTTTGGCACTTGATAAGTATCATAGTAAACTCAAACTAGGAACCATTTATACTTTTATTATTATAACAAACTAATTTTTTTTTTTAGGTAGCATAGTTATATATGAGCCCAACATCAAGCAGGAAATGCCTATTTGCCTGAGTTTATGTTGGCTGTTTTATCTCTGTCAAACTCGAATGCTGAATGTGAGTTTTTAGCAAAGTTATCACATAAAAACTAAAAAAGAGAATAAACTCCTTTCGAAATCGATTAAAGGAAATTGTATTTTGTTCCCACCGATAGTTGTAATTATACCCACCGATAATTTTGAAAAATCTACTGTAATTTTAAAAGATTTCTACCATCCGCTAGATTTCAGAGTTGGTAAAACTGCTGGTCACTGGCATGTCATATGTCAATGTCAAATCGAAAGTTATCAAACTAAAACTGCTTCATTCATTTCGTTATTTTTCTCATTGGGTTCGATTTAAAAGTGATTTTAAAATGCTAAGAGAATAAAAATTTACTTATTTGTTCACGTTATTACAGTTGAGAAGACTGTCTATCTGTATAAAATATAGTTGAAACACTAGGGTAATGGCAAGTGCAGACAGAATCGATTTCGAAATGGAGGTGGAGGTAGAAAGCGCCTCATCGGGCCCACCTGTGGAACCTCCTAATCCTACTTCGCCGGCTCCCCCGGCTGCACCTGGAGGTGCAACGAAGAGTGTGGTAGTTACTACTGCAACTTCCGGTTCAGTAACAGTGTCGTTACATCCTCTGGTTATCATGAATGTATCTGAACATTGGACTCGGCTTCGAGCACAAGAAGGATCACCGCAGACAGGTATTGATGTGGCCACTGGACTCGCCAGTGTTTACACTATAACATTACCCTTAACTTGAATAACACTAAGAAATGTCATCTTAACCATGGATTTTAGCAAATCTGTCTAGAAAATTTGATTTACATTAGTTCTTTATTTATATTTTTGACTTTAATAATAGTCAGTGGAACTCAAAATAGATTTGATTTATTCTATTTTTGTGTTAGTTATGTTAATATTTGTGGTGGTAATATTGTGCCAATGTTGTTTATATTTCACCTGTTACAGTGATTGGAGCTTTGATTGGGAAACAAAAAGGCAGAAACATTGAGGTTATGAATTCTTTTGAATTGGTATTCCGTGTAATAGATGGAGACATTGTTATAGATAGAGATTATTATAATTTAAAGGAAGAACAGTGTGAGTTTTCACTTAAATTGTCAATTAATCTCAGGGCTGGATTAGTCATGTAGCAAAAGTAGCAAATGCTATGGGTCCCGCGCCATTGGGAGCCATAATAAATAATGCAAGAAATAAAAAAAGCCAAGTTTCTGACTAGTCTAATAAACTGACAAATAAAACTTAAATCACAGATTTGCTACGGGCTTTGCTTTTGCTTAATTTGGCACTGGTTAATAGATGGATCTCTTATCTGTCAGAATATAGATACACACTCTAAAATTTATTTCTATTGGGACTTACATCTGTGCTTTCACATCTTTTTAAGCAGAGTTTATTTTCCTATAAAATGCTATAGAATTGTTGTAGTTTGCCTGTAATCTATAATGTCTGTGATTTTCTATATTTTATGATATCAGTGGAGAGTGAGAGAAAAATGAATAGACAGTCACTGGCAATCCTATAAAGGTTATGTTTCCCTTTTTGATAAAAACCAATAAATTTTACTGAGGGATTTTATAAATAAAAAATATAAAGCTTGTATATAAATTTATTCTAATAGACCAATATGTCTTTAGAAAGCCTTGACAGATAAGAGAAATTCTATTGAAAAGTAGTTTTATAATTAATATCCACTATAAATGAAATAGGTTTAATCATTGTTCTATGTTTTCAGTCAAACAAGTGTTCTCAGATATGGATTTTCTTGGCTGGTACACTACTGGTGAGACTCCGACAGAGAGAGATATTGCTGTTCATAGACAGATATGTGATATTAATGAATGTCCAGTTATGCTAATGCTCAATCCAGCAGGTAGAAATGGTGAGGTAAGAATGTAATTTTTACAATTTATTTAAAAAAACATATGAAACATATGTAAATTGTATTTTATCATTTAAAATTAAGGTTCCATGTATTTGATTAAAAGTTTAAAATTGCTATGCGTGCATAAAAATGTTATCATTCATACACACATTTTCTAATAATTTATTTCTAATCTTGGGAGTATGTGCCTAATAATTTTGAAGATTATTTAAGTGAAGTTAGTCATGAGAAGCATCTTTAAGTCTGGTTACAAGTGTTTGTTATATGGGTTATCTTATGGGTTGATAATTGTAATGAATGAATCCTGGTATCCACCCAAAAGCTATGAAAGACAGCTTATTTTTTAAGTTTTTAGACAGTCATGCCTAACTTTTTCTGAAGAGGCCAGTAGCAATCTTTTCCAATATGTATGCATACACATTCTAATGGAAAATTGTGCTTTATATTTTAGCAACTGCCAGTGGTGTTGTATGAGTCTGTAATAGATGTGGTAAATGGACGGGCGACAATGTTGCTAGCACCTTTGACATACACCCTCGCTGCAGAGGAAGCAGAGCGTATTGGTGTTGATCATGTTGCTAGGGTTTCATCAGGCGAGGCAGCTCTCAACAGTTTAGGTACTTTTATAGACTTCTTTTTCTTTTAATGGCTGCTAAGCCTGATATGTTATTTTTCTGAGTAGTTCTCTATACTACATAGTGAAGATCGTGATGATTCTCTCCATTTGCGTTCTTTAAATTTGTAGCTGTTCTTGCTGCTCTTAATAATGAGATATTGATGATTTTTTTTAGCCATTACATGCTACCTATAGCAGATGTTGTAAGATTTCTTTTATTACTATAATGATCACTGACATACAGTGATCCTTACACACCAATAATTATCACTGTGTTTGCGTTAGGCAAACAACTTACAAGAATATTTGTCTCCTTATTTTATTTTATTGAAAAATTACTAAATTACTTAAATAACTTATCAAATTTCTGAAAGACACAAAGTAGTCCTTTACTTGATCGCCTTTCCTAGTGGGGTAGTTATTAAATTGAACCGAACAACGGTTGAAATACCAAGTTCTATTTTATTCTAGTGGCGGAACATTTAACCGCTCAGCGATCGGCTATAAAGATGTTAGTGTCACGTGTTCGCGCTGTATTGGCGACTGTACGCGCTATACGTGACGGCACGCTGCCGCCGCGGCCCGCGCTGCTGCGTGAGGCGCGCGCTCTCTCCAACAGATTACCGTTGCTCACTTCTCAGCAGTTCCGGACGCACTTTTATAACGTAAGTACCGACTTAATGCCGAGAAAGCACTATAGACCGGTGGTCGAACTGAGAGAAATTCGTACGTTGTCCTTTGCACCTAATATACCATAAAATATTACTGTGACAAATTTGGCTGGATGCATTTATGCGAGCGCAATAGCAATGTGTTTGCACATCAGTAAAAGAGACATGCCGGGTTATTGTACGAAATTCTTTCTGTTCGGCAACTGGACTGAATAAAGTTTGGCAGATTTGTATTTTATAATCTAAATAAATAAAAATGAAACGCTTAATGTGTACAGTATATTTAATAACACTTTGGAGAAAAATAAATCTAATAGTGGTTTGATCATATGGAAGTTTAAAAATATTTTTTCCCTGAATACGATTTAATAGTTCCATGTTTTGTTTCAGCAATGCAATGACGTCGCTCTAATGACGTATTTAGGCACAATCACGAAAGGTTGCAACGCTATCAATCAGTTGGTAAACAGATTCAACGTGCTGTACGACCGGCAAGGCATGGGTCGACGCATGCGCGGTCTTTTCTTTTAGGGAAACTAATATCAATTAAGGGACATAGATATTATGGAGAAATAACTGTCACTTCAATACGACACGATCTCACCGATCAAATCTAAACATCCAATGTGCTATCTACTTCATGGCGTTTTGAATTGAAATAATGAAATATGGTTGTTGGCACCCTGAGATGGGATGGAATAGCCAGGAACCAAGTGGATTTTAAGTATTTTTCATTAAGAATATTTTTCAGTATAGTATTGTGAATGCGAAACGGATCAAATATAATAATAATATTTTCTTTTTAGATATCCAACTTACTGCACGAAAATGATAATTAATTTTTTTATTTGGTAATATCACGTTTTCCTTATGAAAAACACCCAGAACGCCACAAGTAAAAAATCACTACTATGAAAGTAAGATGAAGTTACATGCTGATGGTTTTACATAGGTGAACAGATTTCTATCTTTTTTTGGACAACTTCGGTTTTTAACCTATAATTTCAGTGGAATGTAATAAGAACAACTTTATTAAAATAATAGTACCTAGTTATAGTTTTGCAAATGCTTCCGCTTCGTCACCACCGTCGTTTTATCTCTGAATTTGAGATGGAAACTCTCGCGAGGTATATTGATTCGGAGTAAAAGAAATTGTAAATCTGTCAACACTGCCTTATAATAGGGCTGCCAGACGATCGGATTTCCTTAGATTTCTCCTAGATCGAAATGCTTAGAGATAGTCTGGTTGGCATATTATCTGGGATCATAATTTCAGCGCCATTGTTACGACGTGTTTATGATATTTGTAAATTTCTCGCTTAATATTATCAGCCGCCAATATTTTTCTGCAAGACCATTGTCGCTCTGAGATCTTTTTATTGACTGCCTCAGAAGAACTAATATTTCTTCATTTTCTCTATGTCAAAATTATCTTTGTACTATTTTGATAATAAATGCGAAACTATCATGTAGCGTTGTCCATTTAATGATATTATTTTCGTAGTTAAAAGATTCAAAAACGACTGCAATGTACGCTCAACGGCATGCCAGGTTGTCTAAAACTGGTATTACATTATTGTCTTCATACAGTAGTAGTTTAGTTCAAAATCGAAATTTTGTCATAACCTTACTTGCTGTATGTATAATTGTACATCTCATAAAATGTTTATGGTAAAGCCGTTCTATGTAACAATTAGTTTGTAACAAAATTGGCACCAGATACATTTGCTCAAACACTATCTTAGTTTTCGTAATAGGATAGCGCTACACATAACTTAAGCTCCGCTTCTCTTCAGCAACGCCCTTTGGATGGAGTTGTATAGATCTCTATCGTCGTAAGAGAATTAATCCTCGTAGATTATGCGTTTAATCCTGAACTTAAGAAAAACGTCGATGACAAGCATAGATTTACTGATTAACGAGTGAATTGTGTGGTCGTCATTTTGATACTTAAACTACACGTAATAAGGACTATCGAAATTGCAACTAACTGACATGCCTAGGTTTATTTTGAACATCTTTGTCTCAATAGAGGAAAAGCGCAAGAGTGATAGCTTAGTTTAATAAATTGTAATATTATAAGAAACTCCTCTTTTATTTCGTGCCCTTTACTATTTTTAATATGTGTATATGTAACTTCGATTTCTTATTAAGGGTGCATTCTTTGCAATACATCATTTCTGAATCATTGAGAATTTAAAGTCACGCACGTCTCAAACTGTACATAAACGTCACTTAAACGGGTTTTAGTTTTTTAATGATCAGATGATAACAGTTGATCAATTTTTTAATTTTGATAAATCCAGGCCTTTTTGACTTATGAAACTTAAAAAACTTAAGATTTTGTAATATTCTCAATTCAGAAACCGTTTTACAATCTATTTTACAACAAATGTGTATTTTTTATAACTTTCGTAACTATTATAAGTTCAACGCATATGGCGGAGCTAGGTAACAAAATTTTGAGGTTAGTTTCCTGTTGGGGCTGGGTATGGAGCTCTCCTCGACTGTTCCTAAGCCCTTAACCCCAAAGTGAAGGTTTACTCAACAGCACTTGAGGCTATACAAAACTGTAAAATTTTAAACCTTAATACATTGAGAGTACAGGTCAAAATCCATTGCAGAATTTTTATAGTATCTTGACGTACAGCCGTGTATTGAGTGTGTTTGCCGACCGCGTCCGGACCAGTCTTCGGACATCAAGGGTTGTAAACAAATAAAATAACTATTTGACAAACTTTACATACATTGCTCAGACCCCGAATAAGTAGGCTTTACCAATTGTTATAGAAATAAAAGATAATATAGATACCTAGTAAATTTTTCTACGTTAACCGGGAATAAAATGGCAACATCCTCAAAAACAGCCTGCGAGTCACTCGGTCAAAATTATTTTTTTAAATAAATTATGTAAGTGCTCCGCGTAAAGTTTTGGAGGTCGTCAAGGGATACACCAATGTAGCGAGGGGACTCTACATCTTTGTCGCAGATATTACATAATAAATAGTATTACATAATGAAGTAATAGTTGGAATGAAAGATGATTTATTGTGACGCACTTAATTTATTTCGCATCATTTCGGCCGAGTATTTTAATAATCAAGTAGGTACATACACAAAATTAACAAATTTTGGACACATTGAGATTCATGCTATGGAAGACCTTTCAAACGAAATTTTTCGCCTTATACTGAACCACCGCTTAATAAAAGTGATAAATCTTGGAGAAAGTGGCTGAATTGTATTAGCAAGCATTTGCTAGTTCGCTTACAGATTGATGAAATTATTTTAATCTTCAATGCAGAGCTTCCCAACCTAGCTTGTGTTGACTATAAATTAACAAAAACCTTAACGCTTGAATATACTGCAATAGATAACGTCGTGTTTTGAAACATTGGTCAACAGAATAAGTGATCATCAATTTTATAGTATTTTCCATTCGTTTTTTTCTAACTAAGCTTCTCATTCCCTCGACATTTCTCCGCCCCAAGTTGGGAACTTCTGCCTTAACGTGTTGGTAATTATGTATGCAGAATGTAAGATTTTATGTTAATTTTCAGCCATGTGTACAATTGTCTAGCTTCCATACAGAAAATTGTGTAAGTACTTTGTGCCTTTTTAAATACGTAAGTATAGTGCTCCCATCTAACCCATAACAATAATAATAAGTTCCACAAACAGAACAAAGTGTTTCTTAATAAATTATCTTGATAAATATTTCATGTCACAGAAAATGGTATAGTTTAAAGATACTTTTTAGGATATAGATAAAACTAATTGTATAAATAATTATGAACTATTGTGGAACGTTAGAACTCATATGTTAGACGATGTTATGTAATATTGACGTTAAATTTTGCATACGCGGCGGATGATCCATCAGTCTTTGGAACGTTTTATGATTTCAAATACGGACGACGATTCTTCCGTCAATACGTTCATTACACGCACAGTACCCTTAATGGCTCAGTTACAATATAGTCGATGGACTCACCACGCGGAGTGCGGGCGACCTCTGCATGCTCATCTCATTGGTAAATAAAGAACAACCGATGTCATGCGGATGTCATCGACTAGTGTAACTGAACCCTAAAGATATTGAAAAAGCTGTTGTTAAATCAAGAGACCGCTATACATTTGTATACCACCATCCTACTTCCACGAATGTAATAATTATGCCACGTTATAGAGTTTTTAGTAACTCCCCTCTTATTATTTTTACACTTTCGTACATTTATCAGCATTTATGTAGTTTATTTAAGAATATAACACAAGTTTGATTTTATGGTCAGTCGTATTAATTTATATAACAATTTCACTTTATTATTATACACTTATTGCATATTTGATAATAAACACGAAGTTCTGCTCCTAAATTTAATGTAAAATTATACATATTACAAATCACGTATGTATAAGTTCTTACAATTATATTTTATTTACACCTGCGTTGTAATTGATAGATTTGTATAAAAATATTTTTAAAATTATTATTTATTTTTAACTCGAATCAATGCTAATATTGCTTTTTGTAGACTCCTTATAAATAGTATCTAAAATTCTGTAAATTGTAACATAGGTCTATAAAAGAGATATTACCTTACGATACAAATAATATTGCAATATTCACACCCACGCTGATAAAAATCCTGTTATCTACAATTTTTACAAAAATACACCGTTCGATAGAAAATTTCAAGCTGCATCTACTGGTAAAACCCATTTCGTTTTTGTAAAAATAGGATAGTGAAAACGGTTATATTATTATATTAAATTAAAAGTAGTGATTTTTTTTGTCTGTGTGATACGTGACTTAAAACACGACCCGCCATTGTGTGACGTCACTGTGGTGACAACTGTCAGATAAAGATATGTCTCAATAATTTCTTAACTTATTTCTATATTTTATTGCGAAATCGATCGTTAGATGCCATTGTTTTTATTTTATTGACATCTAATCTATGTATCTGTTTTGTTTACATATCATAATGACGTCAGGAATATGACTGACAGCGTTTTCGCGGGTATAAAAAAGCTTAAATATTGATTTAATTTTTATTTAATTGAAATATTTTTTAAATAAAAATAAACAGTTACAGGTATTATTTCAAACACGGTAGAATACCCTATTGTCACTTAACAGGTTTTACTAGCATGGGTGCAATTTGTTGTCTATATATGTATAGGTATGTGTTACTAGATTAAATTCAACTTGTATGAGTCAATGATATTACAATAAAAATGTCAGTAATAATAAGATGTCAAAAATGTCCCCAGCATTTACACACGCACATGGCACGATACTCTCCAATTGAGCATGTCACAAACCAGACGTACAATGATTTAATGCATGTTTAAGCTTATAAAATAACTTAGTAAATGTAAAGACAGTTATCGGTAAACACTGCATGCAATTCAACAGCTTAATCTATCTATCTATTAATTAGCATAGTTTCAAGGTAACACTTTTTGAATTCAAGTAACTTCTAACCTTTTTTTATTGTAATGTCATTGGTATGAGTGTTTATAATATTAATGGGTGGGTGACCGTCCGCAGGACCTTACTCATGCACGAGCCTTGCGTTATAATACGAGTAGAAAAATGTTGATTTTTAACAACAAAAGGGTCGATTAGAATTTTATTATTATGTATCAAAATTCCGAAATGTAATTCAATCATAAGTAATATCTAACTACCTTCATTTTGCACAATGCACAAGGGCACTCTTAAGATCTGCCGGAGCCCCCCACAATTCGTATATAAAATAGATATTTTACTAAAAAAGAACTCTACCTTAACAACATGTCTATTAAATTATTGTTGACTGTTACATTTTAACGTTCTGTGACCGATACTTTATAACAACGTCTGGGAAAGAGTATTAAAAGCAATCAAACCACTAAACAAATAACCGAAAATTTGCTTTAAAAATTAATTGATGGGGTTTGTAAGAAATCTATTAATTTATAAACCAAATTTTATTTGTGGTTTTTCTTAGTAATTAAAAAAATATTGCTAGAACCCCTGACTTTATCCTTTTTAATTAAAAAAAACGACTATATATATTTCTACTCAACAAACATTTTCACAGGTTACAAAACATATTGTAAAAAAATGCAAAAATGCCATTAAACGTTTGTTGTCAAAAAAGATTACGCGTAAAAATATCACCATTCCAACGCTGAGCGTTCACGCGTTTTGAACTTTGTGTCTTTATTGATAAAGTCTACGTCGGGTGTGCTATGTGTCGTCTGGTATCTTCTCGATGCCGATGAGCTCGTCGAACAGTGAGTGGTTATCAGGGATAACGTGTGGTTCATGTAGTGTTTGTCTTGCAAACTTGAGGACCGCCCGTGCCAATTGACCTACCGTCCATTTTCTATCTACTATGACTCGCACTAGGGTGTCCAGCTGCAAAGGAAATGTTAGGAAGTATAGATTCTGAAACGAGTTAACCATGGCTGATCTTTTAAATATTGATTTGCATTAAGTTACAGATATTGGTTAACCGCTTAACACTCTGATATTACCGGCTCTACTGAGTAGCCAGATGATTTTATTTATTTATTTATTGGCACATAAAACAAAATACAGACATAAATTTAATAAAGAATAATATATATAAAACATGAATGAATTTTGTGTGACGTAATTTATGGCCGGACCCTTACGTACACATAATTAACCTTTTACTTGTATCACAATCAAGAAACGGATAATCTATAGTAATGAGTGAATTAGACATAAAACAATAATATAATCAAAATAAATTGCATCAAATTGATATCTGATCAAATCTAAAGAATTCATTATTTAAAATTAATATTAATAAATAAAATAAATAGAAGAAAAAAATATAGCTAGAGACATTAATTTATATTCATTTATATTACATTATTTCGAATCGTAACCTGCCTCATCGAGAAAGTTAGAGAAAAAGAAATTAAACAAATTTATAAACAGCTAATATTTTCCTTTAAACGTTTGCAAGTTTATATGGAAAATATCTAGACAATCACACTTGGAGGATGTACATATGTTTGAATATGCGACATATTCTGACGATCGGGTAATAGCAGGATGTGTTATTGATGCAAACTTGAAGCATTCTTCTGGTAAATATTATAAGAGGTCATGAAGGGTAAATTAAAATTTTATTTCTAGACTTGACTGTAGATATAACACGTCAACTGTTAACGCTTTAAATGTACCTTGAACAGGTTCTCGTTGCCGAAGGTGTAGTAAATGAGGGCAGGTACTCCAGCCACACTGGCTGCCAGCCACTGGAGCAGCATCTTGAGCTGAGGGTGACCTCGTAGCCTGTTACCACAACCCCAATTGCCTGTTGCAACGGCCCGGTTAGATCCGCCTGACACGATCTTGTGGGCCAACTGACTCAGCTATAGGAGAAAAATACTGTTATTTTACGTCAGTTGCTCTTTGCGGTTGTGTCCGCATGGAGATTGTGAGGTATGTGTTTTATGAAGTTTATCTGACACAATGTTGAACTAGTTTCTGTTTTGACACAAAAATCGAACACCAAGGTCAGTTTTGTAACATGTTATGTGTCCTGTTTTTTTGTAAAAAAAAGTATATTCTAGCATTCTAGCTATAGGATAATACATCTTAGCGACTAATTATAACGATATTTCATATCATTTTGCTATTTGGAATATATCTTTTCGTGGATTAATTTGTGATTAATGACTAAGTTGGAAATACTGCTGTCAAATCTTTATTCATTATTCTTTATCAGTCGCTATTAAAGTACATATCAAAGTAATAAAATGAAATAGTGTTATAAAATCTCTAATATGTCGTGTCCTATGGTTACAGTTGTAGCTAGGGGAGTGAGGTGCGGCGGTCGCTCTGTAGGTGTACGAGGATTTTGGCTTGTCATATACTATTCGGTGAAAATAAGAGAACAACGCATGTTTTGTTTTGTATAAATTAAGTGTATATTTGATTGAATATTAGAAACTGCTCTGCAAATGTAAGTTAACACTGATTTTCTGATGAAAGAAGTGATTAAATTCTTGTAAATCACAATAGTTACTATAAATATGTACATAGAAATAGAAGATAAACAACACAAAATGATATGTTTCGACAGAAAGCGACAGTTGAATCATTTGATGTAGCAGTGGATATATTTTCTGTTAGTTATTTATAATGAGACAAGTTTGAAAATTAGCGACAGACCGCAACACGTCTGACCTTATTTCTGTTTAGTTTTACAGTCACCGGTTCGCATATGACATTCTCTTCGATCGTTTCAACGATCATGTTTATCACCCAATTCAATTTTTTCTTCCTAACTTTGGGATTAGATATTTGTGTGGCGCAAGTTTCAGTTGAAGTGCTGAACTCTGAGCAACATCTACTGCTAGTCTCCTCTGCTTCAGGTTCCTTTATCTTGCCTCTTTCTAGTATTTCTTCCGGGATACATTCTTTTACTTTACGTTTCTGTCAAAACATAGCAATCTGTGAATTATGTTTGATCAAAATCACGCAAAATTTATTCATTTGTATTTAATTTATTTGTTATATATAACAGCGTTTAATTTTGTATAATTTTGATAAACTGAAAAACTCATAAAGTTAAGGCCTAGTCAGTCTGTTTATTGCAATTTTCAAAAGTCTAAAGCGGTCTAGCCATGATTTCTTTAATATAGTCCAGTTGGTGTCGCAGTGGGTCGTAAAATACTCTTTTATGTAAGTATAGCTGTGTGTCACTTTGGCAACGTATTTGCATCACATTTAAGAGATCATGGTGAGTACGTTATGTAATCACCTCAAGATCTTCACCGAACATTAATAGAGTGAAGTTTAGTATAGGTACACTTAATATACCTGGCATTCGATCATAATTTTGTGATCAGATCAGAATAGTAGTAGTTGTAATCACCAGTTGTGCTGCGAGGCGGTGCCGATGGCGGGCCAGTTCTAAAGAGAGTGAGCGAGCGGCTAACGCTAGGCGTCGTGGCGCGGCACGGTCGCGGCCGTCGCGCCCGTATAACTCCGCTGCCTCTGCTGCACCTTCAGCGCCTACGCCAGGCAAATCGCAAGCCATGGATTCACTCAGGGTACGCTTGAGAAGAGATCCCGCGAACCTAAAATACCCGACACAAATATTTATAAAATAAGTCCTTATCCCAAATCAAGCGGTAAAACTATCCTGCAAGTCACCATTAAGGTATTCCAGAATAAATTAAAGACGCCTAAGAGCCAACAAAAATGAAGGATGGATCGAGTTAGTGAAGCGAGTTTCTTCATCATCTTCTAGCATGTTGTTATATTGCATGGAGAGAAATAAAAGGAGGCTTTGTTCAGCTGAATTCAAGGGCTTACTTTACTTGCTTGCTTTTAGGCTTACTTTAAGTGTCTTCCAAAGCAAAAAAAAGAATTCTTGTCAAGATATTTTCGAAATCCACTAAGTTTCTAAAAATTTCTTGACAAGAGTTTGTAAGGGATAAATCTTTGTAAATACCTACTTATCCGATCATTACAATTCTTTCACCTTCGGGAACCTACATCGTTCGCGGGTCAATATAGGCTACAATTTATGCGGATGAAGAAGCGGGAAAACAGCTAGTGTATTTTTTCTATGTTACCTTATCACAGCTAAGTCTCGAGAGTCTAACTCTCGTGTTTTGTGTTCGCCTGTTCCCGACTCTAATATAGGGTCGTTCAGCCATTGATTGAATTGTTCGTAAACCTCTTCTAATTCAGATCTGCAAAAAAATTCGAATACAATCGATTGCATCGTTATATTGTTTCTAATTTTCATAGTGGCCAGTATAAAATTATTTTTAATCCAAATAGAACAATCAAAACTTCTCATTGTGTCTATGTAGTAGATGATTTTTCGTGAGAAATACCTATGGCCAACAAAGTGAATATTTCACTTACGTATATTCAGTGCTGAAACTGTATTTGGAACTATTTCCAGTTTCCTTTCTGCCCAGTGGTCGAAGTCTTGGAGATGGCTCTTCGCCGTTGCTTATAGTTTCTTTTTCAGTCAACACAAAGCCCACCGAACCGCCTCTTTTGACTCTGGAAATTAAATACATTTAATTATACTTATTCTTTGCTCTTAGTTGGATGATAATCAGCTTCAATTCTCGGTCGTGTTAATGTAGAAAATGAACTTTTTTTATATTGTCACGGGTCTGGTTACCTTCGTTGTTTCAGGTAGTCCAGTAAGTTAAGTAGCTCCCTAGACTAGAAACAAAAGATAGTAGCTAGCTTGCTCCATACGGAAGGATCTATTAGGATCAAAATTACTGCCGTATCAATAATGCTTTGAAACCGGGTACCGTGTTACCCGGTTTCAATCTTTAAGCTGATTTGTCCGAAATATCAAAATCACAAATTGGTCAATAAACCTTGGTCAAACAATTCTGGTGACTTCTGTCTGTCTAGGACACGCCATTAGTGGGTATATTTATTTTAATTACTTGATGTCGTTGTCGTTAACTCCTGCTCCGGAGATGCTGACACCGACGGCATAGCTAGAGCTGTCTGTAGACCAATCACCCGTGGTGCTTGTGGTACATGAGTTTTCTGCTTCCCGACGCAGTGCGTCCCGCAAACGGTCGGCGAAGCTCATTCGTCGCTCTTCCGTCGACAACTCTTTGGAGTATTGGAATGAATTGGGTCGAGCACTCTCGCCCCTTCCTTCGTCTTCGCTTCCGCCTAAAAGGAGCATTTATTCTTTAAAATATTTGTAAAAATGTGTATTTATACATTCTCTAACCGGACATATTAAACGACACATTTGCCGTGCGCACTTTATACATCGTTTGCAGCTAATGTATAGTATTTTCAAAGAAAATAATGTTTTTTCACAGGTGACTTTCTTCATATTCATATTGGTTCAGATAAGTTTATATTTTATGTTAGTATTAAGACGACTCACCATAATCGAAGCTATCGTTAGCACTGTGGTATTCATCATCGCTAGAATTGCAGCTGGAATAGAGACTATCCTCTTGAGTGTCAAGAGTGGGCAGTCCCGGACTCCTGGTCACCGGCAAGCATTCCCCAGAGGAACCAAGCACGATGAATCTACCTCGTCTATTGTTCAATGTACCGCTTTCGGGGGATAGCCAGCATTTCCTTTTCGTCAATTCTACACCTGGAGTTTGATATTGTTGAGATATAATAGCATTTACCGAGTTTTCTATTAACTATTGAGTAGTGCACAATGAGGATGTTAAAGCAAATATAGGCGCGATAACATCACCCTGCTTTGGTTACAATAGGTATGTCAAGTCTAGAGATAACCTGCAAAAATTATGGCGACCGGTAGAGGTTAGAGGGAAAGACCACGTCCAATGCCTTAGTCTGTTTTTAATATCAAACCATCAGACGTATAGTGCTGAAAAACGTAGCATTTGGCACAAAGATGATCTATGTTATGAAGAAACGCAAGAAGTAGAAATAGGCTTGTTAAGGCGTCAAGTATGGTTTTTTGAATTAATAACTAAAGGCTTTTTAAGCTAAGGCCCAGTCCTTATTACTCACTAGGATCGTTAAGGTTGATTGTCGCAGCACAATAGTTTTGAGGTGAAGGGCTTCGGCTGTTAAGGCTATTGAGGGTGCTACAAGATGAGGCTTGTTTGACCACCACTGTCGCTTCTACTTCTGGAGGCGTGTGGCTGAACGATTCTCCTGCAATTATCATAAATTATTGATAATTGTAAAGTAGCCTTAGATTTAAAAAATAGATATTATTTTTCAAATAAAAATTAAATTTTTTATTTCCAAATATCGTCAGATGTTACTTGAAGGTGTTATTGAAATAAGGTTATTTTAATTTTCATTCTGAAATTATTAATTACCTATTGGTGATAGTCGTCTTTCATGTTTAGGACTTTTCATTGGCGTTTGTTGGAAAGCTAATAGACATTTGTTCATTTCTCGTAATACGTTATCTTCCTCCCACTGTCCTAAAGGTAATTTGCTGTAATCTTCTGCATCCATAAGGCATACTGTTACCTGTATGAAAATTATTTCTTAGTCATAGCTTAATCGATAAATTTACTGACTGACTTTTGCTTTAAGGTATATAGTTGTTAGATTATGACAAATAATAATATGCTTTCGATCAAAATAAATAAAAAAAATTAAGCTATTTGATAACTATTACTAGGTAGATGTTTATCGGCAAATCAATATTATTTCTATATTGTTATAAGGCTATGTAGTTGCGGTACCGTCTATTTAATTTAACAAGGATTCTAAGAAATGTATGTGATGATGTCTGACATTTGTTTTTAATATTTTTACCGTTTTCGGCTCCTCGAGTAGTTCTACTTTCGTCTTTTGTTTCTTGTCACATATTCTACTGAACAGTCTAACGCCTTCTACTTTTAACACTTCGTTGTCTTCGAGCGCCTCCACGGATAGCATTGCGGGAAGGAGCTCAGGCATCATAAACATTGATAGCGATTCCTTAAATGAGGACAATATGTTGGTATTCAAAATTGCATTTCTTACCTTAGCTGACAATCAAAATTGGCATGATATATTCAAAAAAGTTCTTAAATATAATGATGGTATTACGACTTGCGAATTTCAATATTGTTAATTTTGGTTTTTAAAGAAGGGGTTCTGCATTGAGTACATATTTATATATTTTTTGAGTTAAATGCTAATGCCTCTTGTGCACTGTAATAGTAGTTGTCAAATACGTTTTTCATTTCATTTTAAACTAAAGTTAAATGACTTCGATTATGAAATTCAAAACATTTGACAGGCGACATTACGCGAACTGAAAAAAGGAAATATCAGGAAAAATGCTGACTAATAATGATATACTGACTCTTGTCTGTAACAATGTATATTTTTCATTGAAACTTTATAGTTTCAATGAGAAATATATGAGATTGGAACTATTTGATATACATTTGTTACTGCGTTAGCAAGTCTCGTTGGATTTTTAATAAATATAATGAGGTTTTATCTATTGATTTTTGCCAATCACTATCAGATCTTTTACCTGTGATTCTCCGTCAACAAGTACATCTCCACCGATCCTGCTAGACGCGAAACAGATTCTGATCGCATCATCATTTTCACACCTTTCAGGCCTACCCTCATGTCGCACCAGAAGTTTGCACAGGGGTAAGGAGCATTCTAACCAGTCTTCGATTGTCAGCCATTGTTTTGAGGTCATCACCTAAATGTAACATTATTTTATTGGAGTTTTGTAATGAGTTTACATAGACGAACAAAATTATTTCAAATCGTTCTGGAGTTGCTTTATTAAATAATAATATTTTAGATTTTAGGAACTGGGCCAATTCGTATTAAGTTTCGACTTGTTGGTTTAGTTAGTCTACATTGCTGGATTGTTTTTCCAGTAAATGTAAATTTGACGTCTCACCTGTCGACTTATTTTAACACAACCATCTGCGCTATGTTTGTCTAACCATTCAAAATAATGCAGCAAACTTTTTAACTTGTTCCTTTGCGATTTCCTGAAAAGAAGATGATTAACTATTTAGTAATGGAACCTTTAATGAATTAATATATGTTAGCATCTTTTCATGTAAGTATTTTGAGGTATTTATTTACTTGTAAGCATTTTATTTACTTACACTCAAATATAGCTTTTCATAGACGTGTCTTACCTATGTAAATTCTTAAAAAAATGTGTAAAATTGAAGTCTTGGAGCGTTGGATGTGTTTTGAGCGTTCTCTTTGGAAAAGTTGAGAAAAACGCATGAGCAATCAAGGACGACACGAAATTATAATCCAATTCAGTCACATCACCTGGAAATTCATAAAATAATAATAACATTAACAAAAATATTTCTTGGATTTACAGTGTTGGAAATCTTAATAAAAATCTGTTATGTTGATAGTTTTTTTAATGTAGATTTGTACTTAATAATCTTCTAGAAATCGTGACTAAATCTACAACTATTTAGTAGATCCATTAATAAAATAAATATAAATGCAACCGGGTGTATGCCTTGATAACTGGAATTTACTTATGTTTAATTATATTTAGGTATTATAAAATTATAAATGTGAGTGACAGAAATAATTGTCATTTTGAATGTTTATAATTTTCTTAATTTTAGCGCAAATTTACTCTGACGCGAAACTTTATTTATTAATACACTGTAATTTTAGCGTAAATTTACTCTGACACTAAAATTGCAATTTAAGTATTTGTCCAACTTCATATTATATAGAGAATAAGCTAACCGTAACCGAGATAAGTAGGTAGTACCTACTAGGAGTAAATATTATTCTCGTAGAACTTCGTACTACGTTAACCTTTGCTAAATCTCAGTTTAATAATATGAATTTTGACTAATGCTGAGTGCAGTCTCAGTGTAAATTTACTCCAACGCTAAACCTTGTTTATTAATAACTCCAAGGGATTTTGATGAAAAGCATTAATGTCCTACTGAATTATTTCAGCGCAATCCAATGTTGTGGTCAGACTTTAGTCATCTAAGTTATTATAAAATAAATAAGATTTTTACTCACTTTGCTGTTGTAAACTAAATACGAGTCCCTTAGGTGGTTTCCACTTCTTCAAATGCAGCGCTCTGTTCACCATTATCCTGATAGTGTTGTCCAGAAAGTGCCGCTGTTCATCCTCCGTCATCTCTTCTTCGAGGAATTGTTCTAGTCCTTTCATCAGCTCGGGGTCCCTAACATCGTCGTCAGGGTCTATGCCGATGCTAAAAGGAAATATGAAACAGATCTTTCGTTATTTATTTCAAGTCACACTATGTTAACGCAAGTTTTACAATTATGTTTTCTTAAAACATCAAACAATTAGGTATCTACCTATCCTTTGTGGCAGAGTGGCTAACGAGCCGGTGTCGGTTCGATTCCCGTCTGGCTCAATATACTCGTATATTTATTTTATAAATTAATTATTTTAATAAAGCCGATTTTTAGGTACCCTTGATTGAATATGGCATAGAAGCATCAAAATAAACTCAAGTATAAGCTTTTGTTGATATTAAGGCTGATACTTGAGTTTTTACCAATCTCATGAACGATTATTTTTTTAATTTTGAAAGGCTATTGCAGTACACCTACGCAATCGCATGCAAATACGAAACAACAAAAAGTTTGTCAGTTGTATGGCAATGTTTGTTTTTCTCGCTCTAAATAAAATAACTGCGTCATTGTCAGTACTGTTTTGCAGGAGATTGGGAAAAACGTCGTAATGCAGATGTTTTGCATTTTCAATAGTTACAGAGATGCGACGGTCTTAGGTGTCAGTGTACTAACGGCATAAGTAAATGAAAACACTTACTTGCACATATCGTGGATTTTGAGCATGCTGGCAGTGAGCTTGTTTGGTGCTGAAGCCAATAGGAGGTGCTTCAGATGTCGCTGTACGGAGGTCCACCAAGGAAGGTCGCATGGCAACATCACTAGCGCCATCCTTTGGAAATGAAATAATACAGTCACTTGAATTACAGCAACAACTCAGATTACACGAAAGATTATTCAATCGTAGAATGTGTTTTTTAAAAAACTTTCATCACTATCCACGTACGTTTAAGATAAATAATTTAAAAATTCAAAAACATGACTGCCAAACTCGAACTATAAATAAAAGTAGTTAGGTAATAGGGCTTGGCCAAATTAGCTTTTTCAATATCTCAAGCAAATTTGCTACAGGCCCTGTTCTGGCTTAATCATATACTGAGTGCATAGATAATACATAAAACTGACTGAGTGGAATAAAGAAACTCGCATACATAAGTAAACCCAAAACACAATACACTAATTTAAAAAAATACTGACTAAATAAAAAATGGTCAAGAGCAAGTCGTGACTGTAGGGGGACAGTTACACTGGTTTTCATACTAAATAGTTGGCATGCTGCTTCTACTATTTATTTCTGTTCTGTGATATATCCCGTCATATTTCAAAACATTTGCGATAAACGGAATCTACGGTCCACTTTCAATCAATTGGTGCTTAACTTTCAGAAAAAATTGGTTTGATGTTGACGGTGACGGTGAAAAGAAATATACGGCTGTCCGTCTGACTAGAAAGCTTTAAATATAAAAAGCGGTTACATGTATTCAAGTAGTTATAATATTAACGATAACATTAAGTTTTAGGTTTACTTTCATGCCTGTTACATTATTTCAACTGTTAATAGTGATTTTTACCTGTACGTGAAATAAGAACGTGAACGTAAAAATATGTATCATTATTTAACTATAAGCTAGAGAATCGGTAGTAACAAAGTTCTGTAAAAGAAACAAAGGGGTGAGCTTTCGGGCGGACAGAAAGATGTGAACGTTCCATTAAACGCAGCTCAAGTTAGATTGTGTAACATTTGGCAACTGACATTTAGTAGTGAGTTATACTGTCAAATAGCGATGTGCCGAGTCGTTGTTTTAGTGGATCGAGTCGATTCGAGTCGGTTTATACGGTATTCGAATCATGACTCGATTCCGCAATTCGAGTAAGAACTCGAGTTCTATGTTTGGTATTCGAATGTTGACTCGAGTCCAGGACTCGAATCTAGAAATTGGAGTCCAGAATCTAGTCTGGAAATTCGAGTCCAGAACTCGAGTCTAGAAATTCGAGTCCAGAAGTCGAGTTTAGAAATTTGAGTGCAATACCTATATTATAACAAAAAAGTAAAATCAAAAAGGAATAAAAGGTTTAGCATAATGACACATCGATTATAAATCGAACATTTAATATGAAAATATTTTTAAAGACTACAGAAAAAAACATAGAACGTACTTAAACATGTCTAGGAACCAAAATGAGATCAAGTTCTATTTGTTTTATTACACAACAAAAGGCGATATTTTTAGAAGCTTTATATGTACGGTACCATAGTACCTAAGTTATAAATATTAAAAAATATATGAAAGGTAGATTATTTATCAGCCAAAACAAAAAAGAGCTAATAAATATGTTATTGGAACTAACCGTTCAAAAAAATTATTTGGTCAACCTTCTTCGATTCTAGACTCGAGTTAGTTGGACTCGCATAATAGAATCGAGTTAACGAGTACAAAATCGATTCTTCCTGACTCGACTATCGGAGTCGAGTCCGGCGTATTCGAATCAAAATTAACTGGTATTCGAGTACGCGAGTCCAAAGCAGGAATCGAGTCTGACTCGAGTCAAACCGTACTCGGCACATCGCTACTGTCAAACACAGCTGAACACAGCACAGTCTGAGCAGTGTGAGTAAATTAATTCTGAGTTTTATTTAAATTTCACGATGAAATGTCGCCAAAAACAGTTTTGTTTTGGTGAACTTGTGATTGTCTCTAAAACATAATAACGAGAAGTAAATGAATCGGAAAGTATATTGAAAGTTTTAACACATAATAACGTCGAAATACTTTAGAAGTCTACAATAAATCCGTGAGAAATTTTGTCTATATTGTTTTATGTACACAAGTGATATCGTGTGACTACTCAGTCACTGTTTATAAATGAATTAAATGCAAGGTTATGTTTTCGTAGCGTTAGTTATAACCTATTGCTCTTTAGTATCAGAATACTCTAGGTACAAAGTTCACTGTGAACACGACGAAATGACCGTGAAAGCGAAATTATTGAAGGCTTTAATATTAGGTGCACCTGCTTCTGGAAAAGGCACCATATCGTCACGTATAGTGAAGAAATATAATATAGAACATGTGTCAAGTGGAGATAAACTTAGAGACCATATAGAAAAGCAAACGTCACTAGGTAAAGAAGTGAAGAAATATCTTAACGAAGGGAAACTAGTGCCAGATCAGGTTATGATTAAATTTATGATTAATGAATTGGGGAGTGTACAAGGTAAACCATGGCTGTTGGATGGTTTTCCTAGGACAGTTGGACAAGCTGAAGCCTTGTGGAAAGTACAACCAGTGGATGTTGTTCTCAATTTAGTTGTGCCATTTGAAGTTATTATAGATAGAGTTAAGAATAGATGGGTACATTTGCCTTCAGGAAGAGTATATAATATAGATTTCAATGCACCAAAGGTAGCTGGTAAAGATGATGATACAGGCGAGGAATTAGTGCAGCGACCTGATGATAAGCCTGAAGCTGTCCAAAAGCGTCTTGAGATTTATGATAGTATCACAAGACCAGTAATTGAATTTTATAAAAAGAAAGGCATTTTAAAGGAATTTGAGGGAAGAACTTCTGACGAGATATGGCCTAAAGTAACTGCTTATTTAGACCCAATATTTAAATAAGTGAAGATTTGTAGTCATTTAATTATAGGTGCTAGTGTGATATGAAGTAGACTAAAAACAAATAGCTTTATTGTTAGTACTATTACAACATATCATAATTATTAATCAAAGTATAGCCAACATTTTAATAGTTATAGTATTTGATACATCTGTTTTAATATATTTACTTATAGAATGTTGATGAAAGATTTCTTTATACATTTTAGATTTGTTAATGGTTGTTATATAAATATTAAAATTTGGTTTTTTACCTACATATTTAACTAGACTACCCAAACATTTATATTTTATTTTGTACACATTTTGATTTCAATTTATAGGTTGAAATGCCCAGCTGTCATTAAAAATACAATTTTAGATTATGATCAATATATATTACACAAATAGTGTGTTTTTAAATGGAATAGAATTATTAATTATTATAAGAAAAAATGATGTAGAATAAAGAATGAGTAACACATGCACAAATGCTTTTTATGTGATGTTATTTTTTATATTCTCATCTATATTTATTATCTTAGTCTTGTAATCACAATGTTTTTTGTACTTGTTTTTCATTAGAGGTACTTAAAGTGATGTCTGTTAAGGTAATGAGAAGTTGTTAAATGCCATAGTAAGTGCCTTAAACAATATAAAAATTATATGTTTAAGCAATACATAAGTTAAAATGTTAATAATTTATTTATCATGTTGTTGCTCAATTTTGTATTATTTGTTATGATTTTAGCTTTATGAAGTATTTTATCATGTATTTGTGCTGAATTTTGGTTGGAAAGTTATTCTTTTATAATAAATATATAATACATTAAAATGACAACTTTTACTTTCCTTAAAAAAGTCACTAAAAAAATGGAATATATACAGGTTTGAAATTAAGTAATTCATGTGCGACTCAAAACCAGTGCCTTTATGTATAAGTGTTATAAAGTTCATTATATTTGAAATTGCATTTTAAAAGAAGGATATAGAATACATATATATCTGCTCTATTAGGACTAAAATATGGGTTAACAAATTTAGGAGTTTCATAGCGCGGTGCGAGTTTAAATTTACAGAAGTTGAACAATGATCACAAAGGTTGGTCATAAGGTGGGTGACAGAAAATTCATTATTATACTTTTTTTATGCGGAAATTTGTTAAACATCTGTGTTTCTTTTTAGGTTAATCGTATTGGCTTGTGAATAATTAATTAAAATCGATGGCGCAATGGTAAGCCCGTTCGGACTGCGATACGGTTGTTAAAGAAACAAGGGTCGGTCATAGGATAGGTGACCAAAAAATGTTTTCCTTATTCGATTCGATTCCCTCCATAGGGAAGGCCTGTGGCCCAGCAGTGGGGGGGACATTAATCGGCTGATGATAATGGTTAGTTAAATGGAGTTTGATATGTGATATCATTAACGGGGTTGTTGATTCCCCCTCGTTTTTTTTTCGTTTATGTTTGTTATGTAATTTTAAAGATTTGTGTTTTAATATTCGATATCATCTAGGTTTATCTCAGTATAATTTTTATCTTTGTTTGCGAGTTGGGTTTTCGTATGTTTGAAGAATTTAAATATATAATCTAATATTGGCAAACGTATAAGATATGACAACTTGTTTTTATGATTCCATCTTATCGTCACCGGTATCTTAATATAACAGATGTCTTTAATAATTCATTTACACTAATCGATCTGCATGCGGCGTTCGAGCGATTTTCTAAGGAGCCAGGAACCAGCAAGGAACCCGTCGAGTCCAACCCCACATACCCATTTTAACCCTGGGGCAATGTTCTATGACGTTATTGCCGGTGGAGATTCACTGCAGGGAATCTACTAGGTACACCTTCAATCCCAATTAGGGAATGCAATCTCGTTAAAATCGCGAGCACTCGAGCATAAAAATTATTTATTCGAAATGCGGCAGCGCGAATTTATGCGAGTCCTGGGGGTTAAAAGGCGAAGTCTTACACTTTTATAGTATTTGTGTTTTCGAAAGGGTCTTTTCAATGGCTGTTTATCTGGCCAGCACGATAATAAGACGAGTAGCAAAGATGCTTTGGACATTTTGTGCTTCATAAGACGCTACTTTTAAAATTATTTGTAATAATTACGTGTGAAGTGAACTCAATAAACCTTTTAATTGATTGGTATGTTTTGTTAATTTATTTTCTAATTTCTAATAGATCTCTGGGTACACATAGTCTTCTTTCATTGATAATAATCTCAGTTTGATAGTCAATTCAATTTAGTTAATGAGTTTTATTTTAGTTTTTGTAATCTTGTTAATTTTGTTATAAAAAACTGTGTATTTGTAATTAAACTTTTGTTTGATATTAGCAGAGAAGACTGGTTGTTTATTTCATTTCGTATTTGATAAGATACGTCAAAACTTTGTTTCTTTAAAGGAATGATTGAAAAAAATATTCAATAATTCCGTATATTCATATATTTCAAATGTGCTAATTAAGCCCTTTCATTTGATACTCTTTGATACTAGCTGTGCCCGCGACTTCGTTTACGGGGGAAGTATATTGATAGATTATTTTTTTTCCTATGAATGGAATCGAATCTAAGATCCTACTACGTGGGCATAATGTAGATGGGTGGGAGTTAACGTTGCTGATGAAGCCAAGACCAACGGCTTAAAGTGCATTGTGCCAGAGTTGGGCAAAATTTAATTGCAATTGACAATTGATTGATTGAACTTGAGAAAAAGCAATTAATTGTTTTGGTCACTCAAAGATAGAAAAAATAACTGTTGTAACGGTTCTTACGAAAGTGATTTTTCTTTCTTACTTATTTAACTGCAATTTAAACCGAATGCGCCAACCCACTACGCAATCGACCTAATCAATACTAATATTATAAAGAGGTAATTGGTTGTTTGTTTGTTTGCATCGAATTCGCTCCAAAACTGCTGAACCGATAGTTTCTCTCTTCAGTCTTAACTTAATGTATTGATAATACATTTAGTTAAGATTGAATGTGTAAAATTAATGAAACTCCTTTTATCATTTTATTCGTAATTGTGAAGTCCAGATTTAGCGCTTGCATTATCTAATTCAAATTTTGTCAGTAAAGTACATAAAATGAAATTTCATTCTATATAGTTAGGTAACCCCGATAAGAAGCTCATAGTGTAAGGTATTGATTTTTTAATAGACGTATCAGTTATCCATTCACTGCAGTATTGATAATGATTATTTATTAAAAGTTATACAGAAATACGTAATAAGAACTCACATGAAATATCTAAAAAGAGTAGGAACATATTAACTTAAATGAAACTTAAATAATATATTATTATGCCAGTGATTGAGATTAGAGTTGATATTTTATTGAAGCCAAATAAATTTTTAAATGTACTAACTGTTGCATATGCACACAGCAGAATATAAAGTTGCCAGAATACAGGTATCATATTATCGCAGCCAATTTTGAACTATATACTCAGTTAATTAAAGTTTAAAATCAATCAGAGAATATGTATAACCCTACACGACTGAACCTACGCAAAAAATATATATATTAAAAATCGGGTTCATTTGTTATTTTAATTCCAGATTTCTTTACTACACACAATCACTTAATTACTATTCAATACTTCTTAAATGTAGCTATGTTTAAGAAGGTTGTACCTATTTTTGGGAGTTCAAATCAAAATGATAGAGCGTTCAATATGTGATATAGAAGTTAAGCAACTTTCGCAAAGGCCCGTCATAGGATGGGGTCGTTAAGCTATTAGTCCTGTTTTGCCTTCCTGTTAGATACGATTCCATCCATAGGGTAAGGCTGAGCCCTAGCAGTGGAGATCAATAGGCCGATGATGATGATGAATTGTTTCATTATATGTTTACCAATACTGATTTATTTATGTTATCTAATAATTAACTTTACCAAACATTTACATAGAATCTAAAAACATTGATTTTCATTCTTTAATATTTTAGGTTAACCAGAATATGAAAAAAAGACAACGTGTCAATAATTTTATTTTCTTCCATTGCATATTCATCCTCGATATGATTGGCCTTGTATTATCTGTGCCAGTGACGTTTTGTAGGTAATTTTATAACATCGACATCTGTTACCAATGAAAACCAGTTATAACTAAAATTTATCAGTATTACTTATTATGAAGAGACAAAGTTTCTAACTTTGTTCGTTTGTCGGGGGTAATTTTCGGAAATTCTGACCCGCTCATAAAAATTCTTTCACTGTGTTATAGGCTATAATTTACGCCGGCAAAGTCGCGAAAACCAACTAGTATAGTCATCATCATCATCAGCCCTTCTACGGCTTAACGTGCCTTCCGAAGCACGGAGTAGCTCGAGATAATAATTTTTTGGTCTTCCATCCCGTGACCGACCCTTGCAAAAGTTGCTTAACGACAACGATCGCGGGCCACGGCGCTTATCCACTACGCTACCAAGCTTCTCTGTGGCAATATAGTATAGTAATTTAAAAGTATTATATATATTATAATACTGCGAATAAAGTTTAAAGACGCCTATATATTTTACCTGTAGTCTTTATTTATTATCGAACCTTGATAAATAACGTAGTTAATTATTCTGACTGTAGCTAAAGCAATTAAGTAAGCAGTAATTATACATCCGGGTATCCGTTATTTAATTGTTATCTGTTGTTGAAATAAAGGCACCTGCACATGTGTATCTATAGTATTAATTTGAGTTGATCTATCATCGGACCTTAAATAATTCGTTGATTCAACGATGAGCAAAACTAAATTACTCCTAAGTTATACAAACACGTATATACACACTGAAAGGGGTTTTTTGATACAGTAGTTGTTAATTAACGATGAAACAAAACTTACTTTATATATGTTTAGTTGCTGATCCGGATCCAATAGCTTTCAGAAACACTAAAACAACATAGTCACAGTCGCCTTGCGACCACCGGCTTCTTTTTACGCACTTTTCTCATTGTCTAAAGAGAAATAAGGAAATCTTCCTTATTCATGTCAAATACCTATCTTATTGCTTGCCCCCAGACCGAAATAGTGTAGTGAGAGAAAACGCAACAGAACGCGGTACGGGAGCACGCGAACCCCGGCTATTTATAACCGCTTTCGTGTTTCGCCGCTGAAATTAGATTGTAAATAAAAGTTTTACAAGAGTAGGCCCGTTTGATCCTTTTTGTTGGTCATTTCAAGGATGATCTCTATGTGAAAGGATCTATTAATAGATCAAAACATTGTTTCAATGCTGAATCCTAATCGGTTTTATTGGGCTTCTTCGTTAACCGGAAACTTTATTTGTCTGTTTGCTGTGCGTCACGGTCGTTTTATGTAGGTTACTGTTTATTAATAGTTAGGTTAGATATTCTAGCTGAAAATTAGTCTAGCTTAGGTTGTCTCAACAAAACTTATAGTTACCTACTGGTATTTTTGCAAATTCATTAACTATTACGTGTTAAATATAATATGTGAAAATATCTGTTAAATTGTGTGAATTAATTGATGATAAATCGTTTAAAATGTATTGCTAACTATATGTATCTGATACATCACATAATACTGCATTTTAAATCGATGGCTTAAACGAAACAATAAAATACAATTAAGAATGTCGGGTTATTTTTTGTGTATCACTCACGGTAACGAAATTATTGTTTAAGCACCTTGATTAAGTAAACAGTATGTTATTCCACTTGTAAAGTAATTCACGGATTTGGAGGTTAGCCGGCGTATAAGGGATAGAAGCGAGCAGCCAGTTCCGTGGTGCAGGCCGAACTGGCAGCGTCGAGCCGACTTTCACTGGGGGGCAACTACCCTTGCCCTCCTGGCTGTCGCACCCTCCACCCTCCGAGTGACGTCATAGTCGGCGTCACGACCTACGATGCCGTACGCCGCGTCGCCGCCCCGAGTCCGCAGGGTTGTCGGCGATTGATTGTTCCCGAACAATCAATAAGTAATATTTTGGTAACATGTGCTTTATATCACTAAAAAATAAAGTAAACAAGAAATAAAACATAATCTAAATAAGCAATGTTAAAAATTCACTTCACTCAGTGTAACAAAATCGCTTTTATTTGAAAAATATTTATTGTTTTAATAATATGAAATCTGATACTTATTTGATTCAGGTTACAAAAGTCAGTTAAACTTACTTTTATCATTATAAATCGACTTAAATTGTTTATCAAATATCAAATTTTGAACATGTTACTATCGAAATTTTATTTTATATGTAAAAAATAATCATTTTTCTGCAGTTTTGAGTATCTGCAGGATTTGTGATAAAAACATCTTCAACAACCTTTGAGCATAACAGCCCTTAATACTAGGTGGTCCGTAATAGCAGCTCGTGAAATGTCGCTGGGCATATTACATAAAGTACTACTACACACAGCCTGCGTCAGAACAACGCGTCACTTAAAGCTGGTTAAGGTCACTAAATGAGTTTAAAAAGTCAAAGTCAGAGTCAAAATTCTTTATTCAAGTTTGGTAAGATTGATACAACTCTTCTGAATAGTTAGTTTCTTTAGATGTGATAAACAATTAGCGTTTGGGAATCCATAAAATTTAATATCAGTATAACTTTTAAAAAGTACACATTTGAAAGTTTAAAGTTGATACCTAATGATAATGGTAAGTAAATGGCAATATTGCCTAAGACCTCTGGTGGCAATTTGTTCTTGACATGTATCCCACCATAACTAGGATCTTCAGTGAATTGAATGGCAATTTCTTTTTATTTGCAAATCCAATATAAAAACCACGAAAAAGCACTCCACAAGACAGCACTTATTGTATTTAAATAACTTACAGTTTTGCATACTTTTGATGTTATCGGCGCACGGAGTATTATTATCTATTCCATTTTTATATTTGTCTAGCATTGTCCCTTTTACATTAATACAATATAGGGAAACTAATGAACTTGGGTAACTTACATATTGATACACAATAAATATAAATAAACATATAATTAATTATTATTCGTGCGAATTGCGACAGGCTACAGCCAAAGACTAAAAAAAAACAAAATTTTACTAACTTATTTATTAAGGAAAAATTTTACTAACGATTTTATAATTATAATTAAATTAATTGAATGTTCCGGAGTTCAATGTAGGTGGAGTCACGTTGTGACGTTCCTGCGTGGAGCTGAGTCAGCTGAGTCGCCACCTCGTGATATCTAAGTTTCAGCTACTTGCGTATATTGCTATTGAGGCCACGCAGTGTCATCGTTTGTCTGGTGTCTTCTGTACTTAACATATGTCATAATTATTATAAAATACAACTTTAAGTGTTGTTTATATTATGTAACATAATGTTTCTGTTATCGTACTGTTGTACATTTCTCGGTATGGTAACTGACTACTTTTTATATTTTTTTAAATAAATAGTCCGTTTATATCTGAGAAATAATACAAAAGTAGTGGAACTGCTGCTAGTCGGCCGAAAACGCTCTTTAGTCAGTCAGGCGGGGAAGTGACGTCACGCCTTGGTATTGTAGAGAAAAACTTATGGGTGTTTGGGCAATCTCTGTTACTCGTGCGTTAATGTTCACAGTTATGATAATGAAAGTTGTCGCATTTTATGTAATTAATTCAATGTATTTTAGCAAATGTTTGTAATACATTCACCCTATTTTTCCAGTATACAATTTTCTATATAAGTGTTTTGAAATTTATTTTGTAAGTTAAAATTTTGAAATTTTGTTATATAGTTATAATTTCTGAAAACCCAAGATCCGAAATCATACCAATTGTTACGTGTTCATGTGCGTACACCACCAAAAGGATTTATATATACAGTGACATTTAAAGCCTATTTAAAATATAAAAAAAAAACAATTTGGATGCCTTAAACTTTAAACAACATAAATGTTGCGTTTAAGTGTAATTAAATTAAGTTAATGGCATGAGAAATACTGCCTTTATTTAATATATTTTTGTTACTTCATTTAACACACTATTATTTTTATAATCTACGCACTATTTCATAGATAGATTAGTAAGCTTGTGATGCCGCTTTCCACGAGGGTCGAATCTAAAGTGCCTCTGGCTTATTTCTACAGTGCGCGTGGCGCATGCGTAAAGTCATCTCCTTCTCGCTCTTACAATTTATTGGAAAAATAGTTTTCATTTTGACAATCTCTTACTAGATCATGTTATCCTGGTTGCGGGGACGCCCGTGGAAATTGTTGCCGCCCTACATCGCGACGTTGGGCGGGTTTGGGCGGAGCGATAACACTCGCTACAAAGCTTTAAAATATAAACAAAAAAAATGACTTTCATTTTTTATTTATATATTTTTGTCTAATCCAATTAAATAGATTATCAACGACAGTTTTTTAGTGGATCTACTCTTTTGCAAAGAAAAAGATTTCACATTCTTTCATATTTAAAGGGAAAACTTTAGCAGACCGTTCCTATTGACTAGGTTGTATCAAACCAAGTTTGACTTCAAACATCGCTTTCATATAAAAACCAATTAAGTAATATAATCAAATGATTATAATATATAATTGGTTATATATGCGATAACGAGTTGTCGCCTGCCATTGCTTTAAAAAGTTACATATTTATTTAATTTATTTTTTCGTACGCTGATTTTGAAATAAAATGGCTTTTAAATGGTTTTATCTCGTGCATTTTCCATTAAGGTTCCAAATTTACTAGTCTAAAAACATTTGAAAAATGTTTTAATTTCTTCAACATTACATGCGATGAAACCATTTAAAAGGAGTTTCATTAAAACCTATTAACAATAAAATGGATTAGATATAAATTTTCTAATGAATGATTAAATGTCTTCTTTTAGGAATTTGCATATAAAAAATTCTCATCACTTATGAAAATTCTGTAGATCAAACTATCACTATGCTATGAAGGCCTAGTAACACTGCGATGTGACGTCGGCAGAGCGCCCTGCCCTTCTGCCCAGTGGGCGGAGAAATATATTCGTGAGGTGTTCGGAATGCAACCTCCTTCACATAAGCACATACAAATATAAACCGTATCTTGAAACGATTAGTGTTTTCATCAGAATTAATTTAACTTTAATTTCCTATTATTTTATTCGGCAAAGAAAGGTATAGTTTTGAATGGGAAATTCAAATAATATATAGAAGCACTATAAACAATTAAACTACGTCATAATTGTGACTTTTTGCAATGTTGTTTATTTAATAGGAAATTAAACTATATTCGTTAGAAGCCCGACTTTATTACGCTACGGCATTTTAGTGACGTTTTCCAATAATATTTATTAATGAGTAATTAAACTAATTTTTTAGTACATAGATTTTCCAACATTATAATAAAACGGATGGTTTATTAAAATTTTCTATGTTAGTTATTTGATAGATAATCCGTGTGTTATGCTGAAGCAGTTATGTAAGTTTACAATAATTTTCTCAGATGACTCTATTTAGATTATTTTATTCTTATAGTTTTGCCCAAATTACGCGTTCTTTAAACACATATGTGGCTATTTTATATTTAATTATAGGTTAATTTGATCGCGATCATTGAAAATGTAGCCCTGAATAGGTAGTAAAAAAATCTTAGCTTAGGGAAGAGTAGTCATCTCTAGAGACAACGTCTGATCAGCGAGCAACTTCTACTTTCTTTCTGTTATCCTGGTAAAATCGACCTCTGACGCGGACACGTCAACCCTGACGAGAGGCTGGTTGCTTGTACCCTTTCAGTAAAGGTCAAGCTAGATAGATAATAGTAGTAATTATAATATAGGTAATTAAAAAATAGAATGAAATGCTCGATTTAAATGAAACAATCTTCTCTGAATTTTATATCTCGAAAATCTTTAAATGAATTTCGTATATGTTTTTTTTTGTAAAGATTCTCAATCTGCTGGCAAATATGAACAATGCACATTTCAAAATGAAAATTGCTCTGATTTCTTTGCTCGTATGGCAGCATTTCATATGTTGAAGAAATTATATTTTTCAATGCAGTTGCTCACAAAGCTCTATTTTTTTAATCCATTGTAAACACCGATAGTGAGTCTTTAAACACGTGTTAAATAAAAATGTACTGAAATCCTTTACAAAAAATAAAAATA